ATAGTATATTTTAAGGTTGACGGAATCAATTTCTATTGTATGATATTACGTATACGTCTGTTTACCATCCACCAGTTATCTCTCTATTATTTTTAAATTCCTTTTTCGGTAATATGTACATAAAAATATTAAAACAAGAAAAGCTAAAAACAGAAGCAAAATAAATCTAATATATTGTTCTGCATTAAATTTTCTCACGCTGGTATTTAATAAGTCTCTAAGAATGACAGAAATATTTCAAGCTTCATTCAATTAAATACAAAGACTTGATAACCAAGAAGCTAGAATTTTTTAAATTAAAATACAAACAATTATTAACGACACACATTTTTACATAAAATTTTTTTCATCAGGATTATTTTATTCTTTTTTATAAAAATAATTTTAATAAATCATTTATTCTTTATTTTAATGTTATAAACACTTACCCGTGACGAAAACAACTTTATCACAACTTTGTCATTGCATGTAAATTTGATTTACTTATGTAAACAACAATATCTGCGATGTAAAATTAAAAATAATGTCAATTGATAAAAAATAATTATGCTAATAATAAAAGAGCTGATTGCATTGTAAAATAAAAAAAAAAATAAATAAACTTGGTGGTTTCAAGGAAGTAGATAGGTTTGTAAGGACGTTGAATTTTTCGTTAAAGCCAACGACAGTAGTCGAAGGCGCGCGCGGCCAGACTGAGTCTTTCGCTTCTCATTCACGAGGAGCTGGAGAGTCGCAATCGTGTCCTCAGGGGGGTAATCGCCGTACATTCGTAGCGCATGACCACCCACTGGAGCACTTCCCTTGGGAACATGACCAAGTCCTGTATCATTTAATATCCTGTACCTTTGAACTACTGTCGTTTACATTTTCTCACAATTCTAGAATAAAGTTTCTTTAAAAAAAAATAATTGTAATTCTTATCACGCAAAGTTTGCACAGACATTTTTATTATTTTTCCGATGATTATATTAAATAATGATGAATAAATAAATAAAAACCCGTTCATTAGTTAGATGGATTTCGATTGTTGATTCCCATCTAAATACAAGAGAAAAGAAGAAAAAAAAATCATTTGATTTCTAATTTGGCATATTATTGGAACATATGCTAATATTACTTCTTCATAAATATCACAGTATACAAAGTGATTTCAATACATTATTCAATAGTAAATACTTGTTAATTGATCAGTTCTAATAAATCATCAGCCAATGTTTGATCTTATATGTTATTGTAACCATTTGATGAAACGTTATTTCGTTTTATTTATGATAGAAATGTATATGTATATATATATATATATATAATAAATAATTAAAATACTTAGAAAGATTATTAAAATTCTTACTTTAATGTAAATTGAATGTAGAAATGAATTAATGAAAATGACAATGAATAATGTAAATAACTTGATTAGGTATAAATATTTTTGGAGCATTTTTTCTCCATTCTTAAATAATGCTACTCTCTAAAAATGACACAGTGTATTTCATTTTATCTACAGTTTTATTTTTAAAGAGTCCATAGTAATTAATAAGCAGAGTGATAGAGTGGTTTTTCTTTCGTAAAATGGGGTAAACCTTTGACATCAAAATTTAGGACCCAATAGCATCGGTACCTGTAAATGGTGTAATATGAATTCATATATATGTATGAAATCATCTTGCAAGTGCATTGTATGCAAGTATAATACACCAATTTGGTACTTTTTATTCATGACTTGAAAAACGTCAGAACAATATTAGACTCAGCTACATGATTTTTTTGTAAAAAGAGATAAATATCTTTGAATTCTTACTTTTCATTACTTATTGTGAGACTTGGAGAACTCAATACCTCAGGATACCCTGTATCTCTGATGATGATGATCCGTGTAGGTAAGATGACTTACAAGAATAGAGTTGATACACCAGCAAAGTGCAATTTAGAATCGGAGCAAGACTACTTGATGATGAAATTTTATAGGGTTTTTATACTACTTTTATCTGATGTAAATGAGTTATATGTATCGAATCATAATTTAATGCGCAGTTACATTGGGTAAATTGATTGAAACCAATAATTATTTCCACCTGTGTTTTTTCAGTTCTTAAAATTTTATTTTATTTTATTTTGATATCAAATCAAATATTATTCTATTAAAATTCGCCGAAAAAAACAGGCAGCCATTGGTTAATATTTGAAGGTCGGCTTACTTAATATAATTAGAAATATATAATGAAAATAAATTGTTTGTTACAAGAGCTTGTTGGTGAATGATAACAACCTAGGGGGCACAGAATGTTATCATGATGTAATATGGAAACAATAGACTCCGAATAAATAAAATCTAATTTTGAATGTTTTATAATGTTGAATTTAAAAAAAAAAATTTTGAAATATATTAAAATTAGCCTCTCATAATATTATTATCAAATAAAATATTTAATTCATTAAAATATATTTTTTTTCATATTCTTCAATCAAATGTCGTTCCTTTTTTAAGATAAAAAATAAAAAATGTATTATGACATATTGAATCTGCACTTTCTATTTTTATAATCAGCGTTATCAAGGTATAATTATAAAAAAATGTACATTGATTTTGACAATTAAGTATTAATGTAACATATGAAATAACTTTTTTTCAGTGTGGATGATCTCGCTAATAGACATTATTTAATATAACAAACGGTAACGAAACATATTCACTTTTTGTTAATGGTTAGATATTATGTACATTAGTGGTAATGAATAATGGTAAGAAAAATTTAATGTAAAAAACTATTAAACAATATCTAGCCTCAGGGGCACGTAAGTTTAAGTTATATGTGGACGGTCTCAGGTTCTGAATCCCCTTGTACGAGAAAATTTTTATTTATAATAAAAAATTAAATTTGACTTATAAAATACAAAAATTTAATAGAACAGGTGAAGTATTATTAAAATAAGGGTATTATAAATAATCAAAAATTACTTTTTTACAGCATAGCAATTATGCCATTTAAATGTCACGTTGCTATATTGCTAAGTAGGAAGTAGCAACATCTATGTTACCTCCATGTTATATTACTGTAATATAAATATGTCCCATTAGTAACATTACATCTATATCACAATGATATAACAGTGTTTACTATCAATATTGCTGATTTAATATATACGTTAAATAAATTAGAAACTTTAGTGTTCTTTTGTATTAAATGTTCTTTAAAAATAAATAAAAAAAAGTTCATAATGAAATAGAACACCAATTAGACGAGGAATAAATAAAATTTAAAACTTTTTCATTTTTCCCTAGAGTTTGGTCGAATATCCGGAGACTCATTGCTTCCGTTTTCGCTCTTCAGTAAAAAAAAGAGGATAGAACATGTAGTCAAGTCCACTGAGAACGATTTATCGGTATGAAAGTATGCCAGTAAGTTATTTCGTTTGAAGTTTTGCTGAGAAAAGTTTGAACATGATAGAAGCCATATCTGGTGTGTGGCTTTAGCGGAAAACTTTCCAAGAACAAAGAACGCTAAAGGGAAAAAACGGGAATAAAATTACAGTATGTATGACTTTCTTATACATATTTTTATTTATATATTATTATTTCTCTACTTGGTAACTTTTTATTTTCTCTGAATTCTTAAGTTTTTTGCAAATTTTATAACTACTTCATGTCAAGTGTCCAATATAAAAGTTGTTTACAATAATATTTATAATGTCAATAAAGATTATTGTTTTAGACATTTTTTTTTTAGATAATTATCTATAAATGAAGAGGAAATTTCTGACTTCTATCTTTCATATTATTTGGATAATATTTTCAAAAAATGTATTAACGTACCATAAAACAAGTTTTCATAAAGTATGAAATAATGTAATTGATTATGATTATAAAATAGAATAAAATAAGAATCATGTTTTAAAATAAAATTAATTGTAGCAAAAACCACCCTGATACTGCTGTTGTCCCAGTGGCTAGAAAATGTTTAAAATAAAGATTTTTTTTTGGTTCCCATAAGAGTAAATAAAAGAAACTCTGAATCTCCGTTGAAATCCTGTATTAGTATTTCTCTCTTTGTTTTTAAAAAATCAGGATTTCTCTAGTCCTATATCCTATATTAAGATAAAAAAAATTAAATGTATATTTTAATAACATTATACCACGTAGGACACAATAATACTTGCATTAATTATAACAATAGTAAGTATATAAAGATATCCTTATAAGTATATAATATTACTTTTTTTTATCTTCTTTTTTTTCACTTTGTGACCATTACGCAAGATAGTATAAACATAGTCAATACTCATGCACGTGACTTGCTTTGAAGAGAAAAGAAGAACAGTGCCAGTAGAAATAAGTATCTACGAGTCTGCACACAGCACAAAGTCGTTACTTGGATACTCTAGGTTCCTAACTCATGAACTTATTGAGAATTATCCATCAGAACTAACACTATTGTATTTCTATTAGATTTTTATTTTATTAACTTATATCTATCTTCATGTGACACTAGAAATAAGTATTAGATGAAAAATTGTATAAATGCACTTCTTACTCCTATTCTTTAAATTAAATTTATAGTTTTTATTTATTGAATAAAATTTCAATTGAACACTAGTTAAAAATTTAATTTATCTTTATTTCTAAAATATGAGTTAGCAAATTAAGATGATTCATTCATTAAATGTTACAGGTGTTCTTGAGTTTAATATCACATATAATTTTTTTATTTAAATCATTGATCTAATTTTGAAGTGAAACTTTAATGATTACTTTTAAAATCATGTAATTAATTAGATGGATTCTTGATGATGATGTGCTTGAAGAGTATATTGAAAACTAATTATTTAAAGTAAAAGCTTCGTTATGAACCACAAAGTGTCAAAATTATTTCAAAGAAAAAGTTATAATCGTGAATATTAAATTAAGAGATCAATTTTAATATTCATCATAGCTTACATTTCAGTACAAAAAACTTAATTATTAAAAATAATTACATATACAGTATATTTTAAGAACTAATAAATTAATCGTCTAAACCAATGTCAAAGAATGACAAGACATCGTCTATAACATCATCACTATCATCATCCTCATCTTTCTTTTTTTCACTTTTTTTCTTTTCACCCTTTAATTTATCGGCGATTTCTTCAGGATTAGAGGACACACTGACGCCATTAGTAAGATCAATAAGAATGTAGATAGGTTTGCCATCTGGTTTCTTGTCTTTATCAGATTGATTTAACTGATTGATGATCTTCTTGATCAGGGGTTGTCTTGGTTTGCCTTTAAGTCCATCTTTAATGAGATCTCTGATAGATGTGAATGTCTTCTTGGTGGTGGTTTTAATGTCTTTAACGATCATGACGAATGTTTTGACTGGGTCTTTTTCTTCAGTCTAGAGAAAAAGAAAATATTAATAACAAATAAGTAATCAAGTAATTACAAGAAGAAAGAAAAGCGAAAAAAAGTTAATTTAACAGAGATACATCAATTCATGGAAAAATAAATAATTACCGGTTTATCTTCTGGTTTCTTGTCAGGTTTATCCTCAGGTTTCTTGTCAGGTTTGTCATCAGGTTTCTTGTCAGGTTTGTCATCAGGTTTCTTGTCAGGTTTGTCATCAGGTTTGTCAGGTTTATCCTCAGGTTTCTTGTCAGGTTTATCTTCTGGTTTCTTGTCAGGTTTATCTTCAGGTTTCTTGTCAGGTTTGTCATCAGGTTTCTTGTCAGGTTTGTCATCAGGTTTATCCTCAGGTTTCTTGTCAGGTTTATCTTCTGGTTTCTTGTCAGGTTTATCCTCAGGTTTCTTGTCAGGTTTATCTTCAGGTTTCTTGTCATCAGGCTTCATGTCATCAGGCTTTTTGTCATCAGGTTTCTATTAAAATCAAAAATTTATCATGTTTAATACTCATAAAATATGCTACGAAAAAAAACATCAACATGGCTTGACTATTCGGTTTAGCGATTTAAATATCGTAATACTAATAATAGAATAACATTTAGATAAACTAAAAATTACCGGCTTTGCATCTGCGTCTTCCTTTGCGGCTTTCTTTAATCTATCAACTAGATCCATTGCGGCTTTTTTCTTGTCACCATCCAATGGCAATAACTAAAATAAATATTTAGAACACTCATTACAATCATCTAATTAAATTCAACTTATTAATTGGAAAATAAATGTTGTCTAGAAATGCTAGTTTACCTTTTCAAGGGCTTCTTTTTCCGCTTTATCCAAATCTGAAGACTTGATCAAATCCATAATGAATTTTTTAACTTCCTCAATTCCTTTGTCATCAGAAGCTTTATCATCCTATTCAAAAACACAATCAAATTTTAATAGATTTCAATTGTTAAAAAACATTCCTCAAATAATTATCAATCAATAATTGCTTTAGATTCAATAATTCAAATGTAAAAATGTATTTATCGTTATATTACCTGGCTTGTTACCAAGACGGCGAAAGAAAGAAGTAGTAGGGAACCAAGTATACTAATCTTCATGTTGGCTGATGATAGTTTGTACCACTCAGACAAGAACTCAGATGCAACTGATGCCGAGCCTACTACGAACCCCCATTATATACCTAACTCTCGACATGACTCCCAAAAACTGGGGATAAAGTATACTGCATTTGTATACAAAAGAAGAAATAAAGACACACAATAGATGTTATCTTTTCTAACGTAACTAGTTTTATAGCATGACATACTTTTCTAGCCATCAAAATAATCAACAGGTACAGATATATTTAAAAGGGTTAATGCACCCATATTATCAATCATAAAAAATCTTAAATTATATTTTGATACTTATTTTTTTAAAAAAATAATTTGAAAAAAGCTGTAATTTTAGTTGACTCCCATTAACCACCTGTTAAATATTCAAACACACAATAGACAATTCTATGCACTACCACGAAAACGAGGGGAGTACACTCTACTATTATCTGAGTTTTAAATTCTGAAAGATGATAGAAATCCAGGTATAAAAAATGATTTTTTATAGTTGTTTTTTCAAAGAAATCTTTGAATTATGGGTGTTACGTTTCGAATTATCTTAAAAAATATTATTCCTTTATAATTTCGTCAGACATAGAAAAGTTCAATGTCCTTAACTGTTGATCAATATTCATCACGTGCATTGGAAAACTTTTTCATATTTGAATTTATTATCTACATTTAATTTGCTTATTTTCCTAGTCCAAATTTTTGTTTTATCTAATTAATGATTATTAATAAAAAAAACGTTTCAAATGTTCACATATTTCGACTTTAATCGAAGTAGAACCTTATTAATGTACCAATACTTGGATAAAACCATTTTTTATTGAAATAATATGCAGCTATTTGAAATTACTGAAATTAATGAGACTGCAATAAGGTCATTTCATCCTAGAGAAATATAATTGTTTTTAAAATTTGTCAAAAGAGATCAAATCATTGCATGAACATAATTCATAATCAATCAACAGTGAAAATAGAAATACAGAAATACATTCAAATATTTTTTTTTTAAATAAAATTGATATTAAAAAAATAGGAATTAAGAATTAGAATTAGATAAAAAAAATTTATAATTAAAAAATATATGAAGATTCATTTAAAAATAATAATTTAAATCTATACTACTTGCACTGATTTATTTAAACAATGATTTTTATACTATAAAAAATATTATATTTTAATACTAATCTATTAGTAAATATTCTAATATTTAAAACAACTCCAGTTTGATGATGTAATAACCCACCAGTTAACTATTTGACAGCTTAATGTTACATTCATCCTAAAAATATATTGACATGTTTGTATGGATGCCCTTATCCTTTGTCTGAGTTAAACTACAGTTATAACTTTTCGTGTTCGTCTGTATATTGTTGTGTTTCAAATTTTTTTTTTAATTCAACATAAACGAGTTGTTTAATATACAATGATTAATTTTATTATTTATATTACTCTGTATTATCATATAAAAATTATAGTGTCAATACTTGATCATGTTCGATGTTAAATTAAAAATGAACCAATTTTTGTTCTCCTACCAAGAAATAGACAATAAAAACAGTTTTAATAATATAATTTTTAAATAGTCAATATAAAAATTTAGAACTTAATCCAACAGGAAAATCTTATTATAAAAATATATTTTCATAATAAATTGATAAATAATCACAACCCTCAAGAAGTTTAGTCTTATGAACTTGTTAAGAAAGCATGATAGATGATTTTAGTTTTCCAGTTTAAATCATGACAAACATATTACCTACTATCTAACTGTCTTTTATTCACCTTAGATAATAAATTTCAGGTACAAAAACAACATTCTGTAAGTCTTATAGTAAAGAAGACTTTTAAGAAATATTTAAAAATAACAAAACATTTTTACTCAAGTACAAAATTGTTGAACAGTTATTTTTTTTTTAGAAAATTCAATAGTTTTCTACTCGAATAAAGTATTTGTTTATTAAATAAATATAAAAAGCTAAAAGATAAAAAATATAAGTATAATTTTACTCCAAAATTTTTCGTATAAAAAACAAGTATTGAATATAGAAATTTTAATTTACAGCTAAAAAGTTTTCTTATATTTTTTCATGATATTAATAACATAATATTGATATACATAAGTAAACATATTGCAGGAGTTTCTTATTCATATTTTTAGAAAATGATAAAGATAATAATTGATAGAGAACAAGTTGATAATAAATCATGGCATAATTTTTTGTACTAAATAGAATATATAACACGCATTAATTATATATTATATATATTTATTATATAATAATATTTATTATAACATGCAGATCAGATGTAGACTATGTTTTTCAAGTCAAAGTCCCCTCTGAAATTAAAAATACTCGTTTAATAAAACCTACAATGAAAATTATATGACGTTTCATAAGAACTAAGTATATTTTTATAGATCTTGTACTTCCTTAACTTCACCTATTTAGATTAAACTTGTCGAAATCATGTGTATTTAGTCAAACTAAAACCGTTGAAATAAGTCTATGATAGTGTGTAGTAGGTTAAATAAATATATTGGTAAAGAAATACTCTGCAGTAATAGTTTGTTTGCACTGAGGAAATTAAAATGTATTTTAAAAACGTTGTATTAAGTTTCTAGATGAAACAAGTGATTTATAACAGAAAAAGATTTAAATACTTTTACGCATACTTGATTAGAAAAAATTATTGACTCAGTAATGATAACAGTGAGAGACTATCGAAGACAATGATGTACAAATAAAATTATTGAAATCGTCTCTAACATATTTTTATCGCTGTGAAAACTTTCATATAATAGAAGTAGAGTTAAAACAAAATTTGAATTAAATTATTGATAACAGAATATTGGTTGTTTAATCAATTATAATTGAATTAGATAAGGATAACGTAACTTTTTATATTATCCAGCAGTTACTAAAATTAATAATTCCATCATACTGTTAACTTTCAATTTATCGACAAATAGTTAAGTTCAAACAATGACTATCAACTCTTAACGCTTTTTTACATTTTAAATAAAATTTATTTTTAAATAAAATTAAATAATTTTATTCTTCACAATTAATTCTATTTAGTCACTTTATAATATAATGATAAATGTTTTGAAAATTTTTATTTTATCATTCCCTAAAAACATCTGAAAATTATCTAATCAATAAATATGTGTTAAAATTTAAAATAAATGAGCATGCGACTGTCTTATCATTTTCTATTTTTAGGTAACAAATATTTTATTATTAATAAAATAAGTTCACTTAAATTTGTTGTTTCATTATTATATATTTTTAAATCCATCTTTCCGAAAGATAATAAAAATATTGATCATTTTTATTGATTAGGTTCATATTAATCTTCAACATTCTTCGATTTTTAATAAATAAAAGTTTTTTAGAGTAATACATTCAGCATTCTTTTAATTTTATTTTCTTATCAGAAATATTCCATCAAGTAATTTAATAAACAATAAAATTTTATATAAAATTACTAATGACTATTTATAGTCATTCATAATAACAATTCATAATAACTGTTTTTATAAAAAAAATATATCAATGTAGTAATATCATAATTTAGTCACGCACCTAAATGGTGACCGTGCTTTACCGCAATTTAAGTTACTTAATGCTTTTTTGGGACCACGTAAACTTTTAGTTACAAAAGTTTATAAGCTTATCAGAAGTTGAGGGATAACGTCTAATTCATGGATAAGCTGAAGGTACATTACAATAGAAAACTTGTTTATTATAAGCCAGGTTCACAATACACAACCATCATTTACTATTAGTTCAGAAGAAAACGATATTTCAGAGAAAACATTAATTGTGGGTCTTCAAAAATTCTCAGAGTTGAAGATTATCATAGCAACGAATAACTGTTACAATATATAAAATAATAATAATGATACATAATAGAACTTATATGTCTTATTTGTATTATTAATTGAAACAAAACAGTATAAATAATTATTTAAATAGTACATTGCAGACCGATAAAGCTTTTTGAAACTTTATGATCAGTACCAATTTCTATGAAAGATGTTTAACTACCAAACAGCTAGGTAGCTTTCAATTTAAGATAAAGTTTAAAGAAGATAAAGAATGTAAATAATGTAAAATATACATAAATTTATAATTGTTGTAGATAATTTTTGTTCTATTTTAATAAAATATAATATTTGCATTCATGAATGCTTTTTATTAGACAGTTTTTATTAAAATAATGATCTAATATAAAAAAAGAACCTTGACTCTCAGTAATTTTACTCAAAAGTATGATTACCAAATGTATTCAAGTGGTATATTTTTTTTATACTCACCAGAGTAGATTTTCTATCCAAAAAGATGCATCGTAAGATTTAAGTATATTTTTAAATCTTGTACTTCCTTAATTTCACCTATTTAGATTAAACTTGTCGAAATCATGTGTACTTAGTCAAAGTACAATCGTTGAAATAAGTCTATGATAGTGTATAGTAGGTTAAATAAACATATTGGCAAAGAAATGTTCTTTGGTAACCGTATATACGTTCGATTGAATTAAGAAAATTAAATTGCATTCTAAAGACATTATAACGAGTTTTTAAAATGAAAACGTTTTTATGTATCTATTTGGAACCGTCATAATGAAATAATTTTTGACATATTCACTCATAATTGGGGTACCTGAAACAAAAATTACATTTTTCATAAGCTCTGTAATAAGTTTAAGTAAACAAACTTTGGAAAATTGATGAATAAAAATTATTAATTTGAAAAAAAAAGTGTGTACATTGATTTGAAGTTCGATGAACTTCTTCACATAACCAAAAAAGTATAGATTAACAAGTATTATTAACCTGTTTGAAAATAAAGAAATTTGGCAATATTTAAGTTTAAGAAATAGTAAATATAATCAATTGATTATTAAAATGATATTTATTTAATTGAATTTGAAAATATTGGATACTTTGATAATTCACATACGACAAAATAAAACGATTTGAATTCTAAACATTAGAATGTCCATTTCTAATATAATTTCGTTGTTACCGACACAACATTTTCATTGGAAATGATAAATTATCTCACATCAGTAGAACAGGAAAAAATTTCAAATAGTATTGATTCTTTCCGATAGGTGAAAGTGATACCATCTTTTTGCGAAATACGTCAAATAGTTCATGTTTAAGATTTATTCCCGCCTATTTTTATGTATTGTTTATCTATGAAATCATTACTTCTTAAAACACAAATTAGATACTCGTTTCTATCTAATTAATTATTTTATCAATTAATTGACATCCAAGGTTGATAGCCAATTTATTATATGTTGGTGTAATATTTTTCTCCGTTTTCAAAAATGTTAAAATTTCTTAACCTACTAAAATTATGATATTTAGATCATTTATACAATCAACAAAGTTTGTGACAATAAAGAATGTGGTAAATAATATAATTAGTTATAAATTCAGTACTAGTACCAAATTTTATGAATATTCAAAGCTGCCAAACATGATGAAAGTTCTTAATGTTGCTGAGAAAAATGATGCTGCAAAAAATATTGCTGGACTCCTATCAAGAGGCACAAGCCGAAAAGTAACAGAGTTTTTAAATTTTAATACAAAATATTACATTCAAAAAGATAATAAAAAATTAAATGATATTTTAGAGAGAGGGGTTATCAAAGTTTAACAAAATATACGAGTTCAACTTCAAGCTATGGAATAAAGATTGTCTAATGATTATGACATCTGTATCAGGTCATTTAATGGGTTACGAATTTGTTGGTGCTTATAGACAATGGCAAGGATGTAGCCCTTTAGCATTATTTGATGCACAAGTAGTAAAACAATGTACAGATGAAAATTATGTAAAAATTAAACGGACAATAGAAAGAGAAGTAAAAGCATGTGAAGCTTTAATTATCTGGACTGATTGTGATAGAGAAGGAGAAAATATTGGATTTGAAATAATTCAAGTTTGTCAAGCAGTAAAACCACGTCTTCAAATTTATAGGTAACTTATGGCTATATGATTAATAATATAAAAAATGAATAATATAATCATTTTTTCAGAGCTGTATTTTCTGAAATTACTGGAGCTTCTATTACAAGAGCTATTAATAATCTTACTGAACCAAACAAAGCTTTAAGTGATGCTGTAGATGTACGTAGTGAATTAGACTTACGAATCGGTGCAGCATTCACAAGGTTTCAAACATTGAGGCTACAGAAAGTCTTTCCCAGATCTTTGGCTCAATTACTAATAAGCTATGGAAGTTGTCAGTTTCCAACTCTTGGCTTTGTAGTTGAAAGATTTTTAGCGATTGAAAATTTCAAATCGGAGCCTTATTGGAAAATAAAAGTACTTGATGATCATGATGGTATTTGTGTAGAATTTCGTTGGGCAAGAGGCAGACTTTTTGAGAAGTTACCCTGTGAAATATTTTTAGATATATGTAGAGAAAAGCCTGAAGCTACAGTTGAAAGTGTAAATAGTAGACCCAAGAGCAAGTGGCGTCCTTTACCCCTAGATACTATTGTAAGTTAAGTGTTTAAATACTTAATCAAATGAAATAATTATTAATTTTTTTTTTTCCATTTTTGTAGGAACTCGAAAAACAAGGTTCTAAGAAACTGAGATTAAATGCCAAGGAAACAATGAAAATAGCAGAGAAATTGTACACTCAAGGTATTATAAGTTATCCTCGTACTGAAACAAACATTTTTCCAAAAGGAATGAATCTTCCAAGATTGGTTGAGCAACAAATAAATCACAATGCCTGGGGTGGATTCGCTCAGCGAGTTTTGGATGAAGGTGTGTCACCACGCCAAGGAAAGAAAAGTGACCAAGCTCACCCTCCAATTCATCCAACTAAATATGTAGATAATCTACAAGGAAACGAGGCTCGTGTTTATGAATTTATTGTCCGTCATTTTCTTGCCTGTGTATCTAAAAATGCTGAAGGATATGAAACAACAGTTGAAATAGATATCAATGGAGAAAAATTTACAGCAAATGGTCTTCAAATTATTGCAAAAAATTATCTGGAAGTTTACGTTTATGAAAAATGGAATGCTAAAGAAATTCATATTTATCAACCACGTCAAGTGTTTCAACCAACGACTATCGATATGGTGGAAGAAAATACATCACCGCCAAACTTATTAACTGAAGCAGATTTAATTGCACTTATGGATAAACATGGGATTGGCACAGACGCAACGCATGCTGAACATATAGAAACAATAAAAGCTCGACAATATGTTGGTTTAAAAGATAATCAATATTTTATGCCAGGAAAATTAGGAATCGGTTTAGTTATGGGCTATGACAGTATGGGTTTTCAAATGTCAAAACCGAATCTTCGAGCAGAGCTGGAAAATGATTTAAAATTGATTTGTGATAGCGCTAAAGATCCCCAACTAGTGCTCCGAGAGCAAATAGACAAATATCGTAATGTATTTCAAGTAGCAATGCAACGTGCTAATTTATTAGACTCTGCAATAGCTGAGTACATAGATGAGAGACCAGTGGGTAATGTTAGATTAGAAGAGGTGATGCCAGTTGAAGAAGTTGGCATTTTCAAATGTCCAAAATGTGGCTTAAACATGACATTAAAAGACAGAAGACAAGGTGGTGGAAAATATATTGGTTGTATGGGATTTCCTACATGTAACAATGTAATATGGTTACCACAATCAGTTACAGAAATAGAAGTAACTAATGAAATTTGTAGTGATTGTCCAGGTGATATGAAAAAATTAAAGTTTAAGATGCGACCAAATAGTTTTCCTATATTTGGAACATCTTATGAAGCATGTATAGGTGGTTGTGATTCAGTTTTCAATGACATGATGAATATAAATTTGGAAAATGTTAGAAGAAGTAATAGAGACAGTGGATATAGTAGCACACAATCTTCATTATCATCACAAAATTCTAGAGCTACTCAATCATCCCAACCAAGACCATCTGGAAGTACAAGTAATCGTGGAGGCTCTGGAGGAGCTTATGGTGGAGCTTCTGGATCTTCTCGTGGTAGAGGTTCTGGAACTTCTCGTGGTGGAGCTTCTGGAGGTTTAGGAATGGTAACGTCCAGCAATATAAGACCTTCAGCACCAAGCACTCATGGTAGAGGGGGTAATTCTTCATCCAGAGGTCAAAATAATACCAAGAGAAGTAATGATTATTGGCCTGAAGAATTCCGAGAGCCTAAACGACCGAAAGTCGTCACAAGGCCTGTTCAAAACTCTGATAGAGAAAATGTTAATATAACTAATTTTAATGACAGTGAGTTTATGTGCAACTGTCAAGAACCGGCTATTTTGTTAACAGTAAGAAAAGAGGGACCAAACAAAGGAAGACAATTTTATAAATGTGCTAAACCACAGGGATCTACTTGTGATTTTTTTTTATGGGCAGAAAATTCAAGTGATACACAAAACTCATGGGGTCAATCTTCAGATTCAAATCAATGGAACTCCACTCCTACTTCCAATTCAGTACCTTCTAGAAATAATTGGAATTCAAATTCTTCTTCCAATTCAGTATCTGCTAGAAATAATTGGAACCAGGGAAGTATGGATAATAATCCAGGATCTTCGAATACATCATGGAATAATGATGACGATGATCAAGGTGGTACCATGTGTACCTGTGGACAACCAGCAAAGAAGTATAAAATATTTCCTACGCAAAAAATTCGTCTCATAATTAATAAAGATAAAAATTCATGTATAACGTAATTTTTTTCAGGCTTACTGTGAGAAAAGAAGGTCCAAATAAAGGTAGAGAATTTTATGCTTGTCCTCAAGGGCCAGGAAGTTCGTGCTCATTTTTTGAATGGGCGGACAGTGGTGGTAGTTCTAATCAATCTAATAATAGTAATTGGGGCAGCTCATCTAGAGGAGGAAGCAGTGGACGAGGTAGAGGTCGTGGAAGCGGAGCTCCACGAGCAGCTAGTGGAAAAAGAAAGTGCGGAATCTGCGGTGTTGAAGGTAATGTATTCACAAATTCCGCTGATATTGTTTTCTTTTTAAATATTTATCATGAGATATTTATTATCTATTTAGATTTCTCATAAGATTTATATTAAATCTAACATAATTGGTCAATTACTTATCATCATAAATAAATAAATAAATAATAATATTTTTCAGGTCATACTAAGAAAACTTGTCCTCAAAATGCAATGGATTAACTACTGTAATACTCAACAATTAAAAATATTGTAAATAATGTGTATAATATGTAAATTTGATTGAAGCTTCATTTTAAATACTAATTAATCTTATTGGTTCAGACCTCAGACAATTGCATTTTACGTTGCTGAACGTTTTTTACACATTATTTTGTTCTTTAAATTTTCCAGTTCACCTTTATGTAATTGTAGTTCTGCAGTTGCTTCTGTTAACTGTAATAATTTATATTTTATTAAAAACGTTAATATTTTGAATAAAAAAGATTTTTTAAAAAATTAATAATATTGATATTTACCATATCTATTACTAATTCTAACTTTAATTTGAGTAAATTATTTTCTTCTTCCAACCTGTAAATCTCTTTTTTCAATAATTCTTTCTCTTTATGGGTTCCACCAGCTTTCTCTGATCCTAAAATTGTAAATTTATGACTAAATTGGAGAAAGAAAATATTATCTAAACTCATTTAATATTATCCATTTTTTTATCAATCATTTTTAAAACTAAGAAAATTTTAGAATCATCAATATTACCTGAAACCCAAATCCCTCCATCAAAAATCAAATCGTGATCACTTAATTTGAGACGAATAGGACCAACATCTGGTCCGAATTCTCTTTCAATATGAATTGGACTCAAATCTTTAGTAGCTAATAAAGCTTTTCTTGAAGGAGTTTTCTTTGGAGAAAATTTATGCTTCAAAATGTTTGTTAAGATTGACATCGTAAGAAACACTTATTATTATTCAATAACCACTAATATTTATATTACAAAGTATGACTAGCACTTGTAATTTTTTTTTTACATATATGCAATATAAACATTTGTAACAATAAAAAAAAAGATTATTTTGTCAATGACAGTAAAAAATCGAATAACTTTTGTGATTTCATTGCATTAACCGTTTTTGACAGGTGTTCAATTATAAACAAACAAAACTATAGAAACTACCACTTGGCTGCGCTGTGTGTACAATCAAATTATTATCCGGAAAAAAGCCGGAGATGACCGAAAATTCACGAGGAATTCCCATACCCGAATGACAGAAATTCAAGAAACATTTTTCTATTTTTATACGAAAAATTCTTTTTTTGTATTAGAAGAACATTAGAATGTACTGTTATTTTATGTGTTTTTAATTCTATATATAAATATATTTTCATAGAGGTCACATCGTGGAATTTCAAAAATTTCCCATTTTCTTGGCGCCTTTTATTTTTTTTTGAAATAGGAAATTTTTATTAAGGATTTTTAAATCTTTACTTATGAAATTTATGTAACATTATTGAAAAATAATCTAATTAATAAAATTGGATCTTTCTGAATAACTTATCAATAATTTTTCAGAACATTCATTCATCGTTAAGAAAAAGAGAGAAAGAAGGTGTATAATGTGAGAGAAAAAATTGTTGTCTAGGAGATAAACAAACACATTATTGGTGATTACTTATAATGTCTGATACTACAGAATACTTATTAACACAATTTTATGGCATTGGAAAGACAAATAAAGAAATAGCTGAACCAATTCATTATGGACTGCAATCTTATCAAGATAAATCTTCCTATAACTTTATTTCTCTTGCCCAAAATACAATTTCAACTAATGAAGAATCTCAACAAAGTCTTCAGGTAATCTTTAATCAAGTATTCTTGTTTTTCAAAATAATAAGATAAAATTAAATTTCAGACAAATTTAGCTAGTAATACTGAAGAGATTGATTCTAAAATATCACCATCACGCTCTTGGCGAGCTATTGAAAACGATGAAGAAATCAATGATGAAGGAAATGGCTCTAAAGACGAAGGTTTAATTTCAGATGAACAGAAAATTGAAGAACTTTTTGATATTGATGCAAGAGCATCTCTACCTATTAAGTCAACCTTGCCTGTAGTTTTAGAAGGTCGTCATGATTCTCCAAGTGCACGACCAAGTGTTACTACTGTTGAAGATGTCTATTTGGATACTCTGTCAGATGTTTCTTCACGATCGACTAAAAAAAGAGGAAAGAAATCTTTAATTGCACGAGAGCCGAAAATTACATTACCACCTATTGTGAGAGCACAGCCAACACCATCATCATCATCATTAAAAGCTCCAGTTTATAATAAATTGTATTATGATATGTCTAATGCAATGATTCAAACATTATCTGTTGATATCTTTGATAATTTTCATGACATTAGGGTATTGTGTTTAAATATTAACAAGTAATTGTTAGTTTTTTTCATTTTTTGTAAATCAATGTTTTCAAATTTATAGATGCTTTATTTAGAAAACAATAATTTGCAAGAACTACCAGATGAATTATTTACAAAATTGAAATCTCTTCAATGGTTAGACGTTAGGAATAATCAATTGAAGACATTACCATCAACAATAAAGAACCACAGATGCTTGGAGACAATTTTATTGCAGGGCAATCAAATTGAACGACTTCCTTTGGAATTATGTTTAATTCCAAGCCTTAAATCAATTCACTTAGCTCATAATCCTTTGGTTTTTCCTAGTGTTGATGTGCGAGCTCTCGGATTTAAAGCAATGATGGACTGTCTACGTGAGGAATGGAATAAAGTTCATCCTGATGAAGTTATAACTCCTCAAAAAGGTAAAAAAAAATATTTTTATTGAAAATAATTTAATTAAAAAAGTTTGCTTTTCAACAGAAGTTCAATCGGTCACGACGATTTTGTGTCAGGAACCGTCAAAAAAATTTAAAAGACTCAAATTATCAGAATATTCCAGAAAAAGTAGTAAAACTATGGATAATATATCTGTTCGTGAAAGATCAAAAAATTATAAACCAAGTAACAGGTATGAATTATTTTATAAAGAAAAAAGAAAATTTGAACAGCAATTATGTGAATTTCTTTGTAAAAAATGTTTAAAAAAATTAAAAATTGAAGATAACAGTGGAAATGACACTGATTCAGGCAGAATAATTTCTGTAAAAACTGAAAAAAAAGATATTTCAGTTTTTGCTAATCTTGACAATTTAGAAAGTTTAAATCAAAATATAACTAAACGTAAAATACCAAAAAGAACACTTAGTGTTAGAAATCTTACCCTCGCTGAAGAAATAAAAAGAATGGAAGATGTTCAAATTAGAGAACGTGTTTATAATGTTATGACAAATAATAGAATGCTTACAAAGATTCGACCAATGAGGTTGAATGATGCTCAATGGATTTTAGGTTTTATTGAAAATTATTTAGGAATTATAAATTAATATATACTATAATATTTTGTTATTTAATTCAATGACATTAACTAGTTTATTTATTAGTCTTTCTCAAATGTATTTTATATTACCTAGATGTCCAGATTATGGAGATAATAAAATGCATGAAGAAAAATTTTTAAAAATGTGTAGATTACGAGAAAATTTAATTAGACAAAATAAAATTCTACAAAAAATAAAGTAAGTGTATAAAAAATGTGTCAACTAATTTATTAGAAATCCTATTAGTCATTGTAAAAGCAACTTCATATTTTATTTGTTTTAGAGATAAAAATGTTTTAAAAAATTGGCAACAGGACCGTAGGAGTTTTGAAAAAAGTATGAAAAAAGCTGCTGAACGAACGCAAATCTCCTATGGTATTTTTGACTCTGACAATCAATCAAACAACTATTCGAAACATATGTTTACATCAGACATCAACAATAAAATGTCTAATGTCATTGAATCACTCCAAAATTTCCATATTCAGACAAGTAAAGGAGTTTCAGATCCCATTATTGAACGTAATAAACTTGAAAATGGTATAAAAAAATTAAAAAGTATAAAAAAAGAAATCGAAAATTTAAAGAATCAAAATGAAAAGTCATTGGTTTTATATAAAGGTAATCAATCCATAGAATATAAAGAATATAAATCTCCACCATCAATTATAATATAAAATAGTTTTTATATTTACTTATAATAAATTATCTTTAAATAAAAGAATTTCAGTCTTAAATTTTTATTAAATTAAATGATCATCACAATTTATTAAATGTAAATTATAAATCCAATATTTGTAATTTAAAGTAACGAGGTAACTAGCGTTAAACATCGTTTTTGTGCACAACTTATCGAATGATTAATCAATTAATCTGATTATCATAAGTCTATCAGTATAAAAGTCCATAAAAGAAGCATTTTACCATTAAAATACAATATTTTTTGAAGACTGTATTTGTTAATTACATAATTATCCAGTAATTACGTCAATTTCACTTTCATAATCGATACAAAATACTTTGAACGTTACATTTATTATTACATTATTACATTAAGAGTAATTTATATTATTCCTTATTTTTTCATCTAAACGTGAAAGATGAAAGAAACAACTGATATAAAAAAAATTGCACGATCACGATAAAGATTCGATGAGTTTTGATATGAAAGGCAGCCTTTTTCTAATTTTCTTTGAATTTCGAATCACGTATATACATGCAATACCTTCACCTCATGTATAAATACAACTTACATTTCAATTTAAATAATCAATTAACTTGGTAATTTTTTTATTTTTTAATAATGTCAGTTGTTGGATGAATAAATTTCTTTTTTCGGCAGTGCTCCAAGCAAATAAATTCTATTTATAAATACCACGGATGAATTCACCTTTTGTTAGAAGCTTCTACACATCACAATACATCCCGGAATTTCTAAATTTTCTTGACCTTGATTAAAATCTACGAATCCTAACTTTCCATAAAATTCATGTGCCTCTTTGTCCATTGCTGATATTATTGTATGAACTCCGAAAGATCCTAACAACATACAAAAATTCATTAAAAATCATAATTGAATTTTCACAATAGTTTATGATTTATTATAATTACCATTAGCCCGCAGCGCTGCTAAAACACATGTTATCAATCTCTTAGGAATAGATTGATCTGTTACACTAGGTAAAACTGAACACATAACTTGGGATGGATGTTGTCGACATAATTGTTCTGGAACTTCTGGTGTAAATGAATGGAAGTATCGTATTGCATCCTAAAAATAATTTAAATTGAAAATTCAATAGATTGATAAAATAGATAATGAATAATCTGAAATCAATTATTCATTACAAAAAACGAATGCAAATGGTTGTTGAATATACTATTTACCTGAACATTAGCAGCACAATCACTGGGAATATCTTCTAATGGATACTTGGACTTAAGTTCAGGAATCCAAGCTACAGACATCTTTTGATTGAAGGATTTAATATTCAATGCAACTACTGCATAGCCTACAATACCTTCATCATCTTCCACAACCATACAAAATTCGGGACTTAGCGTTAAAAATCCCCCAACAAGCCTACGAAATTAATTACCATATACTGAGAATATAATTCAAAGAAAAGTACTTAAAATATTAAAAAATAAAAACCTGTCTGCTACTGCTGAGGTGCCTGTAACGCCATGTATTCGATTACAAACCGCATAAATAGCATCCTCATCTGCTACTAAATAAGGTCTAATGGTATAAATCGTACTATTAGGAACTTCAGGCGCTTTGTATACAAATAAATCATTTCCACTGTCTACTGGAATCAATCGCTAAAATAAAAATTCATTATTTACTATATAAATTTTGTTTCGTTTAGTACAAATATTAGAAATAACGTAGTATGCATGAAATACCTGCAAATCAGCTGTTAGTCCACCACGAAATACCCAAGGTTCTTGATCTCCACTCATAAAAGTTTCTTTCCATCCATTGGAAAACCCTAATCCCACGAAAAATGTATTTATTAGAAAAAATTAAAAAATAATCGTAATTACTATCTTTAGATTAATCGCTGCGCTAGGCTACAATTCGCGCTAATATTGCTTGACAAGAGCTAAATATATTTTGTGCAATATTATAGAAAATCATATAAATTATAATCATTTGAAATATATTTAACTCTTCGCGCATCACAAACTTTTGAAAAAGTATCAAAGAATTGGAATTTTATGGACAAAGAGGGATTAATTTGCCTAAATGTGCCTGAAATAAAATTTTCGTTACTCCTGGTAATGATAATTCTATCTGGAAGTAAGAAACAAAATTAGTCAAGTAAAGATAAAGAAGTAAAAGATAAAATAAAGAAAATATTCAAAAGTTTGTGAATTTTAAAAAAATACAAATTATCTAATATAATTAATTTCCAAATAGCACCTTTAATTAATTGTTTTAACTTATTGAAATTATTTGATTTTCATAAATAAATTTTCTTCAATTAACACAACTTTTTAGTATAAATTCCTTCCTACAATTAGGTGCTACTTGAAAATTTTATTAGTATTATTTTTACGCGCAATTTGCTCTATGTTACTTATGTTGACAAGTAAGTCTCGTACATGTGTAGCTGCCTTGAGTAAAAGTCGTCATCGTCGGTGGAAATTTGCCAAATGCTATCAACAAGAGATAAAAAATTAATTAGCGTTAAAAAAATAAGCAATATTAATTAATTATAAATATTTAAAGAAGATATTCATTAGTTTTCATTCTTTAATAATTTAATAAATTCAGTTCATTTCTTATAAATCCAAAATATCTTCTTCAATTTATGTAAAGTATGAAATATTTGATATTGAAAAATCAACAAGTATAACAGTAACAACTAAATAAACAAAACTATTAATAATAATATTTTGCAAATTGATGTAATTGTTGTTCCAATATTTTCTCTATTTATAAATTGTTATTGATCTATTCTTTATAATTAATTTTAATATGAAAACAAATAAATTATTTACACATTTTGTAATTCCATTGAAGACCTCTCGTACTAGTAACATTGAAAATCATTTTTTTATGTCATAAAAAAAAATTGCATTCATTTCTAATGCGCAGAAACGAATGCAAGCAAATATTAAAATCAATGAAAAACGCTACTCGATTATTCCAGAAGAATTATTCAGGTGAAATTGATATTTCAAATATTATTACAATGAATCAATTTCATTATTTCATAAATTTCAACAACAACAATAGCCAATGGAAATACTACAATTTGAATAATGAATAATTTCCATTCTTTGTAATATCAATTTCCATATTCACTTACCAATTCTCCATCTGTTTATCCACTGAAATGAATTTTTGTTCGAGTACAATAAGCAAATAAACAGTGATGGTTATTATTAGTCATTGTAATATGAATATTATGAAGAATAATCAATAACAAAGTTTTTATTATCTATCTTATTGATTTACTCAATTAATTATCAAGTGCTTCAATGAATAAGTAAGCTAATTAAGTAATAATTGATGTTAATTTCTTACCCAACCATTTAACATAACTATTTAATAACGAAATAACTCCTCGCATATCCCAAATATAAGAGTAAAGGTCATACAACAATTCACGATTTTCACAATACGTTAAACGTTGAAACAATCTATTCACTGCATTACACATATCATTTAATTTAGCTGCTCTTGTATGCCATTCTTCAACCTGAAAAATAATCTTTCATGTATTAAATAGATATGTATTTACCTGATTGGTTCTAAACAAAAAGTAAATAACTAAATAGCTTACATCAGCTTTATTTCCTGGATCCTTATCTTTTTTTATTGTGACATGTGCATTGCTCTTTAACCAATTGAATTCTTGAAGTAATTGAATTCCTTGGCCTCCATGTTCGAAAGGTAAATAAAAAAGATCACAAAGTAATGATAAATCTTCATGGGTTAGTTGTTTGTCTTGATCTTTTACTCCAGAAGATTCAGTCTCAGAATTATCAGCATTTTCATGATTATCACTCGCATTTTCTACAATCATTTGATTTCCATTAATTGTAGGTGAAGTAGCATCTTCAATTTGCATGCTTCCAGAAGTTCCACTGCAGGTTGAGGTGTTTTCAACCATTGCATCATCATCAGTTGTATTTTTGGTAGCATGAGTCGGTGAATTATTGGGTGTCGTATTACAATCCATAGGTTCTGTAGGAGAATTTGTTGCTGGAGCATCAACATTAACAGGAATGATTGGTTCACTAACAACTTTCGTATCAGAAACTAAAGAGTTCATAATTGGGCCTGGCAAAGGCTGCGCAAAACTGTCATTTCCCGTAACATTTGAGCAAACTTCAGCGAGAGCTTGAAGATGGTTGGATGTAACAGGCACTGGTGCTACAGTTGGTACAGTGGCTGCTGCTGTTGCTGCTGAGACAGTGCTTGTTGTTGTAGTAACACTCATACAAGTATTTACAGAGGGAATAATGGGAATAGGAACAGTTGGTGCTACACATGGCTGAGGTTTTGCTATCACTCCCCAAGCTGCTCTTTTTTTATTAAACTCGGGTAACCAATCATTTATAGCATTTTTTAAAGCATGTCTAGGATGATAAGTATTGGGTGCAAGGGTTGAAGGAATACCTTCACCACTTACACCATCCTCAGTCTCGGTTTCAAGTTTGATATCAGCAGAAACTGAATCGTTCAGACTTAAGTCTCTTTTTCCATCAACATTGCATCTACTCCACTGTGCCAGAGTATGAATGGCAATGAAGTTGGCACCATACTCACAGTTAGGATTTGTTAATACCCCACGTAATTTAGGGATTAAATCCGGTGACCTACCTGAGTAGGGACCTAAGAAGACTCTCTTTTGATCATAGTCATTAGCATGCAAATTATCCCAAATTACTGGCGGCCTTCTGAGAACTTCTGTAATTTCTTCTATTGATTCTAAGGTCAACAGTCTCGATATTACTTTAGGTCCTGTCCACATAATATCTATTTCTTGAGCTAATTTGCTTCCTAATGTGTTTAAATATTCCGAAGTAGCAACGTTGGGCATTGCTCTTGTGGCACAATATTGTGTTGGACATAATAAAAATTTTGGTTGTCCTAAATGTTGAAAAATGTCATTCGTTACTGAAACTTGTGCATGAGCAAATGATTGAAATACTTCCTTGTCTGCTTCACTCATTTCTGGTTCAATATCGTCGAAAAGGAGTGCAAAAGCAACACAGCCAAATTGACTGACTTGTTCTAATTTTCTTTTCAGAGCTGTTACTTCTTTCACACTAGAGTAAGTAATATCTAATCCTGGAGATAAGGCGTAATAAAAGGTTATTCCTGATTCTCGTGCAGCTGTTATTAAACCAGTTAAATGTTCAGCCTCTTCAACTGTATATAAGTCCCGCCAGTAAGCTCGGTGTTTATAATCATCTTTCGGTGCATAGAGATAAGAATCCATTCCCCATTTTTTCATTCTAAAATATTTTATTATGTAATTATATAATTTAAAAATAAATAATCTTTAACTTACTTTTGGAATAAATCTTTCCGTTGCTCAGTAGTCCATGGCCGGCCATAGAATCCTTTAAATACCATTTTTCCGTTAATAGATCATTCATTATTTATAAATAATAAAAATTACCTTCAACAACACCACATATAAAATTTCCATTTTTCACATTTGAATTAGTTGGTCCATTACTCTCCGTCATTTTTGCAAATGAAAATTAGCAAATAATTTTTCGTCTTCAACACAAATATGGCGGGGAATTTTTCAGATAATTCTATTTTCCAAGTATTTAACCAACACTTGATTTATATTTGGTTAAGAATTATAAAATTAACTTATGAAATTACATAAAAACTCATTTTTCACTATTTTTTAATCGAATAAACATGAGTAAAAAATTAAAAATGCAAAAAACCCAAGTACTCCTCTTGATTACTGTCGGCCTACTGTGATGATTTACAAACTATCGATTGTTGCAATCTCGTCTATCGATAGTTGATGTTTGACGGCAAATTCATTGTGTACGACTACTAGCGACCCCCATGATATTTTTTCGAAGTTGCGGGTAATTTGAATATAAATTCCTAATCGACAGAATTTTCAACATAATAAGACGAAAAAAAACAACATTCGATATCCTCATTCCATGAAAGTTAGTAGGTCTATCGCTGGTATCTTCTCGTGCAAATAATAAATATCGGAATACATGATAAATCATCTTTATCATTCAATAGTAAATCATTAATTGATTTCTAATTAAAAAATGAACAAAATTTTTAACATTTTATTTATTATTTTGAAATTAATAATTTATGTTTATTCTCAGCAAGAAGGTAACTAAGTGCAATTATTCAAGTAGTTAAAGTTAATTATTGTGTCCCTGAAAGCATAAAAATTGATAATATTCATTTTTATCAGAAGGAAGTGAATGTATGTTAGAAGATGGTCAATTTGGAATTTGCAAAAGAATATCTGATTGTTCAATACGATTAGAAGAAGCTAGACAAGGAAGAAGATCATCACTTTCATCTCGATGTGGATTTGATGGATTTATGGAAATTGTTTGTTGTCCTGTGCCAGTTAAAGAGAAGATAAATATTCGAACAGCAGACTTGGGTAATTAATTTAAAAAATTCTTATCTTTTATTGTGAATGATCATCATTCATTATCTCTTATTTTCTCTCTATTTCATTTAGTGTCCTTGATGCTGTTTAAACAGTTTGAATCCATTATTAGCATCATCAATAAAAAATTCAACAAAAGATTATTCGAAATGTAAATAATACATTAACATTTCCGTGAAATAATTAATTATTATTAAATTGAAATAAACTGTCTATAAAAATATTGATGAATCAATAGGAAAAAATGCTCAATTTTTTATATCAAGATAAAAAAATTTTACGTCATTAATTTTGCGGTTTCAATTTTGTCAGATTGATCCACTTGTTGGCATAAAAACACTTGTATTAACAATTTTTTTTATTTTATTCATCAATTATATTTAGAATTGATTATAGTATCTGGCTTGTTTTTACATTAAAAAAAAACAGAGCTGCTAAAAATTATCAATTTTTTATTAAATGATTAAAATAATACTTTTCATATTCCAACAACGTCATCGAAAAATACCAGATTAGTGACTGATAGTTTATAGAATAATAAATAATCAATAAAAAAAAACATATATGAATAACTTTGACAGGTAGATTTAATGAATTAATTATATATTTTTATGTAATTTTTAATTTTCAGTTTGTCAAGAATATGAAAATGAAGTCTACTATCCAAACAAAGAGACCGTAAATTATCATGTTTTAGCTGGAATCGAAGCCGAATCTGAAGAATTCCCGTACATGGTAGCGTTGGGATATAACGATAGTAACAACGAAAGCGGAAATCAATATAGATATTCTTGTGGAGGAACTTTAATATCTTCTAAATTCGTTTTAACTGCTGCTCATTGCGTCAGTAATATCAATGAAGATGTTCCTGTTGTGGTATGATCATTAATTTGTGACGTCTTCTTATAATAAATTTCCCAAAGTTATTAATGAATATTTTTAGGCCAGAATGGGTTCTATAGAATTGGATTCAGAATCAGATACTGTTCAATTAGTTCGAATAAGTAAAGTAATTCCACATCCAGATTATAGGCGAAATGAATATTATAATGACATTGCACTCTTGAAATTATCATCACCAGTAAAATGGACAAAAACTGTAAAGCCGATTTGTCTTCAAACAAAATCCATTAATGAAGAAAAACCACCCAAAAATGCACACTTTATTGTCGCTGGCTGGGGTGCTACTGATATTTATGAAGATTCTTCCAATAAATTGATGAAAACTCCAGATTTAATGTAATTGTTATATCATGTAAATTTAAATGAAAATTATTATAAGTTTGAATTAATTACAGATTGGTACCCAGAAGTAAATGTTCTACATCTTATGCTGGGTTTAGACAATTACCCAATGGTTTAGCTGACAATGTAATATGTGCTATTGATGGAAATACGACAAGAAGAGCAGATGCATGTCAAGGTGATTCTGGAGGTCCTCTTCTGATGCTTGCTGGTTTAGCAGATAGTATTATTGGAGTTATTTCTTTCGGACAAAGTTGTGGTAGTCCAGTTCCTGCAATTTATACTTCCGTGTATTCTTTTGTTGATTGGATTGAACCAATCGTTTGGCCGGATCGGGTCATTCGAAAATAAATTGATTTATTCATTTATTCGGTGTTCATAACAATTCCATTTCATTACTTTTCGTCTGTAGTGACAATATACATAATCATATATATTTTGATAAAGTTATTGATATTTATTTGTTTTTTTCTTACATATCAACATCTCGGATATGCATATATTTACACTTCTATGTTAGAAAAATATTATATACTACCACATAACTCTTTTAAAATACGTTGATTTAAATATCAACATTAAATTTAACACATTTTTTGAAGGATATATTTACAATATTCTGGATATTGTAAATTATTATCGTCAATCATATATAAATACTTCAATTTCTGTTATATACATTCCTTTTTATGAGCAGAGAAACGAAAAAAATGTCTAACTAAAAACTCGAAAAATTTTAAGACTATAAGTTATTGAGAAATCCCACACGTATTCAATTAGTGTTGATCAAATTATTTGGATAGCCATTCTAAGGGAAATACTTGAGTTATCTTTCCAATTCCTTTAGATCTGCCTTCTCTGAATAATAGTCGCATTCCAACATGAAGATATTCCGGATGACTCACAAATCTAAATAAAACGGATGCTTTATCATTCGTTTGTAGTCCATCTTCCTTCATATCCATTATTCCTTCTATAACACACGTTTGTCTAACATTCCCAACGTGAACTGTTGCTTGAAATCCTGGATAAATCGCTGTTGCATGATAAACTACCAGTACTGTAGCCTAAAATATAAAAGAAATTATTAATAAACAATAAAGTCAATAATTTTTTAGTAATACTCATAAATAAAAAATTTATTACTTGAAAAAATACTGTTGCTCGAGGATGATCTCCTATCGATACTAAAACCATTCCAGGTCTTAGATGAGGTAGAGTATCACGATTAGTTGAGGGAGCAAGAGTAAGACTCGCACTTTGCGATGCTCTTACAAGACAGCAAGGAGTTTTATTTCTATGAAGACTAACGACTTGGACTGGACTGAATACACCATCAGGAAGAGGTCCAACTAGTAGTCTAGATCCAGGAGAAATAGCTCCTTTTACTAGGAGACCACCTAAAACTGTTTCATCAAGTCCAGCAACTTTAAAAGTTTCATCAATTTGAAAGAGACAAGATCCAGAATTAGATTCATCAGCCGATAATTCAACTGGTGATAAGTCTTTAATAAATCTTATTAATTCATCTAATCCAGCTCCTGTTACTGAACTTACTGTGAAGACAGGAATACAATTATCATAGCCTGGTGATAATTTAGTATTATTATTGTAACTATTTTCATTGCTTTTTGAAATACTATTAAATAAAACTAATTCTTTATTGTATCCTTGACTTCTAACGGCATTCTCTAGTTGATTTATCATTTGCCTCTCATTAAATCCAAGGTCAATTTTCGTCACAACAATAAAAAAAGGTAGTCTAAGTGCTAGACAAAGAGCCATATGTTCTTGAGCTGCTTCATTTAATGGTGGCGCAACAACAAGCATCACATGATGAGGCGAATATCCCATTAATCCTAATAATGTTGTCCTTAAATATTTCCTGTGTCCTGCTAAATCAATGAAAGTCACAACCTTGGATGCATGCTCGCAAATTTCCTCAGCTGTCGTCATTTCCGAGTAATTAAGCAGGTGACCATCATCATCAAATCCAATAATCTCGTGTGAAATAGATGATGTTCTGCCTGTCCTTATTTCATGTAAGTGTCTTAACATATTAAGTCGTGCTCTCCCTCTTCCGTTGTCTAATTCTCCTTGTGTCAATACTCCCAGAAGTGTAGATTTTCCTGCATCTTGAGATCCAACAACTGCTAAACGTAAATCAATTACATCTTGACCTTCTCTATCACTTTTTCGTAATTTTTTAACAATAACTTCAGCTATCTTCTTAATTTCTACATTATTACAATCATTATTGCTAGATTTTGACTTAGTATTAGCCATTCGTTCTCTTAAAACTCTTGTTGTAGCTCCTAAACGTGAAGCCATATCTTTTAGTGTTTTTAGAGATGCTTTCATATCATCTCTTGATAATCCTGTTAATTTTCCATTGTCTTCAACTCCTAAAAAATAATTAAAAATTTTTAAAAATAATAATCAATTATACTTTTTGATATTATTTAGTATTTAAAAATTATTGTGGTCTATTAATAATAACCCAATAATTTATAAAAAGAAAAACTCTTAAAGAAATCAAAAAGGAAACTTTTAGGACTTATCTGTCGGTAAAAATCTCGAAATTTTCAAAAAGATTTTTTTTTACAACTGTGTAAGTGGAACAATAAATGGTTTTATTAATAATGACTTTTTAATTAATAACAACAAATTAATTTTTTATAGGCTAGGATGATGAAATAATCTGATAAATGGCCGATTGCTTGGGGATATTTACCTATTTGATAGATTGCTTCTCCATGGCCTTCTTTTAGCCGCCACTTCATTTGGGTAACTAAATGTTCAAACCTTTGATTTGAAGGATTAACAAGTTTTAATTTATACTCAATATTTCCATGTTCAGGTTCTGGAGGTAGAGAGTCAAGATTTTCATCATCTTTCACAAAATTGTCACAATCTGATGATCCTTTGTTATGAAACTTATCACAAGAACTTTTTCTCTTATTTGTGCTCTCATCAGCATCAAATAATGCTAGAAATGATTCCATTTCTGTAAATATTCAACAATTAACAATTCGTTGCGATATTGTTACATCAGCTGCCATTACTCTCAATGTTTTTGAATTGTAAAATACTCCATCAACACGGAAGTGGGAGAGTCACGTGACTTTTGACAATTGTATACATACAATATGTTTATATGTATTGTCAATATATGTTTTTTATCAATATATTTATCGTCTGCTTTAAATTGTCAATCAAAAACAATTTGAATTATTATTTTATTCAAAACATTATAAATTGAAAAATATTTTTTTAAAAAAATACGTTAAATTTCGTCAAATTTAATTCTTTACCAGAAAAGAAATTTTAATCAACAGTGAAAGTGACAGCTGGTGAAGGGCAAACAACAAAAGATATTTTTAGATACTTTTGTTTTTAAAATTTGAATAATTGTTTAACCAGCTATTATTATTGTTAAGACATTACGTAATATGTAGTTTTCAAAAACTCACTTCAATTTCGTTTATTCCTTTTTTGGATGAAGTAATAAATAAAATTAAAATTCGATATGTTTTCTTAGAAACACACAGTGTAGGCGGCCATAATACTTGTCCTTCAGCGTCGTCTTGTGGCTGTGTTACTTAATCATACATTTTTAAAATATTTCTTCAATCACTACCAAGTTTTATCTTATATATTAAACTATATCTTTTCAAATTATAAAAATAATTTTAACTCTTGTTTTTTATGTAACATTGCAAAATTAAATAATAAGATAAAAATTATAGTATAGTATTTATTTATTAAATATATTAAAACTTTCCGTATTAAAAAATGTGTAATATATTAATTATAAATTTGAAACCCTTTCTTAAATGGTCATGAACAATTTAAGCGTTTGAGTTGTAGTCGTATGATGATAAATAACATCCATGTACATTATTTAATAATTAAAAATTATATGTACAACTGATCATATTTTATATACAATAAACACAAAATAATCAACAAAATGAATAATAAATTATTAATAAAAGTACAACTTAACAACCAAAAAAAAAAAAAAAATTAAAAATCTCTGTATTAAAAGATAAACTGTATATATTACTGAGGTAAAAGTGGTTCACTTTCAGCTCTTACGACATTTTTATACTTTACATGTGGAATTTCTTCGATGTTTTTTGTCACTTTAACATTATTTAGAAATACATCATTTAAGCAAACATTATTTAAACTAATAGCACTATTTGAAAACATAGCCATTCCACTAGTTTCTATGTTTTCTTTTATTATATCTACACTACGTGTTCTATTTAGTAAAGTTGTCGATTTCTTTGTGTTTTTTGATGTTTCCTTAATATGTGAATTAATGAAATTACACGCTTTACCTAGAACAATTATACTATTAAGAACTCGTAATGCAACAAGAACTAAATATCCTACGATATATAAAATGAAATTTGATGGTTTTGAAGTAGGATTTAGAGTCGCAGTAAGAGCTCGACCCATTGCCACGCTTAATGGTAATGGAATGAAACCTAATCGTCTTGCAACCAAATCTGATGGATCAATTAACGTTGTTCTTTCTTGACGTGACTGCACCATATCATAAGCAAAACTTCTTGTGTATTCTTTAAATACTGTCAATGGAATCTCATTAAAACGAGAAATAAATGCATGTTTGACCTATAAAAATTTTTAAATAATTAATCCATGTTCTACTTAAAATACTTTTTACTGATAGACTGTTAATTACCCAATCGACTGTCAATTCCGAAACTATTAGAATGAAACAATCAGGTATTAACATTTCTAGACGGTCATATTTCCAAGCATATTCCTTCATTGTTTGTAAGCATAGAATAATCAGAAGAATAATTAGATGGAATCGTTCTCGAATATCAGCACAAGACAGTTGGAATAAATTACTTTTATCAAATTTCTTGAAAACAGATCCTTTCAGTTCAACAAACTGTAATAAACATGTTTTGTAAATAAATACAATTAGTAATATTTAATTGATAAAAAAAGTTGTGATAAAAAGTGTTATTCTTACGTTATTTGATATAATAATCGTTAATAGAGCTTTGTTGCTACTGTTTATAGCTACATTTAGTGTTGTTACTTGAAATAGCACCAACATAGTATGTAATACTGATAATTATAAATTAAAGAAAAAATTTTTAAAAAAATGTATAAAGAATATAATAAATTAAATACAAACTGATAAAAAGGATACAGACATAAGTCATAGCAAATATCGTATGAGCTATAATACCTAAACGTCTTTGACGACGTCTAGGTCTGAAAGTTGATTTAGATTCTAAAGCAACCAAATATAAGACATCTAGGCTATCCTGACCAAAGACATTAAATAAACGATCTCCAACTTCCAACATATTGTAAAAAATATACAATTTTATAACTGATTGACTTTTAACTAAATGGTACATCATTGAAGTGTCTAGTCTACTTGTTATTACCCAACAACCATATACAATTAAGCCCTTGAGAAAATCACATTTTTCTGCAGCACTTAAATATGGTTCATTTTGTTTTGTAAGGTCGTTTCTACTTCTGGAATTGATATTTTTATTATAAATTTGATATAAATTTTATTTAAACAATGACGTTGAAAATTTGACTTACCGCAAATAACGTTTTATAGGTCTAGTAATGATTGCCCATATAACCATTAAGAATCTTATTGGTAAAAATGTATAAATATAGAGAAAAGAATCTGCGCACTGTTATATAAATCAAGTATTATGAATGTGAGCATATAAAAATATGTTTGTTTACATGAGGTACTGGTAAGAGTTACCTGACAAAATCCATAGGCCATGTATTTTTCTACTTCTACAGGAATTTTTAGAAAAGAATAAATTTTATCTCTTCCATCTGAGCATTTGTTTTCATCACTTTCTATATGATAACTCCTCGTTACCTCTTTCTTAAAGAATGTAAAAAAAGAAACATCACCTGAAAAGACAATATTGATGTTGAGACGATTTGATGTGTTTAACCTCAAAAATTAAAATAATAATATGAATAATTAATGTACCTTTATTATCAATACTTAAGTCCTTAGCTTCTTGTTCATTATCATCAATTACACCCTCAATTCGTTCGTTAATTCGATTATTCATAGAATTTCTAAATCTTATATGCTTTTTATCCATACCGTCAAGCTGATTAAAATTATTTCGAAAGTTTTCGTTAATTATTTTTGTTTTATTATCAATATTATCGTCGAACATGATGACAGGATACACATAACCTTCGCACAACAGCTGTTTTTAGTGAACCTTTTTTATTGTATAAACATAAAAAAACCTAGAACCTCGAAACGTCACGCGCAATAGTTTTTTTATGAAAAAAAATTTCAGACTCAATCCAAGATGGCGGCATCCACAAATGAATCTGTGGATGACCGAAATTCGTGTAAAATATGTATTATCGGGGCAGGAATGGCAGGTTTATCAGCTGCAAATCATTTATTAAAAAACAATTTAACGGATTTTTTAATTCTCGAAGCCAGAAATCGTATCGGTGGACGAATTATAGCAATAACAATAGGTAACCTTACTTTTAATATTTATGTACTTCTTGAAGTATTTATTTCCATATTCCAATCAATTATCTAATCTTGGAATTACTGCAAATCATTCTTATTATTCATGTAACTTACATCCCAAATTTTTTAAATAGTTTTATGCACACACTTTGCACCGTAAAGTCGTTTTATGTTAATTAATCAAAAGCACAAATTTTGTAAATAGTTCCCTAGTGTCTATTTGACTTCTATGAATTTCGTTAAGAATATTATTCTTTGTAAATGACATTACAACATATCTAAGACTTTTATGAGTAATCTTTTAATGATAAGTTATTTTTTTGTTACAAATATAGAAACTATATAAAGTAGTTTAAACATTAGATATGACATTCTAAGTATCATAAAAAAACGAACATAATGACGAATAATTACTTCAAATTAATATTTAATAAATTTAAAAGTCATATTTTTTTTATTATTTATGAGTAGAACATTAAGAAATATACAATTACAGGTGATGAAAAAATAGAGTTGGGAGCTAATTGGATTCATGGAGTCCTTGGTAACCCAATTTTCGAATTAGCTATGGCAAACGGACTAATAAATATCATAAGCATTCCAAAGCCTCACAAAGTAGTAGCAGCAACTGAGGATGGAAAACAATTACCTTTCCCAATTTTACAGGAAATTTATGAGGCCTACATTTGTTTCTTACGACGATGTGAAGAATATTTTCTTAGTGCCTACAGCCCACCTGAAGGAATAAAAAGTGTTGGAGCTCATGTAGCTCTTGAAGCCGATTTATATTTATCATCTCTACCTCCAGAAGCAAGAAAAATAAGACAATTATTATTCGACTGTTTACTAAAACGAGAAACGTGCATTACAGGCTGTGATAGTATGGAAGATGTTGATTTATTAGAAATGGGTTCATATGCTGAACTTCAAGGAGGAAATATTAGTCTTCCTGGTGGTTATAGCTCTATTTTAGGCCCAGTATCTAAACACATTCCCAAAGAAAAATTTTTATTAAAACACGCAGTATCTAGAATAAGGTAAATTCTAATTTAAATTACTATTATAATTTTTGAAAAGCGAACGAACACTAATGACATTATATTTCAGATGGAAACAAGAGAATCAAATTAATAGTAGGATAGAAATAACTTGTGATAATGGTAAAACCATAACAGCAGACCAAGTAATTTGCACGTTACCTCTGGGGGTTTTAAAAAGGCGACCAGATATATTTGAACCAGCTCTACCTCAGTATAAATTAGAATCAATTCAAAGACTAATGTTCGGAACTGTAGATAAAATATTTCTTGAATATGAAAGACCATTTCTAAACCCTGGAATATCAGAAATAATGCTTTTATGGGATGATCGAGAATTACCAAAGCAAGATCTTGAAGATTTAAGCAAAAGTTGGTTTAGGAAAATTTATTCGTTTACAAAATTATCTGATACTTTATTATTGGGTTGGATATCAGGTAAAGCAGCTGAATACATGGAAAAATTAAGTACAACTGAGGTAGCTGAAGTTTGTACAAAAGTATTACGACAATTTTTGAATGATCCATTCGTTCCGGTGCCTAAATGTTGCGTGCGAACTACTTGGCATTCACAGGAATTTACAGGAGGCTCTTACACTGCCATGGCTATTGGTGCAAGTCAATTAGACATCGAAGCTCTTGCTGAGCCTCTAGTTAGTAGCAGCGATCCAAAGAAAATATTAGTTGCCTTTGCAGGTGAACACACACACTCTTCATTTTATTCTACAGTTCATGGAGCATATCTTACAGGAAGGACTGCAGCCCAGAGTGTTTTAGAAATTGAAAAAAATGATAATGCACTTAGTTTAATATGTGAAGATACGAGTGATCTCAGTTCTTGGATTCAAGGCATTTCTCTCAATTAATTAGCAAAAACACTAAAGATTTTTGTTCACGCTTTCAGAATATTAATACATATATTATAATGTAAATACTCCATTGCTTGTAAATATTAATTGCTTGTAATAATTAATTCTAGTCGCGTAAATTTATGAAGTGTATTTTTTTTCAATTTTGCATTTTTTTAACTTAGTGCATTAATTAATTTGTAAATGCCATAGGCAAGCACCCTACAATTTTTTACTCCATATTTTGGAAAATAATGCACGAGTCGAAGGTAAAATTAATTATAAACCGTAGTTAAAATATAATTTATAATTCAATAATTCATGAATATAAAAAAGTTATGACACAAGAATTTTTCTGGTATTTTTATTCGCCACGACTTGAATATATATATATATATATATATATATATATATATATATATATTATATGCAGATAAATATATATATATATATATATATATACGAATATATTGATAACAATAATAATAATTGTACAAATGATATATAATTAGTTTATACACGAATAAGTTAAAAATATTTATTATAAACGTAATCTGAATAAAACTATAATACCTGTAATAATTTAGTTTTATTTCCAAATGGGTTATTTTTTATGATTTGTTCGATTTAAATAATTTTGGTTTTTATATTTTTTTTATTATTTTTGTGACGAATAAATTTTTTTATTGTACAAAAAAAACCAAAAAAATCTATAAACTCAAGTAACCAATAACTTCATGCATGAAAAAATAAACAATTTTTAATATCTCATATCTCATAATAGTCATAATTATACTATTAATAATTAATAATAATATATACGAAATAGTTTATCAAATAAACATAATATTTATAGAAAAAATAATTGTCAACTTATAAAATATTCTGGCACATAAAATTAAAAAAAACGATATGGTGAAGTTTTCATGATAAATTTTATAATAAAAACAAATTTTTAAAAATTTTCCATTTTAAACATGAAAATTTAAAAAAAATCATAAAAAAACATTTTCATTTTTATATCTTTGATTGACTTAAATTTGTAAATGTCGTGAAAATTCACCATACAAAGTGCAGTTTTGCTATTGATTAATAATGATGATCATTTACACTGACAGTAATAATATATATTAATTATTTACGGAATATTCGCATAAAATATATTTAAAAATCAAACTTCATATATTGTTATATTTTTGTAATTTTTTTTTCAGCTTCCAGAGCTGTCTTATCATCTAATTAAACGCCAAAAAATATTTCTAATATCTATCTTTTATATATATTATATATCTTTTTGTATCATACTTTTAATTCTGATTATTAATCATTAGTCGTTATATAATTAATCTTAATTAATTATAATTAAAATTATTAACATTCAATTATGCAGGTAGCGTTTCACCCTGAGGTAGACCAAGTCAGCCAGCTAGTCCATACTTAAAAGACATAGTATTTTTAAATCAACAAAAAATATTCAGCAAGGATATTCTAAAAATTTATAATTTATTTATTACTCTTTCATATTCAGTTATTTTTAATAATCATTTTTTAATTTTTTTTTTTTAATAATAGAAGGTACGTATAATAATAAAGTAATAAATTGACAATGAATTTATAAACGAATTTCTTTTAAGCAAGGACTCATTCATAGCCGTTTATATTGTTTTATCAATAAATTATATATTTTTTAATTTTTTCTTTTTCTCTCTTTCTTTCGTTTTCGTTTTGTTTTTTTTTTCTTATAAATTTATGGTGGATTTTCTTTGTTAATAAAAATATATCTATTGCCGCATATATTTATGAAATGTACGTTTCTCTTAGTACGATTATCGCGTTTATAAACTTGTAGATAAATATACCTTGGTTATGATATATTTTATAATTTATAATTTTTTCGTAGGTAACAACAACTTTGTACTAAAAGTCGTCTATACCACCATCAGCAACACCAGCTTTAATCTTGTCCAAAACTTTATTCACGAATTCTGTTGAATGATTAGCAATTTTCAATTCTGAAATTAAAAATTGAAAAATAATTAAATTCATTTTTAATTTAACTTGATGCATATTGTTACAGAGAAATATACATAATTTATTAATTTTCTGATTTATAAAAAAGCTCTTGTAATTGTTTATTAATATAATTATGTAAATTATTGCACAATGAGTGCTAATCATTGGAATTTTTTTTTAAGATTGAAATTTATACATTTATTGTTTCATGTATTTTTTTGTGTTTTTAAGTACAATAAATGATAATTATAATTGAAAGATTAAAATTATGACATAAATGACTAATCGTTGAAAAATTATCTAATTAGTATTTGTAATTTATAAAGTGAGCAAATGATAAGAATATTGTTTAGATGAGATATATTATAAATGATAATACGAAAAATTGAATAAAAAAAAAACTTTTAAGATATCAAGATTATTTTAATGTATATTGAAATAAAAATAATTGACTTCAATTTTTCTAATAAACAATCTACTGTAAAATATAATTAATAAATAATTATAACTTACTTGTAGCTGATTTACATATTCTGTCCATTTGGCGAGTAAGTTCTTCTTGATTTTCCGGATTCGCTTCTGTTAATTTAGCACTTAAAATAGCTTTCATTTGTGAAATTCCTTGGATTAATCGTTTATGTTCAATTTCAAGTCCATGTAATTTTATTTTATTAGCCTCATGTTGTGCTTTCTTTTTCAAACGACAGGCCCGAGAAGCAAGCTTATTTTTTTCTTTACGTGTTTTAGGCCTAGCAGGAAATGGTAATTCGGAAACTGGAGTCATATCATTAATAACACGAGATAATTTATCGAGCTCTTTCCCAATGGTATATAATTTCCTTGGATTGGGAGTCAAATCATTGCCGTCCCCTTTTCTAGCTTTTCCACTGTGCTTTATGCCTCGAAGTGCGCAGTGGGGGCTAAAAACTGGGTCTGTTGCTTCATTCAAAACGTGAGGATCTTCTAAACGCGTGTGTGCTACCAGTCTTTGTCCTTTAGGCCCCTTGGCTTGAACGTTGTACTGCCAGAAATATTTTTCTTTTTTACTTGCCTTACTTTCCTTGGAATCTTTAATACTGCCATGATCTTCACCATCACTTCCTCCACTTTCTAAGAAAAGCATAAAAATTTTATTTTTATAAAAACTTTTCCTGAAAAGTATTTACGTCTAATTGATTAATAATAAATATAATTTTTTAGATTTAATATATATATATATATATATATATATATATATATATATATATATATATATATATATAAATTTATGTAAAAAATGTCAAAATTTACCATTGTCACTGGAGTAATCATCATAATGATCACTGTCATCGTCACTGTCTTCATATCCTTCATCATGGCTGAGAGGATCTAAATGGTTTAGAGGATCAGCTTGACCCAACGGATCAGGACTCAGAGCTCCACCAGTGCTTAAACTACTAGTTGATTCAGCTTCAACTAAGCCAAGACTTCCGGTGCTTAAAAGATGTTGTCGAGGTTCTCTCCGAGCCCAAATTTGTTCTAGGCCCATTGTTTGTGTCGGTGCAGACATTGAGAGTCTTGACACTTTTATTATATTAGTAGAAGTGTCCATTGGAATAGGACTTATTTGGCTGTACATCGAACTATTATTCAAAGTTGAATTCTCTTCTTTTCTCATTAATAGTTCGTGAAGAGTTGATTGTACTGGTTTTGCCGCCATAGCTGGTGATGGTGAACTAGCTGAACTTTCTGAAAATGAAATAAAAATTTTGATTCTATTGTGATGAAAATTAAAAAATGAAATAAAAAGAAATTTATCTTTAGATAATTTAATTAACCTGGAACATTGCTTGTGCTTGGACTTGGAAAAGCAGACACATTGGCAGTTTCAATAGTTTCAATTATATTAACCCTTCCATTAGGAGGAACTCCCGTAACAAAATTATAGGCGGGTAACTCTTTGTATTGAATAGTAGACTGTGGACAGCTACTGGAAGCAAAATTATTAGTTGGTGCACTTGTAAACAAAGGTCCAGTCGGCTGAATACTAGGAGTTTCTGTCCTTAAGGGTTGAAGTTTTTCTTCTGGTAATAATAAATCATCAAAATTCAGGTCTCCAAGTAAAATATCATCATTGGCATTGAGTTCAGCAAGCGTAGGTCCTTGAATAAGATCAGCTTTGTCCACTTGAAAAATATCATCATCTTCCATTTTGAATGTAATTCCCAATTGTTCAGGATCAATTGTAAATTGTGAATCATCGTCAGGTCTACCGGTCCAGATTGATGTTACGGCTAATGGAGATGGCGAAAATTGATCATAAATTCCTCTTAAACCTCTGTGACAACCTGGAATAGGTACTGAAGCAGACGAATTCATTTCTTGGTTTTGAAGCGTTTCTTGCTTTATTCCGTCCATTGTACTGTTTTCTAGCTCAGCTAACAAATATCTCGTATAATTTTGGTCGTTCATTATTGATTTTTTGATGCTCTCAAAAATAAGCTTTCAAATGGTTTGATTTTATATATTATTGACAATATTTTTGAGGTTAAGACTAACAAAAAAAAACTAAAATTAAATTTAATGTTAAAAACAGTAGTATTGTTTGTATTTGATTAATATTTAAGATCACATAGTGAAGCCTTTAGACATTCACGTTGTGAATGCATGACCATGACTTTCGTAAGCAATGATTTTCTGTCGTTGATAAAACGGAAGATCATGAAAAAGTAAATTTTTACACTTTTCACTATAATTAATATTCCACTGAATGTTTAAACACAAACTTAAATAATTTTAACACTCTATCACGCTGGATTTAGATGTTATTCACTGTTTTATAATAAGGATAACAAACGTCTGTTATTGTTTTGCCATGAGATCGTGAGAAAAATAACCCCCCACTCTGTAGTCTTAGAATAAATAGGAAAAAGGTCAGAAGCAACGTGAAGCGATCAATCCACAGCAATTTCGAGGATGTTTGGCCAATCAAAACACAAAGAGCCACCTCACGTCATGAGAATTTTTCTAACAAAGAAGCCACGCGGTTGTCTATTTTGACTACGTTAGAAAAATAATCCAAATATGCAATTATGTAGGTTTAATTTTTTTTTAGTTTATCAATGTTAAAAATCACCTTAGACAATGTTTATGTAATAAATCAGGCACAGGATAATATTAAAAAATATCAATTATTGAACAAGGAACACCGTGTTTATGTTTCAGCTCGATAACTCGAAGTTGCGTCATTGTCACATTCGACTACTCGAAGTTGCATCACCTCACGACATCAACTTCGAGCCAATTTTCAAATTTGATATGTTATAATATTTTTTAAACAATTAATGCACATCAAATTAATCTGTGATTATATTCTTATTAATTTTTAGGACATTCAAAGCACTTAAAGGCCTAGAAGTAACTGTGTCTATTTGAGACAGCGAACGTTTTTTAGATTTCTTTGTAAACTTCGATATTTTTAAAGAAAAAATGTAATGTTGGTAAGCTTGGAACACCGCTGCACATGTTTTCGTGACTCATTTCACGTTCCATTAGTCTCGTACGATATGTATGATGGCTATACAACGAATTATTACAAAGAAATACGGCTTTTTAAATACATGAAAAATATAGAAATTATTAATTTATCATGAATATTATTGCCAATTCTAAAACGATGCTTCGTGTTAATTCTAATCTTATTAAACGTAAGTTTTTATGTTGCTTGTCAATGAAAATCTAAATAATATTTACTACACAATTTTTACATATACCTCGTCATTCATCCACATTTGATTTATATAACATAAAATTTATTATTTTTGAATAATAGAGTAATTAACTTTCATTCATTTATAATAAAAAAATTAGACTAAAAATTAATACTTTCTTAAATATTGTCAATCTTTCAGGATGTTATTGTGCAAAGCCTTGGAGTATTGACAGTTATAAATTAAAGTCCACCATACCATACTCTCAAAGATTTGAAAGAAAAATATATTTTAAAGAATTTAGTCCAATTCTTCGAAGGATCTCTCCATCACCTTCATTTTCTTACTTGCAATTTCGTGATTTACACATTTCATCATCATGGAGAGGTCCAGATACATCATCGAAAATAGAAGAAACTGTAAAAAGTTTAAAAGAAGACCAAGAGGGAAAAGAAAAAAAAATAGCTGCAAGCTCAGTAGAAACAACAGACACTAACAAGGCAGTTGTTAAAAAAGATACTATTTGGCAAAAAGTCAAAAGAGAATTACTTCATTATTATCATGGTTTTCGACTTTTATGGTTAGATATGAAAGTTTCAGGAAAACTATTGTGGAGATTGGCTAAAGGCAAAGATTTAACCAGAAGAGAACGTAGGCTTTTGATCAAAACAACCAGTGATATGTTTAGATTAATTCCATTTTCAGTTTTTATTATTGTTCCATTTATGGAATTTTTGTTACCAGTTGTAATAAAATTTTTCCCTGGGATGTTGCCGTCAACATTTCAAACTGCAACAGAAAGGGAAGATAAACTTAAACAAGCATTGAAAGTAAAAATAGAAATGGCGAAATTTCTACAACAAACTCTAGATGAGATGTCTGTCCAGTCATCTGAACATAGGTCACAAAAAGCTAAAGAATTTTCAGAATTTTTCTATAAATTAAGATCAACCGGTGGTGTTGCCTCTAATGAAGAAATAATGAAATTCAGTAAACTTTTTGAAGATGAGATAACGTTAGATTCTTTATCGAGACCACAATTAATAGCGTTATGTAGAGTTCTAGATATACAAACACTTGGTACTACGAATTTTTTACGATTCTTATTGCGAATGAAGTTAAGAAATTTAAGTGCTGATGATAGACTGATCGATAAAGAAGGTGTTGAAACATTAACGAGAGCAGAGTTGCAACAAGCTTGTCGAGCTAGAGGAATGAGAGCTTATGGAATGCCAGAAAATAAATTAAGGGAACAACTAGAGCAATGGTTGGATTTAAGTATTTATAAAAAGGTTCCACCTTCACTTCTACTTTTATCTCGTGCTTTAATGGTTCCTGATACAATGCCGATGTCAGACAAACTTAAAGCAACTATTTCTGCGCTTCCTGATGATGTTCTTGCTCGCACGAAAGGTGCGATTGGAGAGAAAGAAGGTAAATTGGATCATAAAACTAATATTGAGATAATTAAACTTGAAGAACGTAAGATTGAAGAAGAAAGAGCAGAAGAAAAGGAGATTATTCAACCAGAACCAGTTGTTAATATTGTAAATAATAAAAAGGATGAAATTACTACTACTGATGTGAAGGTTCTTGAGCGGGCTCTAGATTCTATCACAAAAGAAAAGAAAATGGTTGTAGAAAAAGAAGAACTCAAAGAATTAAAGGAAGAAATGCAAGAGTATCAAGAAGATGTTCAAGAGCTTGCTGAAATAAAAGCTGAAGCTAAGAAAACAGGTGTTAGTGAGCTTGATGATCTTCAAGTATCTAAAGGAGCACTTAGATTATACAAGAAGGTTAATAAGATGATTGGAAAAATGGATGTAGTTCTGAAAGACTTGGAAAAGTCTGAGGAACAAGTAAAAAAGAAGATTGAAACGTTGAAACCAGAAGAACAAAAAGATTCTGCTGCTGTTGAAGAACTTGTTAGAATTGATGAACTCATTGGAGCTATTAAACAGATTCAACATGTTGCTGATGAACCTCGATTGACCAGAATTTCTGAAATTCTTGGACAAATTGACGTCGATCAGGATGGTGCTTTAAAAGTCGAAGACGTTCTCAAGGTAAATACTAAATTAATAAGTAATATTACTTAATTTTAATAAGTAAATATTAAATATTTTTCTTATTAATATATTTTATTATTTCCAGGTTATCGAGCTTATAGGAGAAGAGGATGTGAAGCTAAATAAAAAGCAAATGCGGGAATTAATTGAGTTGATGGAGAAAGAAGAAGTACTTGAAGTAGAAAATCAAATTCAAAAGGCGTTATTGAAGGAAACTAAAGAGTCAAAGTTAACAGATGATACAGAAGTATCTCCCGTTCCTGGTACTCCTGTAACGAAAGAAAAATCATCGACAGATAGTACCGAAGAGTTCAATGAAATTCCTAAAATTACGGTTAAATCTACAGATTCTGAAGAGATAAGAGATTCCGCTCCTGTATTAAATGATTCTACTAAAACTGATACCGTTCCACGAGTTACTTCAACAGTACCTCCACCCCCTAAACAACAAAAAGTTGAAGGTTCAAAACAACTATAATTCGCACAACGGTTCTTATATAAATAAACGCTTAGTCAAATATTTTTTTTACCAGAAACCTGACGAGTTTAAAGCATCAAAAATCAGAAAGATTGGAAATTGATGATGATAGAAATGAAAAATACAGAAGATAAAATATATTACTAAGTTAATGAAACAATTGGTTACGAGAAACAATAGGAAAATAAGCTACATGAACCACTCACGTGTTCTTTTGCGTGTCTGCCATGTAATTTATTTTAAAATTTAATTTTTTTTAAACTATCTAGAAGAAAATACTGTGCTGGTGCATTTGATCTGTACCTATAAATAATAATAGTTATAAATAATATGCAATATTTTTTTGAATGAAATATATTACGTGGGATCATTCCATCGAAGAAAAATCAATTTCAATGACACTGAGCATTTGTAATCGATTTTGTTACGTAATTATAATGAGTTTGCAAGTAGATAGTAGAATAGAAAAAAAGAGTGGGCAGAAAAACGCACTAAGTCTCTAATTAATGAGACTTAAATAATAATGATAATAATTTTAAAATATAAAAAAAATTGTACAATTATACTTAATAATTTCTCAATAGCTTCATAAAGCAAAGTTTAATAATATATTAAAATAAATCAATAAAAAAAAAAGGAATATGAACAAAAAAATTGTATTATTAATTATTAAATTGATTCATTTTTAAAAATAAAAACATTGAAATATCATCAAAATTTTCTTTTATTTTCATTAATCCTATCGATTAATTAGCAAAATATCTTTGTTATGCATATAAAATATCACTTATTTGGCGAAGAATGTAGAGCATTTATGGAAAGGGCGATTGGTATTTTATATACGTCACTGAACAATAGAAGTAATGAGGAGGGAGCTGCGACTGAAACACAGCCAGCCTCAGTGGCCGCCATGTTTCTCACCAAGTGGGGTGTATAGAAGGCCGGGGTGAAAAATCATCTCTCTGGATATGCAGGTAAAATTCTTACAATACCTAAGTTTGCAATTATAATATAGGTATCTGTTTACAAAATTTAATAATAATTTTACCTAATGGAACGATATTAATGTCTTAATTCGCAACGTCATTCACACGAATTCTCGAATCTCGTTTTCCTATGACTCAGAGGAAACGCGTAGTACATTCGATAAGGTTATTTACATGATATTTTGTATTTTGGTCTCAAATTTCTAGTAGAAAATCATTGTTTTGTTGATTAGACAAATTAAGTTATATTTATGAGTGAATTTTGTAGATCTTTCATGAATCAAGTTTATTTCGTGGTCCAAGGATACACTTTGGTAATCATGCGTTGCATTAGTCATAGCAATTGCATCATTTTTTGTCTCTTAACCATATATACAGTCATTCTTTGTCTTTATTGTGATGATTGTTTTATGTAAAAATGAAAGCTTCTTAAAAAAAAAAAAAATTGTTTCTTATTGCAGCGTCAAAATGGGAAGGAGATTTAATTTTTCCTTCACTAAGACATGCCATCCTCTCGACGACAACGGAACCTCCACCCAGATACTACAACAAAACTAATAATAATTTATGAAAACTGACAAAAGGCAACCTACGATATCAAGGACACGAAAAACAATTTTTTTATAGAGTAATACCATTATTTATCAAAAAAGAATTATACGGTAAACGGGTGGTGGTTTACCTAAGTCAAAATAATTAAGGAAGGACAATAAAATTGAATACAAAGGTTTGTTTAATTAATTTATCTATTTATAATTAATTAATTCTATTTTTTTAAAACTCATTATAATATACGTCGTTACATAAATGTGATAACATTTTCTAGGCCGTCTACATTTGTCTCGTTAAAATATTAAAAAACTAGTTTTGTATGATAGTTAATAACTCAATTGACTGTAATCACCCACCGATTTATTTTTATATTTTCCAAGTTTTTGATTTTTATCTTATCATCTATACAATTAGTAATTTCGTCTAATTGATGTATCAAAATACCTAAGTTTTATTCTTAAATGCAACGGTAATTAAAATATAGAAATAAATCTTAAAAATATTTCTGTAATGGAGTTTTAATTTCATGGCATTAAAAATAATGTGAATTAAATTGCTTTTGAAATATTGCAAAATAATCTGCAACATTTAAATATGATTTTTCTTCAAAGGCTATTTAATGCTAATTGACAATTATTTATAGCCCTTCAAAAGATTATTTACAATAGAACCTATAAATTTTCTTTATCACGATTAGTATTCATTGTTCCATTTAATCTAAAAGGCACATGTAAAAAGTCAATAATAACAAACAAAAAACATTAAATTGATTTCAGAGAGATGATCACCCCGGTAGCAGTGGAGATAGTAAGAGTTAATGAGTCCTGGTGGATATTAAAAAGGGAATGAGGAATCCAGCTCTTCGTTTGGTCGGGATAGCGGCGTCACCAGGGGGTGGCGGCGTTTTTGGCACTAGGGCCGAGGAGGAGTTGCGCTTGTGGCTTGAGTCACGCTTGGACGCATTGGGGATTGACCCAGTGGCGTACTCGCGCTTTGTGCTCAGCCTGTTGCGCCGCCCCGACTCGGCCCTGAGTCCCCTCGACGACGAAATCGGTCGGAGCGGTGGACGACGTCGTATTCGGTCAAGAGCACATTTGCAAGGCGACAGAGAACAACGACGCGCCGTCGTTCAATGTCTTACCAATGCTGCCGATCAGGTATACAAGTCAATGCCAAGGACCCTTTATGTCTAGTCAGAGATCGACCGCATACCTAGAATTTAGTCCTTCCTTAATGACCTCATAAATATTATATTATATTATTTGCAGAAATGTCTGGGAGTAGAGTCATTGGTTGATGAACTCTGTGCTAAGTTGAGAGACCTCGAGGGTAGTGAAGCTAATGAAAAAGAGGAAGAAGAATGTCGAAAAATAGAGGGAGAACCAAAGAGTAACTTTGAAGCACTTACTCCTCGTGACAGGGCTCTCAGATACTACGCCGCTTTTCCAGCCTTACAACCTACCACCCCGAAGAGAAATATTCACAGAAAGGACAAGAACTTCGGTGCCGCTAACAACAAAAATCGAAACATCGGTCTTACTACCGCTACTACTAATAAAAATAATAATAATAATAAAAATCATAACAATAATAATAATCATAAGAACCACAAAAATAAAAATAGTGATAATTTCAACGCTAAAGGAAAGAAGAAAACTAAAATGTCGATTGTTGTAAGTATTTTAAGGTTATTTTACTTTGTTTGGTGAATTTCATATTTATTAATTTTTTCTTTTTTGACAGCAGGCCTTTGAAACTCGTCATATGGACGAAAAAGAAACTTTTGGATTTGCTAAATCAATGGAGAAAGAACGCGAAAGAGAACAAGAACGTGAATTAGAATTAGATAAATTACGTTTAGCTGAATTACAAGCGAAGTTTAACGAGAGTTTGGAAGCACTTTGGGACAGTGGTCCGGGAATTAACCAAGATAAAGCATCAATTTGGGCTGCTCCATCACTTTCAATTCCTTCAGGCCCACTTTGGCCTGTGGATCCTGGTGAAGTGTCTCTAATTTTACCAATTAACGACAGCGTATCTACGGTTGATACTCCTTATCAAGAATCGATTGATGATTCTCCAATTATTCCCTGGGATATTGATTTAATTGGAGTTGGCAAGTATACTGATGAAAGTTGTGAAAAAGATAAAATTGGTTACAATTTAAGCTGGTCTGAATATGGTGGTGATGGTCCGTGGAATTGGAAAGAACTTGGGAACAATTTGATAAACATGGACAAAAGTCCTAAAGATAAAAATTTCTTTCCAATTGCCCAACCAAAAACTCCAAAAAATGAAGTTGATGCTGATTTAAAGATGGAAAGTCAAGAGGAGGATTTATTAACTTCTGCTCGCACACATTTTCGACCAATTAAAGACGATGGTCACTGGGCAGATGGTACTACATTTCCAGTAAATAATCATCTTGAAAAAATTACTTACCGTCGTTCTGAATCTGGAAATCTACTTTATTTACCTGGAGATGAAAATCCTTATATGGAGTTTCGTGATACACCATCACCATCAGCTAATTTTACACTTAAATTTCGTGTCCGTCAGTGTGATAAGGGAATTCAAACTGATCCTGTTCGATCACCAGTTAAACGTAGAATTCTCGCTGAAGCTGATCATATTTACTATTCAGTTCATGATGATGATGTTTTGATTGCTGATGAAGAAGATGATAAAGATTTTATCATCAATCAAATGCCTTGGATTCAACCGAGTTTGTCGTTACTTAACGATAGAAAAAGGTATTTAAAAACATATTTTTTAATTAATTAATCGTATTCGTAATGTTTACTATTAATTATTATTTTACCAAGTATGAAATACACTTTTTGATTATGTTATTATCCTGCTAAACAAATTTATTAGAACAGGATAACTTTATGAGTGTACATAAACAGATTACTTTTCGATATATCCATTAGCAATCATTAAATTTAATCATAAAAAATTGTTTTTTAGGAGACACAGCAGCAGCTTCAATTGTCGGCCATTAACAGCCTTACGCCCGCTGACGTTATAAAAAAGGCTATTTCAGTCTCAAGGAAAAAACGGCAAGACGGGTTTTAGCTGTTATAATAATTAAAGAAAGAATAGTTAAACAATATAAAGAAACTAGAAACAAAGCAGAAGCAACAAGAAAGAAAGAACTTTCAACAACACAAAGAAGTTAGTAAATAATTACGTAATTAACGTATAACAGGGGGGTCCTCTTGGCATGTGGAATTTGTTATGCATGAACCCAAGGAGGTACAGCTAAACCCCCTTGCTAAAAGTATAAAAAATATTAAATGAAAATTCTATTGTCCTGTCTATAAGAAATGAGTTCAGAATCTATAAAATGCATTAAGACGATTGATGCTTTGAATTATTATAATTACTACAATTATAAATAATATTATTATACAAATAATTTATTTCCTGCTGCTTCTGAATTTCTTATTAGACAGGTCAATTGCGTAATTAATCATAACTGTTTATTTAGAGAATTTAATTATTACAATTATTATTATTATTATTATTATTATTATTATTATTATTATTATTATTATTATTGTGAGTTAAAAAGTATAAAAAAAAGATAAAAACATATTACGTAGACGTGCGTTACGTTTTATTCCTATGTCTTGTAACGACTTTGCACGTCAAAAAAACGTTTACAAAAAAAATTAAATACCTCGTGCCTCAATTTAGTAATTTTTGAGGTTTTGCATTACTTAGTGATGAGTGTTTTTTTCTTCTTTTCGGTTAAATATTTATAACCATATCACTCTCATGAATACAATTAATTTGTTTTGTGAAAATTTATTTATTATTCTTCCATATGAGCTGTTTTTTCATGTTTGGTATCTTTATATGGAAGAAGTACATTTTCGCGTGACGCTGAATCGATATCGCCAAAAAAAAAGATAAAAGGTAGGTTATAGAGAGACAAAAATAATTAAAAAAAAAAATAATAAAAATAAACAAAATTAAGTAAATAATGATAATAATAATAATACAAAAAAAATTTAAAAAAAAATTAAAAAATTGTTAGTTTGTTTGAAAGCGATCGATAAATTGCATCACGCAGTTAAAAAAAAAAGGACAATGTGTTGATATTTATGTTTGTTTTGTCCATAATTATTAATGAATTATTATTGTAATCATATCCTAATTATAATTTAATGCCCCTAGACAACATATTAACATAAACTCTTCCCTTGAACACTTTTTCCCTTTTCCAAAAATAAAAAATCCCTTTACACTCAAACTCCAAATATCCTTAAATCCTTAACACTCAAATAAACCCTCTAACAAAATCAAGTAACACACAAACACAAAAAATAAATGTATAATGAAAAATTGTACTCGTAATGCAAATTTTCTTTGAAAATTTGATAAAGGTGCGTCAAAGAGATGGATAAATGTGGAAGAAAAAAGTAGAAAAATGATGGAAACTGAATATATGAACAAAATTAAGTATGAACAGTTTTTTTTAAAGATAACAAAAGTATGATTCAACCGGAGTAATAATTTTAAAATGTTCGTTGGAAATGAAGTAGGTGAAAATATGTATGAGATTTGTGAAATAAAATGCGATCCGAACCATAATTTAATCATGAATATCATTTTTTTATCATTAGTAACACTATTTTATTTATCCTTCAATCTACAACCTTAAGAATATATTAAAACCTTGCTCGACAGTTGGAATCTACAGGTTTAATCATTAAATCAGATGGCTTAATAGTATTAAATCGACGACTATCAACATTTCGCCAGGCAATTTTTGGTTTCATCATCGATTTTCTGTTCACCCTCATGCGTTTAATTACATAAAACCAATATTCAATGCTAAGAGTTATACACGCTAAAACTATACCCACAAAAATAACAATAAAAACACCACCAATATTTTCGATACTGATACCATCACTTTGATCAAGTATTTTTGGACAAATTTTTTTGTTGGGATTTTTATTCCACCATTTATCTTCCAAATGATCTAAAATTTGTTTTCTTTTTATTTGGATGATCCTAGAAGAATTCAAAATTAAATTAAAAGATGCGATTAAATTTTTTTTTAAATAATAAACATTATCTTAATAAATTCTTACGCATCGTTTAATTGAGTTCTCAGTGGAGAACCATTTTGAACTCCAAGACCATAAGGTTTCTTTGAAAATTCATCACCCACCATAATTATATCACAAGAAGTCATGGTCAAATATCTTATTTCAGCAGCATCACCAATCCATGCAAATTCTGATGTTTGTTCACTCGATAATCCTCGAACCCTATCTAGAGCTTCGTCACGAGTTGCAGGACATTTAGCTTCTTGCATAGCTTCAAACATTTTTGTATATTTGTCACTTACTGGATAATCCCAAACTGCTAGCTTAGCTCTTTCAACTTCAGATAAACTATCATTTAAACTCATATCTTTCCAAATTCTATATAATAAATATAAAATTATGAAATCATAACCAATATTTATATATTTATTAATATCTGATAACTATTTATACATACTCATAAAATTTATGCTCAATATTGGCCATTCTCTCGAAATATGTATATGCTTCAGAATCTTTTGTTGGAGCATATTGGATTTTGTACTGCTTACTAAGACCATCAAGTGATTCAATTGGAGTTTCTAATCTTGAAACAGTGAGGAAGGCAGCAAGATTAGCTGTATATGAAGCGATAATTATAAAACCAAACAACCACCAAGTTGCTGCAACTAATCTTCCTGAAAGATTTTTTGGAGCTTCTCCACCACCTTGAGGAGTTAAAGAAGTCATACAAAACCAAAGGCATTCTTTTAAATCAAATATTCTCTTTTCATCATCATCTTTATATTTTTCTTTATTATTTTGATAACTATAAGGTGAATACTTGTCAAAAATCCACATTAAAATACTTGTAAAAAAATATGAAGCTAAAATGCATAACCATACATTCTTTTCTAAGACTGTTAAGAATTTGAACAACGAAGTTTTAACTTTGGGTTTCATCATAAGGATTGAAATTCCTACATGTTTGTAAAATGGAATCGTGAAATCTATCACACTATCTCTTTCAGCCATTATGGAAAAAGATCCCAAAGCAATATCTGCACTTTTATTCATCAGCTCTGCTACCATTCCATTCCATTGACCGTCTGTTAAAGTACCATATTTTCCATCAGGGACTGCATAAAGGGTGTATGAAAAGTTCATGATCTTTTGGATTTCATTCAACATATCAATACAGTAACCTGACCATGTTTTACTTGAATTATCATACTGGACAAATGGTGGATTTATTACTACCACGATTCGATAGTTCATTGATACTTGATGTGTCTTTATTTCTTCTATTGAATTATTTTGAAACTGTAAGTACACATAAGGCTAATTTTTATAAGTAGAAATAGAAAAAAATTGTTTTTTATTTTTAAATAATACTTACTTCTATTTTAGAATCAATACCTGCTGACCAAGAACCAATCAGTTTTGAAGTCAACATGTGATTTGTCTTATCATTACTTAAGTAATTAATATCCATATCAAACTTAGCTTGATGATCTCCATTTGCATTACCCCATTGGAAATCAGCAAAAGTTGCTTTAAAATCTGAATTTGAAGTTACTTCTTTTAACTTGGATAGTAAATCTAAATTTCTAACTGGTGTATTAGTACCATTAAACTCTTCACAAGTAATATATTCAGGTTCTGTTGGCCAGAGATTTTCTTTCACAGCTAATCTCATAGCTTTAATACCAATCCTAATAAAATCATAATAAAAAGCAGACATAATATGAACTTCTTTAAATTTTGTATTGTTCATCAAAACTTTTATTTGATCTCGTTCTTTGTCAGTCACCTTAGGTTGGAATAACATTAGTGGTAGTTTAGGATTGGATTGTACGCTATTTAAATTTCCAATATTTTCATTATTCAAGCTAAAACTATACCAATTGTGAAACTCGGCAGCAAAGTTATTATCCATAGCAGTGTTAATTTGTTTAATGATAGTATCTATCTTGCCTAGGATAAAAAAATTTAAGAAATCCAATTTCCTTAGTTGCTTCAATTGTTCTAATATATCATCTTTTAATGATTGAGCTTTTACAATAACATATCTCTTTAACACATTTGCTAGTAAAGTCTTGTATTTAGTATCCATAGAAAAATTATCATCAAAAATGATTGCAGCATCACTAATATTTGCCTGCATTATTAGTAATCGGATTACATTTGGAATTAAATCTGCTGGTGGTTTCACTTGGACTAAATATTTTTCTCGATCTTTTGGTAAATTATTCCAATGTGTTAAATCTTCTCTTTCACCAAATTGTGCTGAAAATGTTGGTACTCCTACAGCTGCCGTAAAAATACGTACTATTTCACCACTAAAACCACTTCTAGTTGTATCTAGAACTAAATCTGGACGACCAATTTGATTTTGCACTGCATCATGCCAAGCACTACAGATGTTTGTAAGAGCTACTTTTGGATCAGATCCATTGATTTGAAGTACAACAATATTTTCTACTTCACCAGAATGAGAGCTTTTAATATCTGTCAATGTATAATTGATACTTTGATTTGTTTCTACATTTTCTACATCATTGATAACAACTACAAGAAAAAATATATATTAGCAATAAATTCATAATACTTATCAAAATGAACTTACATAAATTGATAGCTCTTGTCTGCTTTGAAATTGGTTTTTCTTGTCCATAACATACAAATGATCCTGACCAACTAATCAATGTTAAGATGATTATCCACCCTTTCATAATTGCAATCTTTCGTCATTAAGACACTTATAACTACTTAGAAATATTCAAGAATACTAAACTACAAAAATAAGTTTGTCGATTCGTTGCTTTAGGAACGACCCTTGTAATACGTTGTGTCATTTAGATCTCTTGTTGTCTCTTCACACCTTTTCTAGAGCACATTAAAATTGTATATCCTTATTTTTTATTCACTTAATAGCTTTTACAAATAGTGTTTAGTCAACTACATATAACTTTGTTAAGTGTCATGTGTAGATACGAGAATATTTAATGAGTCCTTGTCTATTGGTTGACCCTTGTTTGTATATTCCTCCCAGAAAGAGTCATGTGGGAATAGAGCTTACAAACACCCTTGTAATACAAGTAGAAAGTTTGTTGATTGCTTTATTGATAATTTAATCAATTTACTTGATCATAGGTATATTTTAAGTTTGATCAATATTTAATAATTATTATCATCGAATAATTATGCTTATGACTAGATTTTAGTAACTATTTCCTATAGGGAAATATTAATTATTTACGATCGATATGTATTTATTATGAACATTTATTATATATATTTTTAATTATATATAATTTATTATATAAAAATTGTAACAATTACATACAAACATTGTGTTAGTTAATTTGTTTTTTAAACAATTTTATAATCAAATTAAAACTCTAATTATTTTGAGTGTCTTGATGTAATTCAGAATTTTTTTTAACTCTTGAACGTAACTTAAGTGTTAAATTTTGTGATGTATTATTTTTTGGATGTATTTTATTCATTTCTAAACGTTTTTTCTCTTTCTGTTGTGGTTTATAACGATAAAACCAATATTCATAGGCCAAAGTAATACAAGCTAAAATTATTCCCATAAAAATAACAATAAATACACCACCAATATTTTGTATACTAATCCCATCATTTTGACTTTCTTCTTTTGAACATTTTTGTCTCTTTGGATTATCAGTCCACCATTTATTTTTTAGTGTTTCTAATTCTCGTTTATTCAAAAGTTTTAAAATACTGAAAAAAAATATTTTTTATTGGATTGTTATTATTAAATCATGATATTGGGAAAATTAAAAAATTTCTTACGCATTATTTATTTGATCTTTTAGAGGAGATCCTTCTTGGACAGCAATAGCATAAGGTTTCCTTGAAAACTCATCTCCAACCATTAGTAGATCACAAGTTGTCATGGCTAAGTATTTAATTTCAGTTGCATCACCAATAAAAGCGAATTCAGTTTTATCTTTTTCTGGTATCTGACGACGTACTCGTTTTAATGCTTCTTCTTTAGATTTTGGAAACCCTGCTACCTTCATTGCTTCAAACATCTTCGTGTACTTATTGCTTAAAGGATAATCCCAAACTGCGTATTTGAATTTCTCAGGTTCTTTTGAATCTATAGCCATGTCTTTCCAGATTCTATTTAATTAAATAAAATCCATGTTAGATAATTAAGAAAATAAATGTTACTTTAATAATATTAATGTCATACTTACTTATAAAATCGTTTTTCAATTGCAGACATTCTTTCAAAATATGTATACGCTTCAGATGGATATATAGGAGCATATTCTATTTTGTATTGATTGCTAAGATCGTCAAGTGATTCAACTGGAGTCTCTAGACGAGAAACAGTGAGAAAGGCAGCAAGATTAGCAGTATATGAAGCAATGATGATAAATCCAAATAACCACCAAACTGCAGCAACAAGTCTTCCTGACAGATTTTTTGGAGAATCTCCACCACCTTGGGGAGTTAAAGAAGTCATACAAAACCAGAGGCATTCTTTCAAATCAAATATTCTTTTCTCTTCAATATCATCTTTGTATTTTTCTTCATTATTATGGTAACTGTACGGCGACCATCGATCAAAAATCCACATCAGAAAACTTGTAAAAAAATAGGCACCCAAAATACATAGCCATACTTCGTTTTCTAGCACAGTCAGAAATTTAAATAGAGACGTTGGTGGTACTGGTTTGTACATCAAAATAGAAAGACCTACTAAATCATAATAGGGAACAGTAAAATCGACAACATTTTCTCTTTCAGCCATAACTGATAATGTTCCAATTGCAATGTCTGCTTTCTTTTTTATCAGTTCTCCAATCATTCCATTCCAAGTTCCATCTGATTCATTCATTGCACCAAATTTTCCATCTGGTGCTGCATAAATTTCATACTCAAAGAATAATATGTTAGATATTTTGTCTAACAAATCGATGGAGTAGCCAAACCATCGATCATTTTCAGGATCATATTCCACAAAAGGTGGAACTTCCACTGTTACCACACGAAAACTTGTTACTGCTGTATGATTACGTACAATATCGAGGTTTTCTTCTGGAATCTGCAAATGAAAAATATCTAACATTATTCTATAAATAATAATTTAATATATATAGATATTTATTTTTTTAATTTAAAAAAATTACGTAAAATCGTGAATGAGAGCTTGGTTTCCATTCTCCCACATATGTTGTTTTGGAAATTTGGCCATTAATAATAGTACTCATTTGTATTTGCATTTCAAAAGAAGCTTGATGAGAATACGTACGATAATCAGTCCACAAAAAAAAATTAGACGACGAAGAAATATTTCGTAATATGTTTAGCAAATCAAAGTTCCTTTGGGGTATATCTACAGAATTTAAACTGAGAAGATAAGTCATATTGAAATAAGATGGTTCTAAAGACCATAAACCTTCATTTACTGCCTGTTTCATAGCTTCAAAAGCAAGTTGAGCACATTCATAATAAAAAGCCGATGTTATTAAGGGTGTCATTATTGATCCTTTTTTTGTAAGCTTATGATACTGTTTTAGAGAAATATTTGTAAGATTTGGCTTGAAAAATAGCACAGTGACATTTGAACAATTACATTGAGGAACAAACTCATGGTCTAAAGTTATTGCATACCAGCCATATTTTCGACCAACATAATTAAGTTCTCCCGCAATCTCAAGATAATTGCAAATAGTTTCTTTTTCGCCCAAGACAAAAAAATTTACAATATCTAATCGTCGAAGTTGTTGCATTTGATCTTTAATTTCATTATTTTTGTTATTTTTAGCCTTTACTATCACATGTCTTGTAGGAATATTTAATAATAAATCCTTGTATTTATGATCCATGACGAAATGATTATCAAATATAATTGCTGCATTACTTATATTCATAGTAGATGCTAATTTCTGAACTGCATAAGGTACTAAGTCAGCAGGTGGTTTTATTGAAACGAGAAATGGTTTTTTTCTATGTGTTTTAAAAGAATCTAAATCACTTGCTTCACCAAAACGAACTGCAAATGTAGGAATAGAGAATACTGCGGTGAAAGCATATATTACTTCACTTGCGGTGCTACTACGCGTGATGTCTAGAATTAAATCTGGAGCATTATTTTTTTCCAAGTTTTCATTCCATATGTGATCAATATAGTGCAACAACTCTTCACCACTTGTCGCATTTATATTAAAAGTGAAATAATTCAATTCACCAGTCTTTTCCATGATTGTTTTCAAAGCAGCGTCAACACTGTCGTCTATAACTTGATTATCTCTTTCAGTAAACACAACTGAAAATATAAATAGAAAAAATGGAATTCGTCAAACTAATTATTACTTGAATATCATCAAAATAGAACAAAAAAATTTTCAAATAATCCAGTTAATGAAACTTACAGATTCGAAGTGGTCTTCTGTCGTGTTTTGATACATTCTTTTCTTGTGCTTTAGTAATTAAGATACTTATTGTTAGAATTAACGTAAAAATTATAGCTTTTGTTGCCATTTATTTAAATATTTTTTTGGAGTTTACAACACAAACTAACCATTTGAATAATCAACTAAAACTGAATGATAGTTTTACTGTTTATGTGTGATTTCAGAAATGTTATGTATTTTTACTGCGTCATTTCTTATATGTCTTTTTTGTAGTAATTGTATTTTCTGAACTCATCAAAATTTAATAACCCTTCTTTCCCACCTTTGCGTTGTATTTTTGTGTAAATACAGTCTAGCCTTAATATTTTATCAAGTACTCTTTGTCAATATCAGAAAACCTGTATTTATTCAAACATAATCAGAAGGGTAAGAGATAGATGGGTAAGATAGAGATAGATGTAAAAATAATTTAGTATCATCGTTGGGTAGTGAATAAATCATATGCTAGATATTAGAATCAGTTTATCGGATCAAGTAGGATTAGTTTTAGTTTATCAGCTATCTTTTGTTATTGTGTACAATTTTATTTAGAAAATAGTTAGAACAAATCAAAATTTACATTTGATTGAATTGCTTTCATTCTTCATAAATATTTTTGTAAACACGTCAAAATAAATTCCATACAATTTTGAAAAATATTTTCGAATCAAAATATTAAAACTTAGAATCTTAAAATTGTGTATGGATGTAAGATAAAATACAATTTACTCAATCATAATTCTACATTTATGAAATTTTTAATATAAAGAAGAATCAATGCGTATCTCATTGGAATATTCTAATATTACACTTTGACCATCAAATAATTGACGATGTAGATAAAAATCACACAATACACGGTCCATTTGATCAGTTATCAATTCTCCGGTATCATGATAAAAAATTCTCAATTTAACTGCATTTGGTATGTTATTTGAATTCTTCACTCCCAAGAATTCAGCCATTGTATCGATAACCTTGCCAATTGTCCAGATGTTGCTTACAAAAACAGCAATCGGATTATATTTATGCGATGGTTGTAAAGGTGGATAAACAAGAAAATATCGTCGATCCTGCATTGGTATTGCTCTGGAACCTATAGCTCTACCTTTTATTTTCATTAGTTGAATCTAAAAATGAAGAACAAATTTATACGTGACTATAATAATTAATAACGGTCGAATGAATATTATTGTGAAACAAATACAGCGTTATTAATCAATTCATTATTTCCTTTTCTTTTGTTTGATTTTAGTTAACCCTGAATAACATTTACCTTGTTTGCCATGGGAGTATTTCTGGATCTTTGAAAATTCCTGCTTAATTCTGCATCAATAGCACTTTTAGCAGCCGCATATTGTTCTTGTGGTCTATTCCAATTTAATGCTTCATTAGCAAGTTGCTGTTGACTTTTTCCATAACATCCATGATGACGATGAGATATGCAGAAATGATGTTGACAATTAAGACAATTCATGGCAATAGGAGAAGTTATGTTGCATTGTGGTATCGAGCAGACAAAATAATTGTTACACGTATTCCCAGGTTCTGTCAGGATATGGTCTGGATTTCTAGCACAATTATGTGCATAAACATTGAAATGACTTTTGCAATATATTCCACAGCAGTAAAAACACGGAGTTGATAAGAAATCATTTTGTTTACAATTTTCTACAAAACACTGAATGCCCAGATCAGGAAACTCCATGGTTAAGTATAAAATATTGTTAAAACCACTTTAATTATTACGTAAACTTATTTTAATTATTTAAAATGAATAAATAAATCTTCAATTGTGCGATGGTGTAGGCGAATGGAGATGATTTTCACTAAAAGTTCCGAGAGCTAAGTTATTCCACTTTTGTTCTAATTCCTTCAACGTCATGTGCGAATCACCATTATCGCTCTCAGGATCGGGCAATTCTGATGACGGAACCACAATGTCATCAACTGGCAGCTTTTCTTTTCGCCAAGCTTCATCAATAATGTCTAAAAGCCTACCATCACCAATTACTTGACTGTCCATTTTATTATTCTGACACTATACAAAAGTTGTACACTGTACAAAATTTTTTTTGTTATTCCCGCACTTATTTGAATTAATATTAAGTAAATTTTGATGAATATTTATTTGATTTTATTGAAATTATTGCTAAATAAATGTAAAAATAGAGACTGTGCTATTTCACTCAATGCTATAATGGCTACCACATTCGTGATAAAACAGAATAAATTTTGTTTAGTGTCGGTAATCGTCATGATGCATTATCGACAAGAATATATGTATAGTTTGTGTAGGAATAAATAATGAAGTTATAAATCACGAATAACAATTGGATAAATAAAAATTTTTTTTTATTTTTCCGATTTTTACACATTTTGCGATTTAATTTTTAATTTCATTTACTTTGCGGCGGCTTTTCCTTTAGCAGGGGCTGGTTTAGCAGCTGGTTTTTTGGTAACCTTAGCTTTTTTAGGTTTTGCTGCTTTCAAGCTAATAAGCTGTTTCTTTCTTCGCTCCAACAATTTACTGGTTTTTACTGCTGGAGATGACGCCGGCAATTCAATCTAAAAACGAGTAAATTTTATTTAATAGAGTCTATTTTTCATTCAGTTTTTTCTTGTGAATAATTAAAATTAAATTAATACTTACACCCCTCTTCTTAGCAAGAGCCAGTTCTCGCTCGCGAGCTCTTTTCTCAGCTGTTAAGATAGCTGCACGTTTCAATACTGCAGCATAGGGGTTAAGCTTCATCATAGCCCGAGTGTTGTTCAATGGATTCAATTTCTTCACACGTCTAACAACCTTCTTTCTGCAAGATCAATCAATATTAAATTATTAAATATTCTCTCTAATTTGCTAATTCATTTTATGAAATAAATATTGTATCAGAAATGGTTAAAAGTATCGTCAATGTTAATCAGCAACACGGACCAAAAATAATCATCATATTTTTTCAGTAAAATCTAGTTTAAAAAAAAAAAAAAAACCAAAATATTACCTAGGAGCTCTGAGAACTTTTTGAATTTCATCAGACTTCAGAAGTTTTGTTAAATCGGTATTAGCCATTTTAGGGAATGGCAAGTTGTACCCTTTCTTAAGTTTAGACTCCTTACGCCATGTTCCATAAAGAGCATCAAGCTTATCAAAGGCAGATTTAGTCCAAATAATGAATCTACCTACATGACCACCAGGAGCGAGTTTTAATAAATTCATCTTGTTGATGTTCATGACATCAACTCCTGGAATGTTACGGAATGCTTTCCGTATGCCCTATAAAAACATGCTATCATGAGTCTTCAAATAATTTTTATCAATAATTTTATTGGTTTATAATTAATTTATTATTTACTTTATCTTGTCCATAAATGATCAAAGGTCCTCGGCGTTGGATGCGTCGACGATTTCGCATTTTACCTTTTCCTGCACGGAAGCGTTGAGATTTATATACCTAAAACAAGTTGAACACTAAAATTTAGAAATTATTTTAAATTATAAATCCATACAAAGTAGATATTATTACGATTAATAGTGTGCGGAAAATATGTCTCAGGCAAAACAAAAAGATTATAGACTGAAACGCCTTATCTCCAAATTACTATAGCACCTGATAGGAACGCTCGGGTAAATCATTTACTGAACGTGGACATTTCGACAGTGCAAAATATTTTTTTATCACATCTACTTTGAAACAAAAAATAGCTTACCTTTTGGATGTCATTCCATGCCTTGATGCGTCTAAGAAAGATAACAGCTTGCTTAGTCTTATTGTATTCCTGGATTTTATCAGAAACTACCAAAGGAAACTCCGGTACTTCTTGAATCATATGTCCTGCACAAATAAAATCAACCAAATTAATTCAATACTCTTGTTACCACTTGCTTGATATAAAATAATCGTAGAAAAATGGTTGAATATCAGGTAAAAAGCTTTTGTTTTGTAATCAAGATAATTTCATAAACACGGACCAAAAGCAAATCATCATTTACAAATTATATTTACAAAAAAAGTGATATGTTATAAGGAGTATTATATAAATTATTACCTTTTGATTGAACTAAAGCAGGAACACCAGAAGCAGCAACAGCCGAAACAAGAGCATAACGTTTCTGGTTAATGTTAACACGTCTATGCCAACGGCGCCAGGGTTTAGTTGGCGCGAACATGCGTCCACCACGACACATGTTACCAAAAGCTCCCTGTCCCGATCGGTGAGTACCACCACCACGAACACGAGGAATACGAGCTACGGCACGTCCAGTTCCCCATGATTCAGCAGAAGTCTGGTGACCTTAAAATAAATATAAATGATTAAATTTTTTTCTGTTTAAGCGATAATTAGATTTCTTATCACGATAGCAATACATTTGTTTTTCTTTAGAAAGTAGGAATTACGATGATTATTAAGTTTAACATTTTCCATAAAAATTAATTACCAGCTTCTTTGAATACGCAGTAAGGTTGTCTCTTATTTTTAGAGATTTGCTGATGAATGAAATTCACGATATCCGGACGAATAGGAGCCTTGAAGATAGACGGAAGAGAAATAGTATCCTCCGTAGGCTCATTTTTTTCACTGTAAACAGTGACCAACGGTCTTGCTATTGACAACGCCTAGAATAAAGATAAATATTTAAATTAATTTTTCATCTTTTTTTTAATTAACAACACCATGAATAATTGTTTACTGTAGGTGTGATTCAATGGATTAATAAACTGTATTCAAAAATGGCGACACACACAAGGCATTGGCAGATGTTCTCAACAAAAAAATATTAAGAATCAATCTTGTTTATAAAATGAATAAAAAAATATTGATCTTTTTAAAATTAAAAAAAAAAAAATAAAAGATTATTTACTCATTTACCGTTAATAATGTTAGGACGTTAAATGTATCTCATTAGACAAAACTAAGGTTACACGTGGTCAGGACAATACAGTTCTACTGTGTCAAGGGTTATTTTACACAAATAACGTAAGAATTTGTGTAAAAACTCATAAATAATTGTTTAGATGCATATTAGATAGTTTAATTGATTAAATTAAATATGTAAACATACCATTATGCGTTTTTTTCACTACTTTTAGCGCTACAAAATGCAACGCGAGCACATGAGCTTGCCCGGTTGATGAAGGAAGAGACCCTGAACGGATATCACGTGACCAACGTGATCGACGCATGCGCAAGATACTCCAATTTACTTCAAGACATTTCCACAAGCAGCAGCACATTATTTGTATACATTTGAGAACTGTTTTTATTACATTCAAAATACAAAGATCATATTATTAAAAATTGAATTATTATAAAAATGGCAGGAGAAGTTGTAGTAGATGCTTTACCATACATTGACCAAGGATACGATGAACCAGGAGTCAGAGAAGCGGTATGGAGCATCAGCTTATTCATTTTTTACTCCAATTAAAATACTTTTAGGTTATAATCAAAGTATTTGTTGACAAAATTTATTTTTTATTAATTTTTTATATGTAGGCTTTGGCTATGGTTGAAGAAGAAACAAGACGTTATAGGCCAACAAAAAATTATTTAGAGCATTTACCTCCTTTAAATATCAATGGTTTTGAAACAGAAGTTATGAAGCATGAATTTGAAAGGATGCAAAATCGGTTACCTATGGATGTTTTGAGTATGAAACGTTATGAATTACCTCCTCCACCTCCTGGAAAAATGAATGATCTTGCTGCGTGGAATGAAAGCGTTGAAAATAGTTGTGCACAATTAGAACATCAAGCTACTCGGTATTTAAGATCTCTAATTCTTTAAATAAAATTGATTGTCTATTAATTTTAATTGAGAGCATTGATTGTCTATTCATTTCTTATTTTAGAATCTGTAACTTAGAATTAATGATGGACTATGGATGTGAAGCTTGGAAATCTTATTTAGAAATCATTGCTCAATTAGTAAATCAAGCACAAAAACAAATTCAGGCTCTTCGTAAACAAATACAAGAAGTTAATTGGCAGCGAAAGTCAATGCAAACCCAGGGAGGAGAGAAACTTCGTGTTTTGGAAGCACAGTGGGTTGGTTTAGTATCAAAAAATTATGAAATCGAACAAGCTTGTGTACATTTGGAAGAAGAAATACATCGAATAAAGATGTCAAAAGGTGAATCTGTAGAAATAAATGATGTACCGAGTGAAGAACAAGAACCTGAAATTCCACCAACCAGTGCAACTGATACTATGGCGATGGAACTTGATAGACACGAAGAAAATCCTGAACAAGTTAATGAATAATTATTTATAATATTGTATTACGAATTAGAAATTAAAATTACCACTGATTAGCAACAAAAATTTCAATCATTTTATAGATTTCTAATAATTCTTGATCATTAAGTTTTAAAATTTCACCACATTAAATTAATAAAGCACAATTTATTAAATGTTCTACAATTATCACGCATCATAGATAATTTTTCAGCTCACAATATACATATTTACATAACAAACATCGTTATAGAGTTCATAAGTAATAATAAATAAGCTACATATGTAATAATAATTTTTTTTAATCTGGAATATTTTTTTAATTTTTGCACCATAAAATTTCTCAATTGTATAAAATTGTTAAGCATTAATTTGCAATAATTAAGGTACAAGCAAGGATTTTTTAAGCATTTCTAAAGCCTATTAATTAATTAATTAAGTAAAAAAATACATCAATTTTTTTTTAAATAGGCGACAGGATTTTCTCTCATTTTTTTTGCTATCTAGATTAAATTCAAGAGGTATCTGTCATTAATTTAATGAACTCTGAGTAAAAGAGTATCATAATGATGTTTCACTAGCTCCAGAACTCTGTGATTGGAGAGGAAGACTTCCTTTATAAGTTGCAGCTTCTTCTTCAAGCATAGCTATCTTTTGCTTTAATAGTTTTACCTGAAACAATAATCATTTTTCTAAATTAAAAAAATAATCAGGATGATCTTAGGTATTTCGAATTTTATGTGTATGTATAAAATTAATTTTATTGCGCAGACTCCGTCACTGTGGACTCAATCAGATACCAGAATAGACAGTCTTTGAGGTTATCTGTTAAATCGCATGTTTGAAAAAGCTTATTTGTAAAGTTTTACTGAATAAATGACGTTATTTTACAGTAAAACATTAGCTAAAATTGCCAAAAAGTGGCCAGGACGTAAAATACTTGGACCTTATCGTTTTCTTCCAATATTTTTTATCAGTGGAGCTGCGTTGGAATTTTTTATGATCAATTGGCGAGTTGGAGAGGTTAATTTTTATAAAACTTTCAAAAAAAGACAAGTTGAAGAGCTTGTTAAAATGAAACTTGAAGCAAAAAACTTCGAAAAGCAATCAGCACGTCAATAATCAAGTAAATTAAATGAACTTGTTTCATTAAACCATGAGTTCATTTGCTTATATGAGATTTTTCATAACTGGATTGCTGACAGCATTTGCTGGAGCACAAACTGTTCATATGATTTATAAACCTATGGATGATTTGGATCTACTAGTCGAGGAAGAAATGAAGAAACGGATGAAGACAATTAATGAATGAAAAAACAATATAGAAAGTTCTCTATTATTTTTGCTTTTAGAGCTGTTTTAGATTGTTACTGAAGTTATTGTTAGTAAAGTTAAATTGAATATTAATTAAATAAATAATAGAATGATTTTTAATTTTATTTACCTGAGTCACATTTCTTTCCACCATTCCTAGCATTTGTTGCTCTAACTTTTTCAGTCTAGTTTGATACTTTTTCTTCGATTTTTCTAATGTTTGCACGAGAGCTCTATAAATTTAAATAAATTGAATCAATTAAAAAAACATTGCCATTATAATGTTTAAACTTAAATACTTTCATACAATCGTCCCATAATTAAACGAATTATTTACATTAAGAATTTATGACTAAAGATAGCAACTTAAATAGGCTTATTTTCACTAATTAAAAATATTTTTTTACCCATTAGCCATCTTCAAGTCGTTAATAAGCTCAGCAGACTGTTGATGGCGAAGTTCAGAATTTTTTGTTACTTTTTCTAGAGTTGCAACCAGTTCTCTGAGTCTCTCTTTGAGTCTTGCTTCTCTTGCAAGAACTTCAATAAATTCAGACTCTATCCCTTCGTTATCTGTATCGCTAAATCGGTGGTCTTTATTACTAGCCATTGCCAGCATGGCTTCAGTGTCACTCAACTGATCTTGGAGATGTTGAATGGCTGTTTGTTGTGCTGCTATTTGAGCATCTCGTGCACTCAACTTCAATTCGATATTTGATCGTTCTTTTTCTAATAAAAAAACTCGTGCACGTAATTCAGCTTTGTCTTCTCTCATAGCCATTAATTCTTGCATTAGCACAGCAGTCTCTAAATCTAATTTACGTGCTTCTGCTAACGATATTGCATTTTTTGAGTTGAATGGCTCCACATGTACTGATTCAAGCTCTACTGCGGTTGAACGAACCATGGCACGATCATTTTTTAATTTGCTAATGTGTCGACGAAGCCTTTGCTCGTCATCTACAGACCAAGAAACCTCTGAACTGCAAACAAAAAAATTAACAAATATCGTATAATTATCAAATAAATATAGTTAGCGGAAGAAGTGCATTTATTATTTATAAAAATAAAAAAAAAACTTACTCATCTGATAATATAATACTATCTTCCCATGGAGCCATATAAATTGTAGACTCATTTTCCAACTTTTTAAGTACATGATAAGCAACATTCTCTGCGGTTTTTCTGTTATCGATCGTCATACTATTTCTGTCGGAAGAAAGCGCGATTTCGGTCTCCAAAAGTGCTACAAGAACGTCGTAAGCTTCAATAGCACGATCACTAAATGTAAGCGCAAGTTTAAGTGCTATTGCATTAGACTCGTATTTCCCTACTAAGAGGCTCAACCTAAAAACCACCAAAAATTTTCAAATTATTAAATATTTTATATAAAAAACGTACATTAATAAGTAATTACGGATAAATCCGGTAATCAATTTTTTAAATAGATTACTCAATTGAAAGAAAAAAAATATCTATAGATGAAAATTAAGCATTAGCATCGATTAAAAATTAATCTGAATAGAATTATTGGTCGAACCTGTCACACTGTGCTTTGCTTTCATGCAAAGTTAAAGCTAGAACTGTATTATTAGCTCGTGCATGTTCAAGTCTGCTATTGAGTCTCTCAGTTTCCACTTCAAACTGCTTCTCCGAGCCATTAAGCTCTTGTATATTTGACTGTTCTAATAAATCAGATACTAAATGTTCAGCTATCATCGTAGAACACACTCCTAAATTTGTTATATCAGGTCCAGTGATGTGTCTTTCATCAGTTCGACGGAGTTTGACTCTCTCTGCCATTTTAAGAATTGGAGCTTCATCTCTGCATATATTCTTCGACGAAGGGGGGCTGCAAGGGAGGCAATAATGGTGAACATGGAGTGGTTAAAGGCTCTGGAGAACTCAAATTTCCTCGCTAGGATTAAAAAAAAAAGTTCATATCTATATTGTGTTCATTCAAGTATGAGAATATTTTAAGAGAATTTTGTAAAAATGATTTATTGTTATAAGTACCCTATGGTCTCTTTTAGGTGAATCACAGTTAGAAACTAGTCCATGATGATTATTTGGTTCATTATGGCCTTTACATTGCGCAAGCTGTGCTTGTAAAGCGCTTATTTCAGCTCGTAGAGCGTTGACTTCTTCTTGAAGTGTTGCTACAGCGACACTTTGGCAAGATACTTCTCCTTGAGTAGGCTCTGGGGTTGGTAAAGCTGCCGGGCTGTCGGTATCTCGGTCATGTTCTCTGTCATTCTAATGATTAATTACCAGAAAAAAAAAATTATATAAAAATCTTGTTTTTCAAATTTTTTTTCATTATATAATTCATGGTTGGTTAAGGGTAAAAAAAAAAACTAAAATAAAATTAAAATTTTCTTTAACAAAGTCAAGCACTTGTAAAATCTTTCAATTATATTATTTTGAATGAAGGAAAACTATTTTAATTACTACCTCATTTTTTTTGGTTAATAATTTTTTAAAATACTGTTTTCAAGTAAAACTATTCATTTCCTAATTAGTATGATAAAATTTTCTGTGTGTATATATTTATATTAATTAATAATCTATTATTAATTTAATATTACTGAAAAACTAAAAAAATTTCAATGTTTCTTGATTTTAATAATCAGAACGATAAAAAATTGGATAGGAAATTATTTTTTTCTGTATATATATATATATATATAAATTAGAAAATTGATAAGGTACCCCTGTAGGTTGAGGCAAATTTTCAATCTCTTCACCGGAACTTGAATCCGCATCACCCAAGGTCCGATCACCATCACCTTGAATTTCCCCGCCACCTTCACTTTCCTCCACGGGGTTTGTAATTGAATCTTCAGCATCTCTGCTAGTTTCAACTTCTAGACAAATTATTTCAACATTAAATTATTTTGCAGACAATTTGGTTTGTCAAAAAATAGCATGAATTTTTTTTTAATTATCTTTAATAAAATACTTAAATAAGTTTCCTATTTGTTTGATAAATAGCAATAAAAAAAATTCATTTCAAACAGTAGCTTTTGAGATTACTTCGCATAATTATTAAGCTAATTAATTATTCTGAAGATTATTAAAAAAATGAGTTTATAATAATTAATTTATCATCATAAAAAATTATAGTTATTACCTGACTCATCTTCTTCAGCAATAACATTTGTTCTATGTCTCTCAAGCTGCCTACTAAGCTCAGCGATAACTGAATGAAGTTCAGTAAGTCTTTCTTCGTGTCTAATTGCTTGTTGCTCAGCACGTTGTTCAGCTCGTACAGCTTGAGCTTCAGCTCTTATCAGAGCTGCATCTGCAACTTCTTTGGCTCGGGTTGCAGATAAAAGTCGAGCATTTAGTTCAGCTACTTCAGATCTCAGGGATGATAAAGCTGCGGCATGGAGCTGGAATAAACAATAACAGATTAATAAACAAGAAAATTTAGTTAAATATTTTTCAACAAAATTGTTATTCATTTTTCATTTCATGAATAAAATATGCTTTTGTTAATCAATTACATCCTATCCTGTAGATACGTGATCTACTGTATAATTAAATAATCTCTTCTAAGAACTACAAAGTAGAGATACATTTAATTTACAATAATAATCTCTAGATAAATTGGATAATTAAGGTAAAGATTGTCTATAATAATATGGTTTATTTACTAATTGAGAACATCAGTTTGATTTATAATAATATAAATGATATAAGTACTCTTTTATTTAGATCAGGTGTAATATAAGCTGACCATGAATTGAAAATTTATATTTTAAAGGTAAACAACAAATAGAATAATGGAGTTGTCTTCATTACGTGCAACGTAGTGTGTCGGTCACATGTAATGGTTAATAATTACATAATTATTTCAGAAGAGTAGGGAATAGCCTATAAAAATAATGCACTACATCCGTTATGCATCTTTTGCCTCTTGCTATTTTCAATAAAACATCATTGTCGAATTTTAAAAGAGTGGTTTAAGTTGGAATTCAGTGTAAGAAAAATAATAACTAATATATATTTTTCTGTTATTGTTGCATTATATTAAATTGTTTGTATTGTTTTTAGGAAGCAGTAAATAAGTGATCAATATGAAGAAATTTTTGATAATAATGGTTGTTGTTTTAATAACCATAATTGGTGAATCAAAAGCAGATGATGAGTATATTCATCTTCCAGGAAAAAGTTGTGACGATGCTCCATCATGTCCTGATAATCGTCCATGTGTAATGGCACCACCAAAGTGTAATGTTGGAACTTGCGGAAAAGATCCAGTTCCCACATGTGGACCAAAACCGTAAATTCTTTGTTCCTATATTTTTCAAACTACTTTGAACTTCTAATCGAGTAATTTTTACAAAAATATAAAATAAATAATAATATCTAACTGAACTAATGATGATGATTGTTTGAGAGTAGAATAATATAATTTTGATCAAATAAGATTAAATTATCAAAAGTTTGTTTATTATATAACTTGTTTTATGAATAAAAAATTTTTACTATTGTAGTAGAATAATTTGATAAAATTTTTATCGATATTTGTTCATACTTATATAAGCTTTGAAATTTGTAATTGTTTGAAAGAAAAAATATTGTAACACAATGCAAAGAACTAAATAATGAATGGCCTTTATTGTATACAACCTTGGATTTTAACTACGTTGTTAAAGTATAATCCTCAATCATCATAAAATATCTAAAATCATAATTGAAAAAAGAAATGTTAATAATGTGTTTTTTTTTAGAAATTTTAGCTTAATTGAGCCTGAATTAATAACATCAATCATCAATTGAGTTTTAATTTTTAACCTTTTTATGATGTTTTTGCAACATCACCATCAAAATTGAGTAATTAATTTTACTATTTTATGACTACTTTTGAATTAGCTGATGCTAAATCAACAGAAAATAAAATTAATCGTTTAACATGATACTAAAAGTGTTTTTTTCAATTAGGCCTGGTATGTGACCTTTTTATTATTCATCTTAGAATAATTGTTTATATTTAATATAATTTTAGACGAATTATCAACATGAAGAAATTTTTGATAATAATGGTTACTTTTTTAATGACCACAATTAGTGAATGAAAAGCAGATGACGACGATGTTATTTATCTTCCCAGTAAGAAAAAATTGTGAAGAAGCTCCACCGTGGTTTGATAATTATCCATGTGTTATGACATTACCGAAGTGTAAATCTGGAACATGTGGAAAAGTTCCAATTCCCACATGTGGATCGGCACGGTGAATTTTTTGTTTCAAGAATTTTGTTAGAATCCCATAACTCGACCTTTTATCAATTAATTAATCTTCAAAAAAGGTTGTATCTTTGATTGTTTGTTAATCAATTTCTAATGTCTTTTTCTGATAAAAACTTTCAAATAAATTAATTCGATGAAGTTGAATTTTCCGTATCTATTATAATTGAATTTAGATCATATGAATTTGAATAAATTTGAATAGAGCATAATTATAAATGTCTCGACATTTCTACGAATTTAAATTATGTTACACCCAACTATCGATTAACTGTCCAACTATTTGAACGACAAGTGGAAGTAGACACGTGATAGAAGGAATCAAAGGTAAATTGGAAATTAAATAATCGAATGAGTAAACCAAGCTGAATATTTATGATACATTTAACTTGGTAGGAAAATATTGTGTATAATGAATTTGGGATTTGAATAGAATATTTTCTACTTCAGTAATCTATATTTCAACAAATAATATTAAATCTCTATTATCTCTTAAACAAAGCAAAATCATTTGTGAAAGATAATTGACTGTTTTGCATAGAAAATGCTTTTGTTTTCACTAAACTTACATCATGGTCTTGAAGACCATTACTATCAATATGAACAGGCACCACTCGATCATTATTAGTGTCCCTTTCACCAGAACAACAAAACCAAGATCTTGATTTCATCACGTCTTGTCGATTGTTATCATCATGACTATCATCAAAATCATCATCATCATCATCATCAGCAGCACAATGTTGAATAAAATCATTTTCATCGTCATAATTATTATTTGTCGTACAATTAATATAAACTAAACTATCACGTTTTGAAAGTCGCTCAACAGATTCTTTTAAATAATTTACATCACATTTACCATAACTATTCAAAATATTTGTATGAATTTTCGCAACACTATCACTTTGCCGACGACTTCGTGGCAGTTGGTAATTATCAAAATAATCCCGTGACTCCACCGAGTCATTGTTTTTCAATAATGGAAATCCCGCCACTTTGAAAACTGTCTGAAAACTATTTAACTAATTAGCTCATTTCAAAGCTAATTAATAAATGCTACCATTAAAATTAAAAACAAACTTCAAGTTTGAAAACTATTAAACAATAAGCAGCTTTAAAATTAATAAACGTTATCCAATATCTACTTTTCTTCTTCAATAAATTTATCAATGTTGAAAATTGATTATTAGCAAATAGAAAAATATTTTTCAACTTATTTATCAATATCGGTTTTTCAATTTATACCTCATTGAAAATAATTAATCTGTCAAAATTGTTATTTGTTATTACTTATTATATCTTCATGTAAACATCGAGAGTACAATTTGTAACAAGCTAAGTATAGATGATTACACAACTGTAATAATTTCATTGACTTACAGTCAATTAGTCTTTTACTTGTTAGTCATTAAATTCTTGTAATTAAGCATGAACATAGTTGAATTATTGTGCTTGATTATTAATTTATATCTTTTATTTATAAAATATCGATTCCATGTAGTAATTAGGATATTGTGCAAACATAAAATGGATGTAAAAGTCTTGAGTGATATATTATATTTATATACAGTAAGAAAAAAAAAGCAATGAAGGATAAAAGCTATTGGTTATTCTGTATCTTATTCGCAGATTGAATTAAACGTAAAAGGAAACTTGTTTTTCGATCCTCTTGTTCGATCGTAAATTAATTAACGACTTAAAGGCAATAATTACTACTAAAAGCAGTGTAACTTTGCGGAAAATGTTGTAATTATTTTTAGAAAATGCAGAAAGTTATTTTTCAAATAGAAAAGAAGGATAAGCTTAACGTCAATAAATTAAAAAAAGAAAATAAAATTTTATTACAAGGAAAGATTAATTCTGACTGAGCTATAAAAAAATGAACAATAATTATAATAATAAATGAAAAAAATATAAAAAGCAAAAAAAAATGTCGATGAAAAGAAGCTTTGAATTGATGCAAATAAAAGAGAAAATAAAATCCGGAGAAAAGGGATTTGTTCTATATGATAATGATTAATTAAAAAGTCAACATTGTTCTTGTATTAAATAACTTAATTCGCTAAGTCAATAAATGGGTCTTTAGGTTAGTGTTGACTGTTGACAAACAAAATAATCGATTCTTATTTAGCATTGTATATAGAGGTTAGATCAATAAAGCATTGAATTTCAATTTAAGTAAATGTTCACAATGAAGAAATGAAATTGTATTTGTTGACAAAAAGAATCCAAGAAAGGGTCGTCTCGTCTTCAAGTTATATAATTTATGATGACCAATTTATTGATGGAATCAATATTAAATAGATTGCTTTTTCTGATTCTATGAAGCTTTGGATTATTTCAAATAGCACATTTAGTGATGTAGCAGTTGCTTTAGGTAGACAGTGAAAAAAAAAACACTAGACTTAATGGAGCCGGAATGACAATGAACACTAACTGGCGTACTAGAAAGTATAAAGGCTGCAGTAATTCGACGAACGGATGGCACAAATAATAATTGGAAATTTCATTTATTTAATGCTACTTTAGATTTGATGTTAAAGCTTGATCTATTTTAATTTTGATCTTTGAACCAATTTTGACAGAACTGAAGTCTAGATATTTCATTATGATATTTAATCAATGAGAAAATAATTATTTAAAAAATTACTATTTGTTTAATAGATAGAGAACTTGAATAAAATATAATTTGTTAAATTCTTTGTATCAATATAAAGAATTTCAACGTAAAAGTTTAAATGAAAACTTGAAATTTGTTCTAAAATTTAAACAATTTTTAGTTATTAATTTTTTTTTACAATCACAATATTAAAAATTATTTTCAACTTTAATAATGATTCATTAAATAGTTAATGATATTTCAAAACTTTGGAGTATTGAAATAATGAAGATACGCGAGTATGAAGGTTCGATGACAGACTGACTGGTTTACGACACGAGTACTACGGACACTATCAGAGACAGCATGTACATCTTCTACTGGATGGAGCATTGCAGAAGGTGGAGGAAGGGTAGGAAGAAAACCGGCGCCAGTCGTGGAAGCGTCATACACCAGTAAACCACTGGCGCAAACGCAGGAACGTGAACTACATCACCATATTTACTACAGACACCAAGCAATATTGCAACCCGGGGATGGCGCCAAGAAGCTTTTCTATTTTTTTCCTATTTATTCTAGTTATTTTCGCATGAATTCCTATGTTTTCTAACTTCACTATTATTCCCACATGAGGAACATTCTATAGTGAAACAAATTGCATAATTTCACGTTTCAATATCACTCAATTACGTCCGTTTTAATTGGTTACCAATTAAATTTTTTAGTACTCTACTTTTGTAAACAATACTGGTATTTCTCTATTATCTGTATCTTGTTATTTACTATTACCAGGCTTAGGTATATTTGAAACAACAACTCGCTTTTTTTACTCTTTGGTAATCAGTATTCATTGATCTATTACCAGGATTATAATTATGGTGTGATATAACTATTCTTTGCCATTTGTATCCATTAAAGTCAAATCAAACATTCTACATTCCATCAAAAGCTTCTAGAGAATCGATTCCAAGAATCCCAAGTTATACAAGTTTAACACTTCGTGCCGAGTAAATCTGAGGGTTGAAAATCATCCCTTTCTCACTCACCCTCCTGTCTCTTCGTATAAACTAGTTGAAAATCTAAAGTCTCTTCTATTCAAGAAGTGTCTTAAAAGTTTGATCATTTTTATTAGTCATTTTTCTGATGAATACTATTTTTTTGTTATAATTCGTTTCTTTTACATATTCTTCAAAACTTGATAATTAGAATATTTAAGATATCCAGAATAAATGATCATTTTATATTCTTTTTTAAATATAACTTTGAAACGATACGGATTTATGAAGAGAAGTTTTGAAGGCTTAGATGGATTAAAATGAATGAATAAGTAGAAACATAATAGTCAGACATATTACGATGAACTCAAAAAGTTATGTCTATATACTATCCATCATAATAAGATTTCAATAATTTTCAATAATTGAGTTTATATTAGATTAATGATAACATAATCTAGGAAATATATTCCATTACCTTATTGGCGAGATCTAACATATTTCCGGTACCCCCAGCAGCTGCTTCGACGAGTTTTTGAAGTGATTGCGGTTCAGGGGATAAATCACGAGCTCCACTATCAAACTCCCAGCTCTCATGTCGTCCTGATATTGTTCCTACGTTATTTATTTATGTTTAAGTATTTATTTATATATTTTCTTATAAAATAAGTTTTATTGATTAAAAAAAAAACAATTTAAAAACTTTATTAAACATTCTTTTATCCATTATAATAAATATTAAATATTTGTAAATATTTCATCTTATTCCATTAAAATATTTCACGTAGCAATTGAAAAGAATTTAGTGATGAAGAAACAAAATTTAAAGTTTAATTGAAACGTTAAAATAAAAAATAAAACATATTTAACATTCTTGATAATAAAAAAGAAAGTTAGGGAACAAATACCTAGACTGTTATCGCTGCTAGTTGGTAGATATTCTGAAGTATGAGTATTATGAGAGTTGGTCCTGCTTTTGCCAGATTTAAGAGCTTCTATTTCCGGTCTTAAAGCAAGTCTTCGTCTGAGAAATTCTTGATAAGATATTCGGCCGTTTTCATCAGCTCCAAGTTCTCTCATCAATTCCTCCACAGAATCCTCCAGGTTTAATTCCCGACAAACAGTCAATAAGTCTTGGCTGTAATGAGTAAATAAAAAGTTAAAAAACTACTTTCTATAGACAAAAGTATATTTGAAATCGATAATTATACAAGTCAAATAGTGAATTAATACAGAGAAGTATGTAAATAATTACGTAATAATTATTTGACAAAAGATTGTGTGAAATATGATTATAAAATAAATTTAAGTGTCAAATATTTACAATGACGTTAGAAATTAATGAGCGAAAACTAATGTCTGAAAAAAGGAAATAAAAAGAAAAAAACCATTGAAAATTGCGAGAAGTGTTAAAGAGATCAGAAAAAACGAAAAGTGGATGTAAGGGAAGTGTGGAGTGGATATCATTAATTAAAATGTAAACGTTAACGTGATTACTGCGTTGCAATAAAATGCAGAGACGTGGGTAATTCGTGCTGAAAAAACTCTGTTATTTTACTCATAAAAATCTCATTGCGTTAGTATAAAAATTTTATAAGTATCGCAGACATTTATTGTAATTTATCATTTGATTTATTTTATATTACTTTCTCATCATTGTTTATAAATAATTATTGGAGACCTTCATAATTATTATCTCATTGATCAAACGTAAATAATTACAAAAGATTTAATAATTGGTTGCGAAAGTTGAACGGCAAATTAATCAAACACAAAAGTTTTATGTATTAATGCTTGATTAAATAAATAAACAATTGAACTAGATGATATCAATTAGCAAAGAAGCATTATTTCTATTTAAATAAAATTAAAATCAAGATAAGCAGGTAAAAATATTAAAGTAAGTATTTGATGTTTGACAATTCTCTTTTAAAATTCATACTCTACATTATTCCTTTGATTTCACCTGAAAGTCTAATGTGTAAAAGAAAGATCTTATTTTCCATTTTTTTTTGCTCTTAATTTTTTTTTACATCTTATTCTTCCTTTGCTCCTTTTTCACTTCGGCTATCCTTTTCTTATCCCTTAATTGGCACTCTTTTAATATAATTATAACAGAAATACTTTTTAGCTTTTTTTTTATTCTCATTTCTGTCTTTTCATATTTCAAGGGTTGATATCCTTAAGTGTCAAGTAAACAGAGTTCTTCAAGTACGTTTTATCTTTACTTAATTACTTACAACAATCTTTATTAAGTATTTTTTTTTTCCAAAAAATAAGCATCAATGTTTTTGAATGAACTTATTTGATTAAGTAGCTAAGAAATAGAGCCCTTTCGTAGATAATTATTTATGACTTTTTCTCATCTTTCTGAAATATAAAGAAATTCTAACAAACCTGTCAATAAATCCATCGCCATCTCCGTCGCAAGCTTGGAAGAGTTTTTTTACTCGTTCCTCGTCGCAGATGGAGCCTGCTTCACTTTCAGCATCTGCTGTTTGGGACATTCTTTATTACGTGTTGTTTAAATTTGCCATAATAGCGATTTTTCTTGCTAAAATAATGGAAATATTCTTCTTCTATATTTGTAGCATCATAAAGATTTATTTCCTTGTTTTTGTAACGATTAACACTTTTAATTATATTTAATATTTATTGCCGAATCTTTGGGGTGGAAATTCACTTTTATTATTTCAGACACTCCCTTTTATAATAAATATTTAAAGCGCAAAAAATATGAATCCTCTGTCACCGGTCTTAGTTTTTATATTCACTTGTTAAGTACTATTCCATAGTCACTCAAAAAGTTTTTGGAGTTCAAAGTATTTAAACGTCATCTAAGATAGTACAGTTGGTAAAATGTTAATAAATCACTTTCATATAAAAAGCCGACAATTCGGTAATCTTTGGTAGTATTATGAATTAACATAAAATAAGTATATTCTTCATGAACAACAAATCATAACCTAAAATTAAGATAAACTTGTAAGGTGTAAAGGTGAACGTACTAAAAAAGTATCGATTTTGTTGATTTACTAAATAGTCAAAGATTGTCGTAAAGAAGTAAAAATACTTTTACAGTAAACGCCATCTTAATTCGGATACCCCCACTTTTCTTCGAAAAACATTGAAAGGAAATTGAGGGCAGAATTTTACTTTAATGCCATCTATTGGGCAGCAGAGAAAAGACTGTGAGAATAATTTGTTGAAGGAAGTGTCGCCATCTGAACCCGGAGAAACGAAAATGAACCAAGGTCGTTTCTCTGTTGGTATAACAGGGTTTTGTTTAGATAATAAATCGTGATTTTAGTAGAATTTATATTATATAAATTTATAATATCTAAAAGGATATAAAGTGTGTATGAAGGTCTTTGATTAGCCACAATAATGTTGTTAATATTGAATACTAAATTTATACTTAAAGTTTGATTTGGTTTGACGGCGAAAAATCTTAAAATTTTGAATGAGGGTGAATCGCAGAATCATCAACATTGGAAAGGTATTGATGCAACCTATCATTTAGAAAATTAATTGTCGCACTCGTAATATAAGATCAAATTGAAATTTACTCTGATTATAGCATAAATTATGCTTCAATTATGAATTTAAATAGAGCATTAGAAAACTCACTATTGTGGATCCATTGATATCCATTAACTTTCTCCCTCTAGTCTAGATCTTTTGATTGAGCCCTAGATAAACTTTATATCATCATTAGCATAGACGTTATGTATATTTTTTTGCATACTGCAGATTTTCGCAAATATCTTGGGCTCTCTCAATATTCTATCTGACTTAAATCATAAAAAAAAATAGTTCTAGTTGATTGTATAAATAAATTGACTGGTTTGAGTCATCATATTTGGTATATTTGGATGGTTATAATTGGCTGAAACATATAGTATAAGAATGGTGGAACAAAGTTGCTTCATCGCCATTCAATATTATTTGCATATGTTGATTGAATAAAATAATAACAAGTTAACAAAAAGTTACTTCAGCTTGGAGCAAACTAATTTAACTTTCAATAGCTATGAAGTTGGTATAAGAATGAAAGCGAAAAATTGTAAGTATACGAAAACTTAAAATTATTGGACAAGGACAATCATTATAGGGACATCTTCTGTGACACTCTCAGTTGTCTTTTGTAGGCCGTATTTTTACGAAATTAATTATTAAACGATCGGTGATGTCAATTGTTATAAAACCTTGATAATATTACTAATCGGAGTGATAATTTAGTTTCAATACTGTGATAAATAATGGAAAAGATTTTTTTTGAAACGGAATTCTTTATTCTTGAAATAACCGACTGATACTTCAAGTACAGTTTTTTTTTCAATCAATTCTTAATAATAATAAATTAAGTAATGATTATTTATAAATAAATTTTGAAAGTTTTATAATTCATCAGCAAGTATAATTTAAAAACGACTTATTCTATATATTTACAATAAAATTATCTCAGATTATATATATTTTTATATTAATTTTAACATACACAACTGTCAACACTTAAGCAGCTGTAAGCTTGCTCAATTTTTGAACTAGTAGTAGTCTCTAAAATATTAGAACTTGGTGAACTAGTGGTAGTGCTCAATTGTAAACGTTGTGATGAAGATTCGAATGATACTGTTGAATCCTTTGCTCTCGTTGAACTCACTTCATGAGCGTAGCTATTTCTCATCGAGTCTTGCGTCCGAATATCAAGAGGTAAATCATGTGAAAAGCGACCATAATTAAAAAATGCATCAGAATATGGTGAATTAGATTGATGATAATAATGATGATGAATATGATTATTATATTGATGAGTATGATGAGAGTAACGACTTGGCGGAGTTTTAAAGCCTTCATTTGATCCTAGGTATTGATGGAGATGATGTAAACTGGATGTTCCATACACTAAAATAACAAAATTTATTAAATCATTTATAAGATAAACGTTTTTATTAATAAACAATTGAAAAAATAGTACCCTAAGGCATCTCACCTGTAGTTGTGTTCGGATACATTGCAAGAACAGCATCACTATAACCATCCGACGAAGATTTGGGAGTTGTATCAGAGATAGTATTTGAAGTAGATTTACTAACAGTATGACTTCTACCAATAGATGAGGGAGATTCTGTTGATATATTTGAAGAACCTACGCCATAAGCCATGTTGAAAAGCGCCTCAGGATCACAAACAAATTTGTAGACATATCGTTCTCCAGCTACTTTCTGCATTATCCCTTTTTCGTAGTAATAACGGAGAGATCTACTTAGCTTATCATAATTCATTGCTGGACGATTTTTCTGGACACCCCATCTTCTTGCTACCTATAGTGAATTTTATATTAGTTCAGCAAGCTCGATATATTTGATTAATAAATTTTTTACCTCTTCAGGTTCAATTAATTTGAACTCCATTCCTCTGCCGGTCCAAGTGATACAAGGAGCATTGGCAGGATCATCTAAAAGTGCAACCAAAAATTGCCAAAGCTGTAAAGAACCTCTTCTTTGTTGTTGATATCTAAAATAGAAAAACCACACGAAATTAAATTATAAAAATTCTATAATCATCTTTCTCATTCTTTTTATGAATATAATAAAATTTACCCAACTGCAACGTCATTCCATGACGTAATTCCTGTTGAAGATGATGGCCGTTTAATATAGTCAGCATTCCAGGATGCTGTTGATGGACTTTTTCTTTGATAACCAACATTTGTACGATCCCAGGCCAAATTTCTTACTTCAGATTGGATTCCTAGTTCAGTAAGTGTAGGACTTGAACTACGTCTCGAGTAATTTTCAGTACTAGATGATGCCCAACTATCTTGTCGTAATGAAAAATTAGACTCTGCAGTAGTTTGACTGGTTGATGATGGTCCTCCTTGCCATTGTGATGTCACAGATGATGTACTAGCGGGTCTACTTGGAATTGGGGAGTCTCTGTGCTCCCTCGTAGCCATTATGTTCGTATAATGTTGTCGTCTTTGATAAATTAAGTCTCTTGCTGAAAAAATTTTATTTCTTATTAAATAATTTTTCTCAAAAATAAAACTGTTTAGTTATTTATTTTGATTTAGAAATCATTTGTTAACAGATAATGATAATTAGAAGATATTAAAGTTATTGTCGCGAATAATATTTGCTAACTCACCCGCATGAGAAAAGATTAAAAGGGTTGTTTTTCTCCCTGTATAGCTCTGACACAACTTTTGAATAATTAACTGACGGATTTGGGCTCCCTACCTCACATTTACCCTTTCGACCTTCTCCCCAAACCTCAAATGTATTTCATTTAAACGTATAAAAAGGCTGGAGAACTAATCTGATGTATCATAGACAAGTGACCAACCGATTAGCTGATTTATTTATTAATAGACATGATAATTAATTTTGATTTAATTTATAATTTCATAATAAATTATTTTTTTCGTATAATTTAAATTTTGTAATTCAAATAAGTAGAATGTTTCTGCTAAACTAATATTGATAAAAATAATTATTTATTAAAAGAGGTAAAAATTTTTCTCTAAATGTAAGAAAAGCATTTTTATCGGAAAAATCGACTTGTATGATCGAAATACTGTACATATTACTCTCACGTGTCGTAGCAAGCCAAGAATTGTAACAATACCCGGAAATTGTTCGATATTCAAAGCTTGCGTTGCTTGAGTAATGCAAATGGGGGTGGAACGTGAAGAAGGGGTAGAAAAAGTACAATAGAATGCAGACTTAGACTACGTTGAAGGAAAAGAGAAAAAACTGAAAGAAGAAAATATAGAGAAAATCCAAGTCACAACTCAGTAAAAATTGAAAGAACTCAGATTGATTTTAGGTTTTTCTTTTTTAAATTTGTTGTTGTCATTGTTTATTTATTTTTTTTATTGTTTTCCCATGAGATTTATCATCGATCCTAGCATATCGATAAGGTAGATAACGTATCTCGGAAGTACTCTATACCCTATTATTAACGTAAACTGCGAGTGAATAATTGAAATGGCTTAATGGAAAGAGAGAATTACGTTGAGAGAAATCGCATAATCCCCAGGTGACTACAAAACAACTCGTTTATTAAAGCTCCTAAAATTATGTAGATAATAATGGAATTAATTAAGAACAATGCTTGTAGTAAATTAAAAGATTCTAATAGTTGGGTAACGGTTGAAATTCATTGAGTTTTTATCATCATAAATGGATTCTAGGTAATAAAATCATCAAGTTCATAAGCGTTGCTATGAAATGATGTTTGGAATCAACTAAAAAATGCTGTTGTCAATTAGATTATTAATAACAACATCATTATTATTGAAAAATAAAACGAATAATCATTATTAATGAAATAGTTAGGCTTGGTTCCAGTTTATATTGTAATTCATGATGTTAAACAAAGCATAAGAAATTCCCTGCAAATCTTCAGAATGATTTGTGGGATGTATTGAGTAGACTGGATTTGCAAGAGGGTATATCGTCGTATTATCGTATAGTATTTCTGTGTCGAGAGCATAGCACGTGGATCATTGACTTTTCTCAGTTGTACAATTATTCTTATCTCTCTCATCTCCCCTCTGTTTGGAGATTTGTCACAGCAACAAAAGTGATATTCTCGAGAGGGTGCATAAAAGTAAAGCTACTTGACATTAGTGTGGACACAAACGAGCATAGCTAGCTTATCCATTTATTAGAAAATTATTAGGATTTCATTTGTAAATAAAAAGGGAGTGCTATGACAATCTGTACAAGAATTTAGTCATCATCATTGTTATTGTTACTGAACTATCAATATCATTAGGTTTCATGAGTTGAGAGATGAATTGTGACAAATCATTTTCAAGTTATTGATGGGGAAATAACTGTAGAAATTTTATTTAGGGAGTGGGATCCTTTGAAAAGTTCTAAATAGTTTGAACTAAATTGAATTTACCATTTGAGTTGTCTTGAGATGCTGAAGGTAGAAGATTTACAATTGGCGTCGGTTCAATGTAGCCTCGGTCCGTCGGTTCTTCTTTGACTGCAATGCAGTCAGTAACATTGCTGTTTCCGGGACTTAATTTTGTGCTAAATGACGATAAAAACCAAAATTAGTTTCAAATAAAAATTGCTATCGATCATTTAAAAAAAAAGAATTAGTTCAATTACAACTAGATTTCATACAAAAATTCACTGTTATTATTTATTTTATATTCATTGTTATTATTATTTATAATCTATTAATTAATTAATATTTAATAAGTAATAGTTTATTAAAGCACTAAATGAGAAATATTTTAAATAAAATTTCTGTGACTACTAAGTAACGTAATTGTTTTTAAATAGAAACAAATTATTACCATCACAAAGACTAGACAGACATTGCACTATGTAAAGTAATTGAAATATTATAGATTGCTTAATTATTGTCATTGAAATGTGATAATAAATATTACATAGTAAGAACTGAATTAGAAGTATAGCTTATTAAAAAATACATTCAGATCATTTTCTAAATTAAAAAGAAAATTATTTACAATTGAAGATGGGATTTTTGTAGATTGATCTAAAATTATCACATGCATCTGCAGATGCATTTCGCGGGATTTTTAATAAAAAAACCAATTAAATAAAAATAGTACTTTATAAAAATAAATCTGAGAGAAATCTTTGAAAGTCACTATGAAACAGTGAATGTTTGATAATTTTCAGTTAGAAAACCATCACTATTTGAATCAGCGCTATACTTAGCACTGTCAACAATAAATGTTGACTAATTTATTTCTAGAAAGTATAAAAGTGTATTACTTACCCATAACATGCACTATTGGTATTAGGGCTTAAATCCAAAAAAATGGATTCATGATGTCCATTGAATCGATTATTATAATCATCAGCGCTTCTCCGGCAGTTCATCAATGACTCTTGTTTGACTCCATCTAAATAATTAAATGAAAATTGATTAAATAATTATGTTAATTAGGAAGATCTTGTTTTTTCTTTCAAAGTCAATTAAGCAATAGTCAACTAAAAATATATTTTTATTAATTATAAATAATAAATACAAAAATTTTATTTTAATGATAATTTGAACGACATTAATGTTTAAAAAGTAATATTTCACCGCATCGGGTGCATTGGTGTAGAGAGAGAGTCGAAAAGAAAAGAATAAAAAGACGAAATCGAGATTATACAAAGGAGCTGACATAAGGGCGCGTGTCCTAACGGAAGTTGAGACGCATCATTGCAGTAGCACGTGAGTGTGTAATGGCCTTATGTTTGAAGAGGGAATAAGGAAATATAGCACTAAAATGCAGATCAATATATAGAATAATAAATCAAAGATATGTCCCGTGGGAAGTCTTTAATTTTTTATATTATTTTTTAGATATTTTATCGGTCAGTAAAAAATTTTGCAGTTCATAAAATTCAATAATCATCATATAATAACAATAATGACTGATAAAAACACCAAATAACATTAATAATAATAATTTATAATTATTTATAATCACTGAATAGAATTTTATTTGACCAAAAATCCAAATAAAAAAAAGATTAATTTATATAATTATTAAATGAAGTTAATATTATGAACAATTTTCATGATCAATTGATCAACATACAGCGTCGTTTGATTTAATTAATTTGAAATCACGAAAGTGCAAACAAATACTGGCGAAATGTAAACATGCCCTCAGGAGTTTATTTTATCAAGGGAAAGTAATAAAATGATTGATTTACATAGCTCAACGTTTAATAGATGTATTTTGACGTTCAACAAATATAATTTTCTGTTCATTACACTGCCAATAATACTGATAAATCCAAAGCTCTCATTTATTATTGTTTGTTTTACATATAATGAAATTATTTGTTTCATTATGTGATATTGTAAAAAACAAAAAATTATAAATTCTAATTGAAAGAATAAAACCATAAAGTGCTAACACTTGTAATCCTATTCCAACAATATAATCCAGTCAAGGTTTTATTGAAGAAAAAATAAAAAATCCAATAAGTTTAATAACTGCCTTAGGCATCATCTAATCTGTATATTGTCGTTAAATTTACGAGACCTTTGAAACTAAGATTTTTTGATAGATGTTTTATAAGACTGAATTATTTAAATAAAATGTTTCAAAAATGTGTATAAAAATAATTAATGATTTGTTGAACTTTGTACAGTAGATTGAATGAATAAATAATTAGTTTGTTGTATGAAGAAGATGTAAAGCAGAAAATGAAAATACAATAAAACAAAAAAAGGTAGTGTATAAGTAATTAATGAAATATAGTAACTTTTTACCAGAAATGTTATGAAATTCTGGAACATATTGTTCACTCTCTTCAGTTTCGCAGCTGCTTCCTGCAATGTGAATTAAAAATTTAGGATCATTTTGATAGATAGACCTGGAAGCTTCCAAATAAATACGTAATTAATATACAGACTTGATTAATCAACAAGTAGGTAAGAAAACAATTCATCTGTATAATTATTTAAATATTAAAATGAAATAAATATTAAGAAAATAATAATAAAAAATAATTTTCAGGATTGGATACTTAAAAATAATCTAATTCGTAATGAATCAATATTTTTTAAGTTAAAGAAATACATTATTTTCAAACGACTCATGTGTCAATTCATTAATTTTCATTAACTACCCAGTTATTTGGAAGTTATTGTAATAGGTTTAATTCTGCTACTTCCAAATTTTGGCATATCTTCCTGCTTGAAAGTCTTTAGAGTTGAATGATGTCATTTTTAAAAAGATTCTGTGTGTGCATATGTATGGTTGTATGTTTGTTAATAATTTTTGTCTCTTATAATAACACGCCTGATTTCAATGTTAAATTATTATACAAAAACTATAGAGCCTCGTGGTCATTTTTAACACACTTTATGATGTGTTAAAATTGATAGTTTGTTTATAGAGTTTAACATTGAACATGTGTAGAATTGTTGAAACATAAATTTTTTCAACTATTTAATAATTAACAAGAGAAAATGAAAGAAAAAAAAATTAAAACAAAATGTAAAACATTTATGTTAAATTACCTCTTGAAGTAAATAATTATAAAACAGATTGATTGATGGAATTTTACTTAAAATCATATCTGCTTATGCGTTAATCGATTTAATATATTGTATTTCAACTATACTGAAATAAATGATCATAAATGAGTGAATTTAATTTTTATAAACCCTTGTAAATCCCTTGTCCCATGATATACATTCATTATTTTCACCATTTACACAATCTTTTGCTAATTAATACTGATGTACTTGCTGTCACTTTATGATAAATTTGTTTAAATATTTCGAAGAGATTTTTGTATAAAAGAACTATAACATAATTATAATTGACAATAGTCTAGTTAATAACTTTTATCCTATATATAAGGATGGGAGTATGTAAAAGGCTAGAAAAAAAGAGTAGATATATATAATTTGAATAATGATAAAGCATTAAAATAAAATAAGTAACAATTAATTGAATTATTGAACAAAAAAACAGTCGCTCGAACAGGGACTTGAACCCTGGACCCTCAGATTAAAAGTCTGATGCTCTACCGACTGAGCTACTCAAGCTTACGATTTTTGCGCAATATGTCTAATTTCAATCCAGCAGATTTTATCGCAATTTTAAATAATAAAAATGGTATTATTTATTAACTTACCGTCTTGAAGCCATGACTCTTGTCTACATTCATTATTCTGGTACAAATTAGAACCTGAAACATAATATTTTTGTATTAAAATGACATTTTTACATCATTACTGATAATAAAAGAAAAAATGTATGAAATTAGTCCTATCATCTATTAGTTACGAATGTTTTTATTTATTTCGTAATATAATTATCATGAAATGTCATTAGTGTTTAATGAATCGATAATTCTATCTTTGTCGCACTCATTATGAAACTCGATCGATAACTGCATCACAGATAAGCATTGCTAACGAATAAAATGTTGTCTCAATAAAACGTCTTAATTAACAATTGATTCCTTATCAAATGAGCAGTTATACATAAAAGTATCATAAAAATTTATAAATGATTCACAAACGATTGGCATTTATAAGAATTTAAAAATTCAAGTTATTTTATGTTAGCTATTCATAAGAGGATGTAAAATAGATAGAAGAATTCTATTTTTATCAAACCATTAAAGTGTTAAAGTTACATTTTTGTATAATCAATATAAAAGAGTATCATGTTAACGAATGAAATATATAAAAAGTGTTGAATGGATTTCTATAATTTGCTATGAGTGTCCACTCATCGATAATATCATTATCTTCATGTCTAGAAATCCAGTCTGAATTACATTAACAGATAATAAAATATTACAGCTCATTGCCTCAGGATAATGACCATTCGCTTCAATTCCTGCACTTTTTTGATGGGGTTTTTTTTTGTGGATATATAGAAATGCAATTTACTGGATCTAAAGTTTATTGTATTTGTAATAAATAGATTAAAATTTTTTATTATTCGAAATAAATAATTTTATTCTCAGGACAACAGCTTTTTTATGATTCAATAATTTATTTAAAAATTTTATTTAAATGTTTTTCCCCATCTTTCTCTCACTCTCTTTCTCTATCTGTGTGTAAATTTGAATATATTTTTTCTCAAGAATAAAAACTCGACTTGGGAATGAAAGTAGTGTGAGGAAATATGATTACTGTGAAGAAATTGCGGCATTATAGGCAGTGATTGAATTATGGATTGAGGGGTTTGCAAACTTGCGACTGATGCTTCTCGCGTTTCTTTACCTTTTCTATACTATTAATTCATATTGCAGCTACTGTGGGTTTGAAAAATACCGTCTCAACATAAGACTTCAATTAATTTTTCCAACATATCGTTTTTTTAAAGCCTATTCTATGGGTTAATTTATCAATTATTTCTCTTATTTATCTGATTTCTTATTTACTTTCGAAACTCTTTTATCAATTTTCTTTTCAATTTTTACTCAAGTCGATTTTAGGGATTGCGAAAATTTGTAGGGATCTCACAAGGGAGTCTTTATCACCAATAATTTGTACTTTATTGACTTCTTTTTTTAAGAAAAGAATGTTTTGCAAATTTTTTATACAATTTATTACGATTAATCATGTATCTACATGAAGAGAAGGACAAAATGAAATGTACCTTAAAAAAGAATATAATTTGTTGTATGACCTTGTAAAAATCTCCATTTTGCAGGATAAGTTTAGCTATTTTTGTGTGATGTACCATGGTTACACTACACGAAAGAGTGATTTTCACTCAACAGCAAACTTTTAGTTATTAAAGAAAGTTACTATTATTCTATTCATGTTCTTTAAAGGAGTGTTGCATAATGACACAACTTATGAAATAAAATCGCACAAGATTTGATACCACTTATAGTCAAAACATAAAATTTTGAAATAGATGTTCAAGCTTGCAAGTTGAATCCTTTGTACACTTGCCCCTTCAATATATTTCCTGATAAACCCATGTTGGTAATTTTCAAATGTTAAAGCTAGGAATTTCCACTGCATAGTAATATTTCTTCTCAATGATTATGCGATATAGGAATTCTAAAATGTCTCATCATCGCACTGCATTGTCACCAAATTACTATCAAGTTGACAATAAATATTGTTCATACAATTTAGATTCATTAACATTTTGGACATTTTGGAGAAATGAAATGGATTGTTGTTTGTAGCTATAGCAAAATAATATTTATTCAACCTTTCTCTTCTCATTTTAATTATCGAATATTTTGAATAACTTATTAGAATTATTTGATCATGAAGATTATTTTTAATTTAATAAAATGATCATTTTACTTCGGTTGATATTAATTACTTTTGGCTGAAAATGAGTAAACTTCAGGTCAAAAAATATTTGAGTGCTAAAATAAATCTGTAATATCTATCATTCGTATTTGGTCTGTAAGTGACAGCTTTCCTTCAAGGGGAGGATGGTTTTACTGAACTCGTGCTCATCATCAAGGAATCATGCGGTTCCATGTACGAACGACAGATTCATTTTGTGTTAAGATTGTATATGTTTCATATACAAAGTTGTAACAACATAGTGTTAGTAAAATGAAAGAGCTCAAGAATATATGTGTGTTTCAAGAGAATATTTCAACGTCAATATGGTGGTAGTGTAGCAAAAGAGATTGCAAATTGTTATATTTTCTTTTATGACATCAAAGATAACTTCAAGAACATTTGCTCAATTTCTGTATCTTAAACTTATTGATCAGTATTTCTAAAGCTTCTTCTTTTTATTTCAACTTGGTACTAACTCTTGCTAATAATGAAGTTGTATTTAATTATATGATGATTTAAAAACTCAATCCATAAAATATATAACAAAAAATGTGCAAAAATATTTTTTTGTAGTATGAATAATTTTATTATTTAAATTTTGTGTGTTAAAATACATAGATTTTATTGTATTAAAATTAATCATGGTAGATTAATCATTCTACTGCACATTACTTGAAAGAGAAAATAATAAGAAACATTATTAGCACTGGTGAAATTAAGATAAGTTTATTTTTTGTTTTTTCAAAATTGACTTTGTGACATTTGACATATGAATGCTTAATAAAATCATGAATAAAAAATATTTATAAATGTTGAGTTTAAAAAATTTAATTATAATGTTTGATTAAATTTTAAGAAATTATTAGATTATTTCTATGAAAATTTATTTTTTATTTTATTAACTTTAAAATAAAAAGTTAACATTTGAGAAACTGTCTAAACAGGAACAAATTTCAAATAAAGTTATTTAATTTCAGTCAGACTATTACATTCAGACTTTTTTTTATCCATTCGCAGATATTTTTTTCTACATTATTACATAAGGTAATATTATTTTAAATGACGGAAAAGCTATTAGAAAAGAAGAAAATGTGAAAATAGTTTTGAATCAAATAATGACTTACTGTGATGGTTTTTTTCAATTGATGATATTTCACTACCAGAGTATGAATTGCAGTAATTGCCATTTAAAATTCCATCGATTGATTCAGGTAATTTAGAATATCCATTATTATTCTGTAAAAAAGAATTACTTTAAAAAATATTTTTAGGTATAAATTGAATGTCTGAAATGAAAAAAAGGCATTTGATTAAATGTTATAAGATTTCGTGTAGTTGAATCAATGAATAAACACATATTTAAATTAAGGTAAGTCAATTGAGTAAATCTTCGGGAAGATAGAAACACATTCAGAGAGATATGATGGATAAATGTTAGGCATGAAAGAGAAGAAGGAAGATGAGAGGGAAAGACATCCGGCGAACGATTGGTAGGTTTCCTCCTTAAGAAGCAATCTTGTGGTAAACCCAGTTACCGGTTCTATAGATTATGAGTTATTAGCACGCAAATGGTCCTATATGCCATCACTCTATATATTGCGTTATATTTTCATGCTTTTCACTTTATTACTTTATCAAATTTTTCATCATTTTAACATCATTTTATTCAAAATTAATTGTAGTTTACTCAATGTTTGTTTCATTTATTAAATAAAATTTTTTTTTCTTCATCATTTTTTTGCTTGATAACAATAAAAAATTATTGAAAATGAGTACTAATAGCCTCTATATTAACTTCCTGCGACTAATCTGCAGACGTTAATATCCGCTATTTTAATTATACATCCATCATTAATAATCTCAACCCAGACAAATTTCTACTGCTAAAATACCTTAAATATTCTCATTCCCTTTCTTACAGCTTTTTTTAGTTGATCGTTAAATTAATTTAAAAAAAAAAAAATTATTAGACTTTTATCAGACACTTTTTGCTGCCAGTGATAATCATTAAAGACATAAAAAAAAAATTTTCTTCTGAGTTTAAAGCTTTTTAAACTTCTTGTTCAAAGTAAAGAGTCCTATTTTTTGAATAGAAAATTTTCTACATATCTTTACGTATTGAAGTTCTTAAACTCTAATTCTATGATTGTTAGAAAGCTGTGTGTGTGTGTGTGTGTGTGTACCTTTATAAATTTTTTTTTGTTTCACACATCTTTAGAAAAAATGAAAATATCAATTTTGGACTAATTTTATTCGATGCGTTATTATTTAATGAACACTCGATTGAATTTTCACTGAATTTGATCTAATAAAAGGTTGATAGTATAGACAAACTAAATAGCATCTAAATAATCTGAGATAAGACTCATTTTTCGAAATTAAAAAATAATTAAACTCTTCAAAAATGAATCAGTAAAAATTACTGCAAAACAGTGTATATTTACTGATAAGTAATTATAAAACCATCACTGTTTGAATTAGTGTTATTATAATCACTGCAAATAATAAATATTTATTAATTCGTTTGTAGGAAAAAAATTAAAATAATTATTAATAATCCATGTATACCCACGAAAAGTCTCAAACGTCATTGAAAAGCTGAAGAAGATAACTTTATTATAAACCAAAGCGAAGTGCACAATTACCAGTCTATAGATCAGTCTTTTCCCTACTTTCTATCATCATCCCCTGCATACATATATATGTAGCATAAATTCCCCTTTGCTTCAAGTGACAGGGCGTTCCCCTTGACACACGAGGCATCAATTTCATCGCACGCGACTACAACTATCCAAATCCAAAAACCGTAACCGTGACTTTAGACGCGGAACCTTCACTGACACACAAGCAAACTCAATGAAAAAAAATTCGTGAGATCATTGAAACACATGCATAACACCAGTAAACATCAATAAATCCATTTGCAATATACTTTTTAACCTACATGAGACGATATGTTATCCTGCATAGCGACAACAATTGCGATAATGACAGTTAATATTAATAGAGGGGTGGCAGAAAGAGCCTACGTGAAGATGAGTCCTGGGAAAGCCATTTCAAGAGTGGACAGGCACGTGACCATGTTTGTGCTTTTTCATCACGAGTCATTAGCTCTTTAGACTGCTTTATTGAGTCTTCGTTGACTTTTAAGTGATATTCAGCATTTTTATGGGGAGAATAATAATAATATGACTATTGATAGTGCAGATGTGAGTAGTGTGGGTTTTTTTTTTATTTCTGCAAATCATGATTAGGATCATTCTCACATACTTTGTATTAATGATACATCATTATTTATGCTTTATGACATTTGACATGATTCCAATTAATTTTAGTAAATATTTTTAGTCAGCTTTCATTTTATTTTTTTCGATGACTAATTGAGGATTTTTTTTAAAATAAAATTCGGTTGTTTGAAAATAATTTTTTATATAAAAGTTGGATTAAATTTGTTGTTTTTTGTTGCATTTTTTTTTCACCATGAATCCTATTGTCTCCAATACCTAATATATTTTCTCCTCGAATGCTCTTAATGTTTGCAGTAGGGTGCAAAGAAACAATATATGGTATATACGACAACGACAGTTCTATGAGGAAACAAAACAAAGATTTCTTTTCTTTTCTTTCACTTCTTATCTGTACTTGTTCTGACGAAAAAGTAACGAATCAATCGGGGTAATTGGTTTCGTCATTGAATCATTAAGTCAGAAATAAACTAGTAAATAGTTTAAGTTATGAAAAATAAGACAATGTTGCAAATAATTATTTGATGACAATATTTATTTAATTTTATACAAGGCCCAACAAATAAAAAAACCAGTAAAGACATACATAATACAACAATCATGTAACAAAATAAAAAAAAATCTCTAATAGGAAAGTACAATGGACCTATCACTGATTCAACACTGGTTGGCTCATACTGGTATAGTGTTGTAGATCACAAAATCATACTCTCAAAGTTACAATCAAAAAGAAATAAAATAGAATACTAAACATTAAGTGAACATTTATTCTACATGTAGGTAGAGAAGATAGGATTATGGTCCAGTCTTTAATATGGTCGATTCGTTTATTTTCCGAGCGTTTATTATGGTGCATTTTCCATTAGCTAATCCACAAATATATTGAAGATAACTTCTTGGGAATAAACAGAAACTTCGAAAAGTGACAATTGATAATAATTTAACAGAATAAAATTTAATTGAAGAAAAACAAAAAGTGATCCATAATTCTACCTTCTTCTCTATGTAATCATTTTTAGGAATAATTTTTACTTCATATTGCTCTTAGTATTTCCTTTATTCTATGAAACTAAGTATAATATTTAAGCAATAAATAAAATCATAAATTAAATTTTATATGAGTAAATATAAAAATAACTTCAATTTTCAGAATTCTCCAAAAATATTTTTTCTCACTATAATACAATTTATTTGTATATTAAAATAATTTCTTTAACAGTTGTTTTATTTATTTTATTAAAAAAAGAACTAATTTACAGTTAACATATCATTTTTATAGTTAGCATGTTATGCAAGCTACTAAAAATGTCATTTTAATTAAGTATAATTTACTTGTATTAAATAAAATTTTTTCATTCATCATTTAATTTAAAAACTACCTGGCAACTTTACAAAAATGTAATCTATCATGATAATTAGTCTTTTTTATTAATATTGGAGCATGAATAATGATCTCAATCATCACCAGAAATACTTCCATATGCTAACATCAAATTTTAAATTGACACCAAACTCACTTGTCATGCACATAGAAAATAGAACACTCAATACAATAGTAACAAATAAATTAGTATCCAAAAATACAATCCCCTAAGTGTTGGTATCGAGTGCCTCTATAGTTGTGACACGCGACAACTAGTCCCACAGGACCTACCACCTCTTTTGTAATCTCTAAACACGTAATTGTCACCCCTCCTGGTAGCATCACCGTGACCACATACGTTTGAAGGGTGTCAAGAGTGTTCTAACACTATTTCCCTTTATATTTTGTGTCTCTTTTTATTATCCAATCATCCTACTATATTGTCCCACTTGAGAAACAAATAATATGAATGTGTAGATATACATTTTATACTTTAAATAAGTATGTATACTCCTGATATCCATGATTTTGATCTCTGTACCCTGTTTTTTATTTTCTTCTAATGCCCCTCCCTCTCTATTTTACTTATTTTCTATTGTAAGGCAATTGATTTATGCTTGTTGATGATAAAAATTGCTCTATTCCCACACTGGTCCCATGGTGATATTTAATTGGTACTTGGGTCTACTATAAACATATGCTAGGACTCAAATTTCTCAGGACTTTTGTCATTTGAATGATGGGTCAATTTGTAGAGATTTTAAAAATTGGTTCTAATTTATTGAATTCATTTATCATTGAATTTTTATTTTTTAAAAAATCGTTATTTTATAAAATAACTTGTATAAGTAAATTTCATATTTTTCTTTGCAATTTCATATTTAGATTTTTTTTTTGCGTTTTTGTTGGACATCTGATTGGATTAGAAAAAATAAATGAATATTTCAATGACGATTTACTTCAAATTTTAGTATTCCATATTAATATACTAAAAATGTTTAAACATGATATCATCCATTTAATTAATGTTGTAGTCACCTTTTACACTCCTTATAAATGCATAAACACATTTAAACACTTTCAGTGTATTGAAGTAAAACACTTTTGAAAATCAAGATTTGCAGTAAATGATTTATTTGAATTAAATAAATAAAATGTTAACTAACAAAATGTTTTATTGTACTAAAAATATTGTCTGTCAATTCTTAAATGTTAATAGCAAATGGTATTTTTTTATTTAAATTAATTATTTATAAAACCAATAATTAAAGTAATTTTTAAGTATAGTTGTTAAGAATCTATGCAAATATATCCTTGAACAAATGTATAAATATTTTTTTACGTTATAAAGAAATGTAGGAAAGGGGTTCATCATCTAATTAACCTGACTTTAAATTCAAGCAAAAAATTATTACTATTATTTAGAGAATGCAATTGTTAGAAATTATGGGAACTTTTGTAATAAATTTATTATTAATGTTAATATTATTTAGTAAATAAATGAATTGCAAAAAAATTACCATTCTATTTAAATCAGTAGTAATAGGTACCTCTTGGTCAGACAAACTCATCATCATTTCTTCTCGACTTTGAAACTTTTCCCGCTTTTTTTGGTGTAATTTACAATATAAATAATTAATCACTTTTAATAAATATCACATAAAGACTATCAAACACATGAAATAATAATAAAAATAATTCCACTATTTAAAAAAAATTTTCTCCAACGATTAGACTTATCAACAGCACAACTGTGACGCGAGTGATTTGATCTCTTACGAGGACGAAAAGAATAAGAGTTATCCTTGGCAAGCCGGGAAAAGTTCGAAGGTGGCTTTTCGACTTGGGTATGGCATTGAACCGCCCCCTTTATAACGTTTCGAAACACCTCTTGGAGCTTTTCATGTGTCTTTATATATACGTATTTCTACTAGGGGTGTTACTACCCTTAAAACGGAGGGCGTGGTCTGAATTTTCATTGGTTTATCCTTGGTACTCAGCAACTATTTGCTTTTATATCATCGCCGTGGAATATTTGTCTAGTTACAAATATAAACTTAGAATGTCTGTGAGCCTTGTAATCTCGGTTTGTGTATGAAGCTTCGAGAAAGTGTGTAAAGAACGAAATTTTTTTTTTTAATTCCCCTTGGCTTTTAAAATTTTTTTTTCTCACAAAAAAGATACTTATTTATTTTTCGACATCAGTTTACTTAATATTTTAGGAAAAAAATCCTTGAATATTTTTTAATTAATATTTGTTAATAAATAAATTGAAATAGTTTTATAATTTATATAAATTAATGGGAAATTATCTGAATTTTATTCTCAATCGGTAATTTTTCAAAAACGTTGGGTATATCATATTGAAGGAAAGTGCAAAAAAGTATCTCATGTGATTTTAAAAGTATTATAAAAAATATCAATTATTTAAACATAGGTCAAGGAACAAAATATTTTCATTTTCAAAACCATTGTTTTTTGGTCCTGCTTTCTTTTTATCGACATTATGTCGTATTATAGCCGATAATTTATCGGTAGAAAATTGACTTCTACTGTTGATAACAACCCTTTTACCAATGAAAAATTTTGTAAAAAATACATACGCAAAACAATTGGCGCAAAATTCAAATTATTTTATTCGGTTAAAAAAATTACTGCTCCAACAAAATTGTTCCAATTAAAAACTTCATAATCATTAGAATAAAAAAATTTAAACATCATTTATGAGCATTAATATTTATATCAAAAATTGATTTCTAACAAAGATTCATTATTAATTAAAATTTTATTTTTTTTGTAATTGCTGTAATGACAATAAATATTAATTTTTCAATTTAAGTAAGTCTTCATACCAAAATAACCTTTAAAGAGTAATTTTTTTAATTGTATTTGAAAAAAACAAAATATTTAAATTCCGCGCCAATTTACTTTTTTTACCACCAGTAGATAATAAATTTAATCAACAACAAAATTCGTTTCATTCATTTTTTAACAATCAACTTGTGTGGGTACAGTGTATATTCACTACTCTATTATCATTTTAAAATATAATACGTGGATCTTGACATCGGTACCGAGCCATCCGGGTAGTAATTATTATCTTTATAAAGTGTGATTCAACGGAACTGGTCAATTCCGGTGACAGCGAGAGTATGAGATGGTATTTGCGAAACGATAGCTGAGTCTACGTCCATGTATGGTACACACATTTAACCAGTGAAGTAGTGAATGATCTCTATGGTGGTAGTTTACACGCTTTTCGAGGCTTCGCTTTCGTCTTGTTCCTTTTAACTTACCAATTTACGTTCAATCCACGCATATGTGTATGAATCGCATTCATTCTCCAATCCACGTTTGAAATATTTTGGAATCTTATTCATTCTAAGTGCATCAATCTCCAACTCGTAACTAGATTATTCACTTTAACCTTTAAAAACGATAATTAAAGTGTTTTTAATACAATATATAGTAATATAAACGCGAATCATTACTGCTTAATGTTTATCATGGAATATTTTTGATGAGTTATAATGAAGAGTGTGTAATAATTGAATATTTCTTATATTATTTAATCATTATTCCAGTGATTTTTTTTGAACGGAAATGGCTTCATTATCGCTTCCTAGGGTACTACAACAAAGGAAAACGAGTTTGGATCTTGAACGCGAACACTTTGAGAAGTTTCAGGTGAGCTTGTTGACAAGGCTATTCTTTGAATTCCAGAAATAAACTCCAATGTCTTGCATGTGTGAGTTTTATGCTTAGAAAAAATATCCTACGGCGATTTGTATGAATCACTGTACTCATTCAACTCAAATGCAAGCTATTAAAACAATCTCGCATGCAATCAAATAAGTCCAAGCAAATCTTTTATGTGAATATATTCTTTAAACTTTTTTATTAGTAGAAATATTGCATGAAATAATAACACAATTCACGCTAATACATTTCGGAGTAAAATCAAAAATGTATTGCCAGATTAACAATCATCAGGCCTAAAAAAGCTTCATCAGACTAACGGGCACATCAATTTTATTAAATTGATTTGACGTTTAAAATAATAAATGATCACTCTGCTTGTCTGATTTACTTGATAAACTCTTGAGTATTTTCTTCACAAAAAATATTAACAATGTCACCAATATCTCCAGTTTCTACTAAACAACTCCAACATCAGGTGAGAAATATTTTGTTTTTGATTTTTTAAATCATCTTTTAAAATTTAAATATTTAACTTCTTATTTCATTTTCGAATCAATAAAAATATCATTTTTATTCATTACATTTTGGTAAAAATAATCAAATAACTTTTTAATTGGTATTTAAAAATTAATATTATCAATGAATGAATTGAAAAATCTCAAAAAAAATTAACAGGTTTCATCTAAAATTTCTAGAATAGTAAAACTATAATGATAATTATTAATCTAATTTACTTTAATTATAAAAAAAAAGTTATTGTGTGAACAATTGAATTAATATTAATTACCAATTAATAGTATACTGAACTAAATGAATTTTTAATTTGTTCACAGAGTATAAGTATAAGTAAAGCTGTAAACCCAACAGAAACTCCAGTAAAAGAGAAACATGTTCGAAGTATCCTTTGAAAATAGTCTATTTTTTTAAATTGAAAATTGACATGAAACACTAGAGAAAATTATCTGCATGAATTTTACAAATAATAAATATTGATTTGAATTAAATTCTTACAACATTAATAAAGACTTAAATAGTTAGACACATTTTTACGTCACTTCCCTGTCATTTTCTTATCTGTGTGCTCATTAATATATGAAAAGATTATATCAAAAATTCTCATTCATACTTAATCTAAAACAGTTCTAAAACGTAATCTTTTTAAAGATTATTTAATAAAATAAACCAAAAAAATTTATTTCTATTTATTAAACTATGTACTTTCTGATAAATTCATTGAATTAATTATATAAAATGACCTGATGCATAAACAGAAATAAAAAACTAGGAAATTAATGATAAACGAATTTCTACAATAAGATTTTGCAACATACTGTGAACTCATTATAACCGTGGGAATGAATCATTTCATATGTTTGTAACACATAGCCTTCACTTAACGTCATATTATTCCATAAATGTCCTTAACTCTTGACTTAGGCGCTATTATTGGTACATATCAAGAGAAAAGTGGAGCAATCTTTTGGATGTTTATTCTTAGACAACCGTTACAAGAGAATCGCATTGTTGCCTGGAAATTCTGTCATGTTTTGCATAAAGTACTCAGAGAAGGTCATCCAAGAGTCATACCCGATTCTCAAAGACACAAAGGAAAGCTTGAAGACATGGGAAAAATGTGGCAACACCTGAGAGAAGGATATGGGAGACTTATTCATTTGTATATACGTTTACTTATCACTAAATTGGAATTTCACAATCGTAATCCTGGTCTACCAGGTAATCTACAAGTTACCAATGAGGAATTAGAGGCTATCGGCGAGAATGATATAAATATTTAGTAAGTTGATTAATCTTATTTTTAATGAATTAATGAATATGATGAATAATATTAAAAAATAATGTATGTATTTTTGCAGCTTTCAAATGTCAGTGGAGATGTTTGATTACATGGATGATATTTTAAATCTTCAAAGAGCAGTATTTGGATCTCTTGATCTTTCAAAATCTAATTCAATGACACCATGTGGTCAATGTCGTTTAGCACCATTGATTCCTTGTATTCAAGATGCGTCTCAGCTTTACGATTATTGTGTGAAAATTCTTTTTAAATTACATGGTGCACTCCCTGCAGATACCTTGAAAGGTCATCGTGATCGTTTTTCTAAACAGTTTCAAGATCTTAAAACTTTTTATAATACTATCAAACACATGCAATACTTTAAACATCTTATCACAATCCCCGCTTTACCTGAGGTGAGTCATAATTCGTAAAAAATTTAATAAATCACGATGTGGTAATAATAACTAAATAAAAATTTGATTTATTAATTTAATTCAATCTTTCTCTTATTTTTCTGTAGAATCCACCCAACTTTTTAATTCAATCAGAATTACGAACATATGTAACTCCAGTAATTTTGTTACCCCAAGAAGAGTCTATTGAACATGATGTAACTGTTGATAGCCTGATAGACACATCGGATACAAGTTCTGTACCTGGAGATCATTTAGATGCTGCTAGAAATGGTTCTATTTCACCAGACGCACTTGCTGAAAGGTAAGTGTTGATAATTCGTCTTGATAACTTATCAATATAATCTTCAAATAAAGATATTTATATTTTTCGTCTTTAATTTTTTGATAATTTGCTTTGTAAAACTCGAAAATTTATTTTAAAAAATGGAATTTTTTTTATGCAGAGATAGCTTGATCGATCATCTACATCATGAGAATGGAAGACAAAGAGAAGAGTTGCACCGTTTACTTTCAGAACATCAAAGAATTGTCGGAGAAATGAGACATCACATAAGAGAATTAGAATCCTTGGTTACGTCTAAAGTACGGGTTTTTCTTGAAAATTTATTCATTTATGTACAGAGTAAATAGCGATTACACACCGTATAAATGATCGAAATGTTTGTGAAGTAAATTAATGAAGTCTAGAAAATGACAGTAATTATTACTTATTCCACTGATTAAAATACTTATTATTTTAATCTCGGAAATCATTATTTAGATCAAATCATGTAACAGAGTAATTTGTTTTACTTAGGTGATAATAACTATTGACAAACATTTAGTAAAAATCGTTTTTAATATTTCTGAAGTTTAATTAAAAAAAAAATTCTTCTGGTACATATATTTCTATATCAGTTTTATTCAGATTCTTTTTTGCATTTATGAAATTTATAAATAGAGCTGGATTCTGTACATACTAATTGTAATAAATCGATAACAATATTTATATTATATTTCAGAGTAATGAATTGGAGCATCAAAAACAACTTAGTGAAGATTTAGGTAAACAACATGCTGATATAGTTTTGAAACACCATGAGCTTGAAGGTAAAATATATAAAAAACAAGTATTTTTATCATTGAATCACATTGAAATTAATACGATGTATTGATAAATTTAATGTTTACAGAAAAAAATAAATCACTAGATGAAAAATTCCAAAAATTAAAAGAAGTCTACTCCAAATTACGTGAAGAGCATATAAGCCTAATAAGAAAGGTAAAATATTTTCTCTTATCATCTTACAAATACTAATTCAACTTATCAGTAAGATAATATAAGCTGATAATACATGAAAATATTGAGAATTTTCTAGATTAATTTTTTTTGCTCTTCATTTACTTATAAATATAAATATATTTTTTATTCATAATCTAAACATTTATTTACACATTCACGAATCATTATAGATAATATTTAGCAATAAATGTATATTTTTTGTATTTATTCAGAAAGCAGACGTAGATAAACAATTGGGTGGAATAAAAATTGCCCAAGAACAAGCACAAAGACGTACTCAAGAAGCAGAACAACGTCTAGAAGAACTTCTTCAAGGTCAGGCAACAGCAGAACAAGAAGCTCAAAGAGTAGCCCAGGCTCGATCTGATTTAGATGACGTTCGAAAACAATATGATCAAGCAAAGACTGAAAATTTAGCATTGATTGCAAAAATTGATTTCATTTCATCTGAGAAAGCTGTTGCTGAAGGTGATCTTCATGATCTTCTTGCACAAAAAGAAGAACTTGATTTAAGGATAAATCAGTTAGTATCAGAAATTGAAAGAATTCGTAGCCAAGGAAAAAAAGATTTGGATGCATTGAACTATGAATTGATTATTAATTGTATTACTTCTTCTGAAACTATGATTCAAAATGCATCTAGTGCAATTGAAATTCCTGCTATTTCAGCACTTACTTGCACTCCAGATTATCTTGAAACTCTAGTAAACCCACTGATCCAGTCTTTAAGTGATTTAGAAACGGCTTACAAAAGTTACGAAACTGATGCAAAAGAAGGAAAATTATTAATACGCTCTTTAATACGAGCAACTTTTTCTTTATCTATTTATTTAATCCATGCTAAATCTACTTCTAACACTTCAACAGACATATCACTTGGAGATAAACTGACAGACGAATGCAAATTATTAGCTTCTCAAGCTTCTACAATGTTAAGTAGTATTAAAGAAAAATCCCCATCAACTCTTGATAAAATATCACTCGTAAAAAATCAAATTAATTCTATCTCTTCAATGGCTAATACACTAATTAAAGCCAGCGGAAATGTGGATATTATTGGAGACTTAGTAGAAAATGAACTCCAGAGTATGGACAAAGCTATTGAAGAAGCTGCTAGCAGAATTCAAGAAATGTTGAATAAATCACGTGCTGGTGATTCAGGATTGAAATTGGAAGTGAATGGAAAAATTCTAGATTCTTGTACAGAATTAATGAAGTGTATCAGAAAATTGGTTAAAAAATCACGTTTACTACAAACAGAAATAGTTGCTCAAGGAAAAGGAACTGCATCAGCTACTGAATTTTATAAAAGGAATCATCAATGGTCTGAAGGTTTGATTTCCGCTGCTAAAGCTATAGCAATGGGAGCTAATTTCTTGCTCGAAGCTGCTGACAAAGTTGTTTCTGGTGATGGAAAATTCGAGCAACTTGTAGTTGCGTCGCAAGGGATTGCAGCATCAACCGCTCAACTCGTTGTTGCAAGTCGAGTTAAAGCTGATAGAAACAGTCCTAATCTCGCAGGTCTTTCAGAAACTTCCAGAGAAGTTACGCAAGCAACTGCTGGTGTAGTTGCTACTGCTAAAAGTTGTGGACAGCTTGTCGAAGAAAATGGTAATTTATTTTTATTTTCAGTTGCAAATAATCTTATTTATTAAATCGGCTTATTAGATAAATCAGATAAGCAAATCCTAAAAAATTAATTCTTAGACTTTGTTTATAAATTAAAATTGGATTTTGAAAAGTTGTAAACAACAAAGCTATTTAAAATTAAATTAAATTTTGTTATAATTTAATGATAATACAATACAAAAAATGTGTATTTTGTATTTCAGATGATTTAGATATGTCTGGATTGAGTCTCCATCAAGCTAAAAGGCTCGAGATGGAAGCGCAGGTACGTGTTCTTGAATTAGAGCAAGCTTTGGAGACTGAAAGACGACGACTGGCTGCACTTCGTCGTCATCATTATCAAATGGCCGGTGAAAATGAACCATAAATTATTATTATCATTATTATTATTATTAATTAGTTAATTAATTAATTACTTTAGTTATTATTAATATTATTAAAATTAAGCAGTAAATGAATTAAAATGAATGTAATATTCGTTGAAAATGATAAAAAAAGTGATCAGAATGAACACTAGACACGTAAAAAGATATTAATAATCTGGAACATGAAGGTCTTAAACAACCACACAGATAAAAAGGTTATTGATGGAACGATAAGTTAATAAAATATTTAATGAAATTGCTGCTTGAATTTCAAAATGGTATTTATAATGATTGTCAATAATCATATATTTTTTTATTCTTATTTAATATTCATATTATTGCTTATTTATTTGAATATTCACTAAAATTCAAATCAATGTGAAACGAAAGTAACAGTAAAGACTAATTCGTAATTTTCATTAAAAAATATTTACAACGTAAAAAACTAATAAAAAAAAATCAACGAAGAATATTAACACGTTTACATTCTGATCTTACTTTTTTACATATATTATATCTTATTATAATAATATAAAAAAATTGTAATCTGTATTTATTCATCTTATATATTCAATTGAAATTTATCAATTTATTTTCCGTATAATCTTATTGTACAATTTTGTTATTAAAAAATTATTGTATAGTGAATTTTATTAACAAAATTATTTTCACTTAACTAACACTCGAAGAAATTTTAAAAACTAGGTTACAAAATTTCTCATTATCAAAGCTATTAATTGATATAAATTAAATTTAATTAACAAAAAGGAATTGGTTAAAACTTTTCTTCATTTTTCTCTTGACTTTTATTTATAACAAATCATTCGACATGCTTTTGTTATTGTTTAGTTACCTAACTAATTTTCAATCATATTATCAATTAATTCATTAATTTTTTAATTAGCTAAATTTATTAACTAAAAAATTATTATTATTATTAATTAATAAAAATGATTTACAAAAAAAAATTTTTTTCTAAAAAACTATTCACGTCACCATATTAAATTTATTAATAATACACAAAATTATTCATCCCACGGAATAATTTTGTAAATGCATACAGAAGACTAAAATCTTGGCGAAAAATTTTATAAATTTTTCTAAATAAAAAAAAACAACTATTAATCAATAGTCACAAATTTTTTAGTACAATCATATTTAATCACGTTTTATTTAAATGAATTAAATAAATTAAAGCACTAGAAGCTATCACGATAATTTTTTTATGATGCGGACAAAGAAATGTGAATCGTATAACTGTGTTGGAATCAAAGGCATTTTGTACATTTATTGTTCAAAAGCACAGTTATCTCGGTTTTTTTTAGTATCTTAATTTTTATATCAATATAACTTCTTTTTTTAATTTACACATATTCCTTAGATACCAAAAATGTATTTTTAAACGATATGGACACGTGAATGCGATTATTTCAGATGCTTATGAATGAAAAATATGCTGATTTTTTAATTAATATTATAATTTGTATTATTGAGGAACATACAGATATTTATGCACATATATATTTATTTCATTTGTACCGGAACTGGCTATGATTCTACAATCTAATATCTATTTCTCTTTAAAATTATTTTGAACCATGAACACCCAAATATTATTTTGCATCAATGCTTCCTAACATAATGAGACCTATTTTTAATATTTTGAGCACTTTAGCTCATTATTATCTTTAAATTGTATTATATCACTTTGCCCGCGCATAATAAATATTATAATTGTTGAGTAGAACGGTTTTTTCGTTTTAATTTGAATATAAGCTACAATAAAAATTATATAATTATTTATATTTTTATGAACTCTAAATCATGACCCAACACACGGTTTCATGAAAAATATCACGGTAGATTTCCTTTTATTATTACTTTGTTTTTTAAAGAAAAACGTACTTTTCATGTACATCTCTCTTGCTTCCATAATTGGTTTGTCCTAATTAATTTATATTAATTTTTACAATATATACAAGATAATTCGAGCCAAAATTATTCTATACATCTGTCAACAATAAAATGTATTTCAATTAGTACGATAATAAATAAAGGAATCACGTTAGTATGATTAAGTTTTTTTCTAGCAATATTTGTGTCGAATTAGTTATCGCAAAATAAAAAATAACGAAAGAAATATTATTCTAAAGGAACTCTTTGATCTTATGTGGAATGATTCTTATGTTCCACAAAGCTAAGAGACAATTCTGGAATAATCCACTTCGTTCCAGACCAATAACGCAGTCGCAAGATTGGTAGTTTAAATGATTCATCTAATAATCTTTTAATACCCTTCTTCAGCCTCATCGGTGCATGGCATACTGCCAGCAATTAGATGACTCAACATACGTGGCAACATTTCTAATGAACAAATTTTTATCTTCATTATTTTGACTTATCTTTCACAGAGAAAATATACAATATTTCCTCCTTTTATTTGTAATGAAAATAAATAAACTTGTTATTATTTTCATTTAAATTTAAATTTCAGTTCTCACTGCCTTAGTTATCACCTCAGACTATCGATATTAGAATCCATAATTAATTAATACCGCAATCGATGACATGAGCAAAATTCGTATTTAAAGATGAATCATAGCATCTTCTTGATGATCCTATACTTTATAAAAAAGTTCTCTTGATGTTTCTATTAACCTTCAGACGAAATTTCCATTAATAATCGTTTTAGGCTATCAAGACCAGTGAGAAAACCACAGTCAGGTCCTTGATGAACAGTAGTATTCGAAGGACACGCTAAAACAGGATTAGAAGTACCTACAGTTGTATGAGCGAAATCGATCATCCTAACATCAACCATAGAATTTTCTGGCGTATCTGTATGATCGCTTTTTATTCTCAGCCTTTTGGTAGCACATTTAAGTTCTTCTTCTTGGTGATCTTGACCTTCATAAATACTTAATCGATGTCTTGATCGTGTTCTCTTCAATGAACATTTTCCACCTAGGTCTAAATCGGAACTGATGTCATCCGAGTTAGTGATTGTATGTTGACCAACACAACAATATTCATTGCCACTATCACTACTACTACTGCTACTACTTGAAGTACTGATATTTCCGCTATTATTGCTTTCATTTCCAAATGACGAACCAATCCAATTATCGTAGTCCTGACTTGGCACGACAGTGGCATTAATTAAATCAGAAGGTGGATCCATGAAAACAGTTTCCTCATTGATTGGATAAAATCCTGTAGCATTTTTAGCTCCCCGTGCAGCAGCTTCACCAAATGCTCGATGAAGGGTCAATTGGTTGACTTCATCATGACTAAGATGATAATCCGTCGATGCATTACTTTGACTTCCATCTAAATATCCATCAGAATCATGTGTAAGATTTTCAGTGAAACTAAGTGATTCATTGGACTCTTCTTCAACTCCTAATGTTGTTAAAGGACTTCTTGAGCGATTAGAATAGTCTTCAATCACGTATCCTTCGTAAACAACTAGCAGGGAACTGAAATAGAAAATAAAGTACGTGAATTTGATGTGTTTAAGTGTTGATAGCATCGTTGTTAATCTTTAATGCTTAAAGAGACTTGACCGTGAGAGTAAGAGAGATGATGAGAGGCCTTGATCGCGCCCTTCAGCAGTCCGGAGGCTGTTGAATATTACACGATTTTCCCTATTGCACTGGTGGAATCGTATGATGCATTTCTACTCATTGTGTCGTTACGAATTTGTGAGGCTTTTTGATATTTTTTTTATTGACTGATAATTACGTGGATGAAAACTTACCAAGAATAAAAACGATAGCTGCTTTGTCTCTCGATGGCCCGACGAAGACTTTCTAATCGGGCGATTACCCGTTGGATCACGTGAGTTCTCAAGCAGTAACCATTGTGGAAGAAGCGGTAGAGTGCAGCTTTGAAACCTTCCTCGTTGAGCTCTCGACCCCAGTATTTATCTCTCTTCACATAATGATCAGTGTCTGCTTGATAAACCTAAACAGAGAATTATGATATTTATTTAATTTATTTTTTTTATTTTCTATCTTGAATTTTTCACATAAATAAATTTGTTTTATTATATGGATTATTTAATAATGATTACGTTAATTACTTTAGATAATTAGCTCACCTGCATGCCACACAACCGCACACCTAAAGACGCAGATGTGCTTGCCGCACATTTGGCTATTTGTTTATTACGTTTCTCTGCAGAAGCGTCGTCCCCGTGTTGTCTTGTACCCATTTTAAGATCCAATATACACGGGTGGGTGTAACATGACGTAATATTTTCCAATAATAAAAAATCTATTTTTTACCATTAAGGAATTTATAGAATATTTTCTTTTTTAGATTCTAATAAAAATATTTAAAACAAAATTAATATAGTTCAAGGTCTAGTCAAATTCTTTCGAATAGTTTTAAGATTCTGAAGAAGATATTAAATAAAAAATATATTATTAAAATAAATTAAATCCAAAACCCTGTTGATTGATTAGTATTTACTAAAATGTATCAGAAGTATCTAACTAAAATTAATTCTAACATTAACCTACCAGAAATTTTTCACATAAAAACTATAATAATTAAAAATTCAATACTTCAGATTTTAGGAGTTTTTATTTACTATACAAATAATAGAGTTATAAATTTGATTTACTCGATAAAATAAAAATTAATTTGATTTATATTATTCATCCTATTAACAAAAGTACATAATAATGTTTTGTAAATTACAAAAACTATTAAATTTTATTGTTTTTAATAATATCTTTGAATCATAAATACAATACACTACTAGAAAAAATACTTTTCAACTTAAAATTATTATTGATTGTATCAGAGTACAACTATATTCTCTCTTATCAAGTAATACTGACTTTTAATTATTTAAAAATAAAAACTAAAGTTGATTTCATCTTACTAATTTAACATTCTCAATTATTATTTAATTTTACCGTTCATTTTTTCTTAAAGATTTAATTATTTAACAAACAATGCTTTGTTTTTTTTTTCGAAATAAAAATTAACATAATCCAGCTATTTAAAACTTTCGTTCCGTTGACCCATATTCATAATACAATACTCAATCTTTTTCCTAAACCTAATCTACATTTTATAACATTCAAATAATAATCCCTTGTTATGTTATTGTGAACATTTTCATTTAAATTACCAGTTATATAAATCAGAGGTGACCAAACTCTGACTTTTTGGGATCTAAGAGAGAAAAACTTATGTAAGTTTTCAATGGAGAATTGGAGTCTCTTTCACTTCCTCTGACAGAAATGATGGGAGCTGATCTGACTCCTAAGAGTCTAATTTATCTACCTCTGCAATTAACAAATCTATTGAACTGATGAAACATATTGACTCAATATTCAACCAAATTATTTTTTATGTGTGTAAGAAGGATACATTGTTTATTAGAGCCGCTATCCAAATGTGATCCAGGTTTCAATACGTCCACCGTACTATTTTTACGGTGAATTTTCATTCTGTAAAAATGTTAATAATTTATATTAATATTATTATCATTTATCTCTTAATATTAATAACTATATTACTATGAGATTAATTGGATTTTAATATAATTATTTGACTACACATTTATACTTAGATCATAGACGTTTATCTTATTGATTATTTCATTATATAGCATTTTATTTAGCAAAAAATTATTTTTTACTATCAATAAATAAAATTAATAATAATAATATATTCTATTTGAAAAAATATAAGGGATAAAATACAATAAGTATCGCAATGCATTAATATTTATTCATTATTATATACTCTAATGTTAAAATTTTATTTTTATTATTTATATATACTTTTATATGCTATACATAATAAAAAATGAGATATCACACTAGTTATAAATTTAAAAGTAATTCATATTAATTAAGAACTTTAGTTAGATTAATAAGTTATAAATAATAAAAACCATTATATCATTAGAGAAAAATGATGATGCCGTAAAAATGGAAATTAATATAAAACTTATGAACCAGTTAATAAAATGAATGAAAATAATTCACATGTATAAATCTATGTAATAAATAGAAAAGTGAGTTATATACTCGTAGATTTGAATAGGGAAAGGAGGAAAGTAAGGAGAAAAGTTATGAGAAATGAAAAAAATAAAAAAAAAAAAAGAGAAAGTAAAAAAAAATATTATTACATATAGAAGGAAAATAAAATATAGGAATTGATTGCGGTGTATATTGTTTCAGAGTATAAAATGAGCAGTATTGTACCAAGGGAAAACGGCCCTTTTTTGCGGTTCGCCTTTGTTATGTCACAGGCAAGGCACTCTGGTTGGCTCGCGACCGACAGACTGACAATTGAGAGATGAGACTCTTCGTCTCACGAAGTAAATGGGCCACCACGAGAGCCACAGGTTGTGTGCGTGATCAGCAGCAGTCGTGCTGTCGTGCTGTCGTACTGCACAAATTTGTGTGCCCCTACTGCAAGTTGACGTTATTTTTCTAAACTCACATTATTCACCCGTACACTGGGCTTCTCGTTTTATTTTTAAAATTCTAATCAATTTTTTTTTCTTATGTAATCAATGATAATTTTATTATTATTATTATTATTATTCAATCATTAAATATTTCTTAATCAATTGTTTAATTACTTTAAAAAACATACACTTGGATAAATTAATAAATAAAAAATATAAAAAAACCTTCTTAAGGGATGATTGAAGAGATATTTATTGAATTTTTTACCTAAGAACATCGTCACGTTTCCGCTTAGTCGATCCTTTGCCAACTTGAGATTGATTATGGTTATCTGGATCCCTGAAACTTGGACTGTATCGCTTTTCTACTTCTCCACAACTACTTGAAGCTTGAATAACACCTGAAACATCAGCACTTTTGGTTAATTTTTATTTCACTGATTGAATTGTTACACTATTTTATATTAAACCATCTACCTGAATTTATTAGGAGGATAATGATCATGATAAATTTACTATACAATAGAACGCCATAAACAATGCAGTACCAACTTTGTAGTATTTCATTGACATATCCATCTTTTCGATAACATTATTTGCTACAAATTTCATATTTTTTCAGAATTTTTTATTTTAAGAAAAATTGCATTGAAAAATTATGAATTTTATATATTTAAGGGTTGATACTATATTATAAAATAATGACTAGTAATGATTGAAATATTACTATATTAAATGGAGATACTTCCTGTCAAATTTGACTAAATGCCATTGGACGTTATAGCTCATTAACTGCAGTTGCAAAGTATTTGAGTTAAAGAAAACTACCTTGAAAGTATATATAGAATCTATATTATTGACCATCTTCTGAACCGGAAATTTTGGTTATTGCATTTTCGGTAGTAGGTAAACAGAAACTTGATTACCTTGTTTTGCCATCAAAAATAAATGAATAATTTTTTTTTTGTTATTATTTTTAATAATAATTTATATTAAAAGAGTTTTTTTTAATAGTTATTTATATACTCATGTCATAAATTTAGGAAAATTATAATTTTGGAAATAATAGGGAAAAAATAGAGAAAGAAATATTGTGCTAAGTATAGGTGAAATGGGGAAAACTAATATTAGTATCGTTAAATTTATCATCAAGATATTTTCCCTAGGAGTTAACAGAATTTTAATGAAATTTTTCCATTATTAATTTTAAGAAAAAATTCATTACTTTAATATACTTAATAGTTGTTTAATTATTGATAATTTTTTTATATAATATAATATTATACTTTGTGTAATGAAATAATGATTTTTAATAATAAGTCTGTATAATAATAGTGGTACATTGTTTACTAATTTTATAAATTCAATCTTAAGTATATAATATAATAATAATTTGCAAATAATTATAGCAATAAATATTATTTATAATCTTTATGCACTTCAAGCATGTTTCTTTTTTTTTAATTTTCAAATTGAATGGATAGTTTACTGAATCAAGATTAATATCAACGATAGCTTTATTATTTAATTCTAAAAAAAAATTCTTTCAGATTTTATCAATAGTTGATAAAACTATGTATTTAACTTATATAATAAAATAATTTACTTAAGTGCTCTATAAAGAATGAATGAAATGAAAATCAATACTTTGATAAAAGTGTGTATAATTCATTATATTATAATTAATTGATAAGAGTATTTTGATTTTTCGACTTCACATCTCTGAAATAATTAACTAAAAAGCCTTTCTATATCAATTTAATAATAATGTTGTATACCCGAGTCTAGTAATGAAATTTTTTATGTTAGTTAAACTTTCTCTTTTATAACAAAAACTACACCCTTAAAATGTTCATTACTACATTAAGTTTATAATTCCCGAAAATTTGATTTTAAAGACCTTTTACGTAAATTACTTTACAGAAAGAGTTTTTCCAAAACGCTTAACAGTCCCAAGACTTTCCCAAAGGTTTATCTTTTTGTGACGTGTCGACTCTCATCATGGTCCGAACACCAATGTAAATAGGCACCTTTTTGCAAAAACCCGTAGACTAAATTTTGAACTTGAACAGTGAAGCTCTGCTCCACAGATTGAAAAGTTCTAGCATTGACTAAACACTTAAGTTGTAGTTGAATTAACGTTTGGATAAATCAAGAATCCAACAATAATTTATTATTATTTAATATACATTAATTTATATCCATACTTTTTATAGTAGTTTTCTTTCATAATATTGTTATATATCATTAAAAAAATGAATTGACATTAAATCTTCTCAAGAATTCAATATCAGATAAAAAAAACCCGAAATTATAAATTGAATAATGATATACTTACCTAAATAAAAAAAAAAGATATTTCCATAATTAATCACACCACAGTGACATTTAATTGATGAGGAGTACCTCACTATAATTAACTAATAATTTAGCGAATGAATGATTTACTACGTCAGAAACTTATAGCGTGATGATGACGTCAGGACATTGAAAGTGAATGTCAATAAATAATGACGTGATATGATACACAAACGGAAAGATAATAATATTGGTCAAGATTTTTTTTTTATTCAATATTACATTATAATGAGGAAAAGATCACAAAAAATCATAAAAATAATTTATTTGCCATGAAGTAACAATTATAACAATAACAATGATTATAATAATAATAAGAAAAAATAATTATTATTAAAATAATAACAACGATTAAAGTAGCAAATAACAAGAAACAAAGAATGATATCAATTATAACGATTCCAAGTCGAGTTAAATTTAAAACTCAAGAATATTCTATAAAATCGTGATAAGATATTCTTGGTGATTATACAAAGATAATTAAGTGTTAAAAAAAGATTCTAATCTTTAAGAATTCAACGACGCAATATTTTTTAAAGACTTATTAAATCAACGAGATTAATATTATAATGCTTGGTAATTTTAATTCTACAATAAATAAAAACTAAATAGACCCTAATTAATGTGTTTATTATCATGACTAACAGTAAATATTAATCAATTCATACATATGATAAGTCTTTAAATAATACATTTCAAAAATGCGAAAAATAAATTATTCAAAAGTGAACAATAAACTGTAAGTAATATTAAAACTTATTTTAATTATCATCATTTTTTTAAAATAAATATCTTACCTTTAAATTTAGGAACAAACATTTGTATATCTTGAGGAATGTTACGATAGAAATCCAGTTCTCTTTTATTCAGTGGTTTACATATGGTGCTCTGGTTGAGAAGTAACAGACGAGTATGTCCTCCAACCTAATGAAAAGAAAGAAAAAAAATTGATAACATTTGTTTTTTTTTCTTAATTAAATACTATAAAATAAGTCAATAGTACACTAACTATTGCAACTATGTTTCCATCTTAAATTAAAAATAAAAATGTAGGTCAAAGAATACAGTTTGTCCCAAATAGTAATGGAAGCAATAGAATCCAACTTGGGCGAATTACCACGAACTTCTCGATTCAGTAACATGGATGACACAAATAACGGAACACAAAATTTCATTCATCGTCAGATTCTCTTTGTATCTTAATATAACTCGGTGAATATCACTTTTATAAAACAGTATTATATATTATTTTAAGAAAGAGAATTCAATGTTTAGAAATATCCATATTTAAATATTTACTGAAAAAATAAAGAAGAAAAAAAACCATTTTATCAAGAAAGAAAGTGACCTGGAATACAGCAATAAAAAAGTAACATTTAACTTAAAATAACATAAAATATTTTATTTTATGATTTTTAACACTAGTTATAACATTTATAAATAAATCAAAATCACTGATTAATATTATATCCATTTAATAACTTAATAACATTTGAATAAATTAAATAATAAAAAAAAATTACAAAATAATATTTGCATGGCCTTAATTAGATATTATCTTTGTTGACATTAGCGGATAGTTTTAAAAAACTTTTTCAAGAACAAGAAGTTTAAACTAATACCTAAAACGCATGAAATTTTTACTATTCAGAGAACATTGTGAGAAAGAAAATATAATCTGAATAAATTAAAAATTGTATTAACAATGAGTACTTATTGCTTGATGAATCGTATATTTTAGCATACAAGTGATTAAAAGAAAAAAATAGTAAATTAAATAAATTGTTAGACAATGAAGCTGAAAGAAAATCCAATAATTAGGTAAAGAATGTAATAAAATTAATTATTCATATTAATTAATGAATTATTTATAAATAATTGATGTTTAATCTATAATAGATTGACATGTATTACACAATACATAATTCATTATGAAAACAAATTATCAACATAGCTGCAGTCAAGTTTATGGCCATTGAATAATAATTTGCAGAATTACTGATAAATTTTCCATTTTTATGATCTTTTACAATACCAATTATATATAGGTAATAAATACTATTGTAGTATAAGCCAAAACCTATAAGACTGGGGTCTAAGCTTTTGGAGATTTAAATGGAATAAAGTGAACAAAATGTATTAACGATTTGTTATGACACGTGCCCGAACTGACGTCAAGGAAGACTTAACAATAAGACTGCTTGCGTATTTAATCAATTAAATGAATAGAATCTCTCATTTCACATACACAAATATTGATAATAAATTGTTAATATTATTAAAAATGAACAGATTATCAATAAAAGTATCATCTGATGCAATAATCATCATCATGGAATAAAAATGAGCAGAAATGTGCTCACCTGATTATTGAGTGGGTGAAGAGCAACTTCTTCGTCATTTTCTTGAAGAAAAGCACTAGCTGATGTTGAAGATGTTGAGGATGAAATTGGGGATGAGTTGGTGTTCAAACACTGAGGATCAGTCTCTCCCATACCCCAAGCACTCGTCAGGTATACCATGCCAACTTACAGTTTTTATTGATAACAAAAAACAACTCTTTTAAATAAATTTTGGTATTTTTATAAACAGTATATATATTGAATTTAATTTCTCGTCTCTTCCCAACTCCACACTGTATTTTTACAGCATTATAAAAATCCAACAAATTTATCGTTTGTTTTGGACATCTATATGTGGAAATGTACTGAGAGAATCAATAGTCAGAACAAAGTGAAAGGATAAAATAACAGTTTTGCACTTATTTTCTCAGAAAATTTAACTCACTTAATACTTCTTTTATTACTCTATTTAAAACTTGCAAAATTATCAAGGTTTATAGCATTATAGTCACACACAAAGCACTGTATAGCACTCTCGCAAATTATCACTTTTTCCAATCACACTCGCACGTAGTTTTTTGATCAACTGAACACTCCGTTCCCGACATACGACTATTAACTCTCTTATCGTATCAGCTGTAAAAGTGGGGGTTATGAGACACAAAACAATGACGATATGATGACAGTCAGGAAGAAATCATGATATAAAAGATAACCAGGGATCCTCAACTATAGATTTCTTTGGCCTCCAAACTAGTATGGATCGACGTTCTTTTTACATATGCCACAACCCTACTTCATAGTAGGTTCCAGAGCGTCGTTCTACATTTCTTTATCTTCCTACTTCAATACTAGAGGCGTTACATTGATTTTCCTAGTATAAATGAAGTGGCTTTTACCAGAGAAGCATGACTTTGTCACCTCAAGTCAATTCTACATGCGTGCTATCCGCGTTTATTCGAATCAATCAATTTATTTTTAACTAATGGATGTAAGTGTATTTAGAAAAAATATTAAATGCATATATACACAATAAGTACAAACATCCATGCGTCTCTTTTTTACTTATATTTGACGCTTGTGCACGATTCTGGCGTCTTTAAAAGAGATAACTATATACATTTAGCATTTGTTTGGTGTCTTTTTACATACAGGACATTTCTACTTCTGGACGCTAAGCAAAGTTCGTCAGTGGGAACGGTATCGGACTGAGGGCGGCCATCTTGAGAATAAACATGTAGGAGCGGAAGTGGAATGGGTACGACCCGCGTGTTAGTGACGAATGTACCTTGTGAGCTTGAGTTTAAAAAACACAAATCGACAAAGTTGTATGAATTACAGTTTAACAATTAAAAAGTGATTAATTATGGATTACTGTCATGCAATTAACTGTCAAATCAGTTTTGCAGATAAAATTAGATGCTTTCAATTTCCACCCAGTAAATATCAACAACTATTGTTGCTTAAATACTGTGGAAAAACACATTTTAAAGAATTATCAGAACTATGCGAAATATGAATTCTATCATTTATTTTTATTTATGTATAGAGATATCAAAATTTATTAATTGTTAATGAAAAATAATTTATAATTATATCATTTTGATGAAACACCACACGATCAAAACTGTACTGATGAATACTGGTATGTATGGATGGATGGGTAATTTTATATTAATTGTTTTATTTATTCATTTAAAACATGTAAATGAATTTTAAATATAATTTTTTTGTTTAGGTGATACTAAGTATAAGTATAAAAAAAAGAAAGGTCTTCAGAAGAGACTTGTAAATGAAATGAAAAGTATAAACAACTTCGTAAAAAGTTAAAATGTATTCATAATAAATATAAACAATTGCGTACAAAAATTTGGAGCATACCCCAGTATAGAATGTTTAGCTAACAAACCAGACAATCTAAGAGATGAAATGTTTTTCGAATGTCTAGAAAAAGAGACCAATAAACGATTTACAAGTAAATAATATGAAATTAAAATAATGTTGAGATACTAATTGTTAATATCATACATTTAATGTATTTGGTTTTACTTTCTTGTAATTAAATTGAAGGCGTATGAATATTTCACACAATATTTAGATTCGCCATTTCCACCATATCGTATTTTTCTTAATAAGTATGGAAATCGAATGAAATGATCACTAGAATTCATACGTAAATTGGTTCCACTGATGAACTTTAAAGAAAATGAGCAGCAAATTATTACTTGAAGCAAATTTTATGGCTATTTAATGAAATAGACATTCAGTTACAGGTGAAATATGATACCAGTTCCAGGTATACTTATTATTTCAAATAATACATTTTTTTTAACATATTAATATAAAATAATTAATATAAATCACTGTATAGTTGGTCATAAAACTAAAGGTTTGGTTACTAAATGAAAATAAAATAAACTATATTTATTTAACAGAAAAAAATTACACAAAAAATAAAACGTTTTGAAACTTTCTTCCTTATTAATTTATCTTTCTAATTATTAATGTTTAGCAAAATAAAAAAACAACTCTGTAGGCAACAAATTCAAGACTCAAGAATGGAAAATATTGATAAAAAAGACTGATTCAATATTGAAAGTTAAGAATTATTACACAAATTGATAGTAACTTCTATAATATTTAAAAAATTTTAATAATATATATTAATTTATATGTGGAATGAAATGATTATAATTACTGCTGTTCTTTCAGAAATAATGTTAAAATAGAAATACTAATGTTCTACTAGTATGAGTGATGAATAGGGTAAATTGGGCGTCAACTTTAGCTCTACAGTTTACTCCATTCGTTAAACTCCACCCATAGCATTGAATTCTCCCTACTATTCTGTTCTTTTCTGACATTAGATTTGTTCAGCTTCGTATAATGTAATAAACTTTCTTACAATAATTACTTAAAATTTGAATTATTTTAATCGTTATTATAAATTTCAACAAATTGTTAAACTTTGATTTATCTATCTTTAGTTGTAGTCTTGCATAGAATAATTAATCTAACAGTTGATATTTAACTAATTATTTAGAATCTATTTACAAACAGAAGAAGTTTTTTTTTGTTTCTCATCTCACATTTAGTAGTTTAGAACTTAGATGAACTGAGATGTTTCAGTGTTTTAGTTATGATCCAATCAGTCATCACTTTATTTAATAAAGTTAAATGAAATAATCCAACTTAAAATGGTGTTTCAGGTAAAACGATTCTACTTACCAAAGCTAGTTTTGGGATTGGTAAAGCAACTGCTATTCACCCAACAACTTTAGAACCTTAGTTACTACAATAGGAAATACTGAAATGATTGAAAGATTTTTATTACTCAACCAAAATGTTTCAAAGATCTTTACGACATCCACAATGCCATACGATGTCGTGTACATTCTACTAATTTTTTCCCTTAATTTCAAGACAAGATGAATTACAAGAACTTCCAATGCTGAAGATGATAGGAGATTCCACATTTTTCTTAATTCTGCGATTATTAATTGGCGCCATTTATTTCTTATTTTTTCATGTTACAAATGAGTAATTAGGTCTGGGATAATCTCTTTTTTCTGTTTTCTGGCTACTGACTTGGAAAAATATTGTAGTGACATCTTGTAGGGACATGCAAATTCTTATCAGTAATAAAATCTTACCGCTGATAGCAATTTTCGCACGTGCCCAAATATATTACACATTCGCGAGGTTATGAATATTTTAATAAAATCACATATATAACAAAGTCATCAAAAATGCAATATGAACTTCAATTTAATCTGCAATACATAGCATTATTAAGGGTTGCGATCTTATTTTGGCAGAAAAAACAAGTTGCAAATGAAGTTGTAGAGTTTTTTAAAATTTGTGACACGTTCAATTCAGATCATGACGTTCGAAGAGAATGGGGTGAAGTAGTTAAGATGTTAATGGATGAATGGAATAAAGATCTATTACCAAAGAATGTAGAAATTGATCTGATGCATATTATAAAGATGTTAGGAGAAACAATATTAAATTGGTATCAATGTATCAAGTATCAATACGGACTACGAGACCAAGCAGTCAATTGTATTAATCAAATATGTTGGACACCCTACGGAACTGTGGATCCAGTTGAAACATTTAAATCATATTGGTTGAACAATCCAAAAATTAATGTCATTCAACTCTACGATTTTGCATGCAATTTTGGAGTAAGAGATTGCATTGAACATTTGTGGAATAAACTACCGATTGGGATACATAAGACAGTGGTGTCATTTATGAGAATTTGGATCAACATATTACAGCATATTGGCATAGTTACGTACGTAATTTGGATAGAGAAGATATACACGAGTTTAATCTGATATACAATCCAAATCGATCAACAGAGGAGAACAACTTACGATTATCAATATACCAAGGGAGTTACCTTGTTGCGAAATATTTCTGGGAAAAACTTACGACTAAAGAAAGATATGAAAGTGTGTTACAATGTGCTCGTATTGCTGTATTACGAAATCATTTTTATTGTTATGAAAATAGTTGTCAAAATATAAAAAATTACAAATCAACCCAGTATGTAGAAATATGCATACTTCTACTAAATCAGATGACTGAAGATCAAAAGAGGAAATTTTTTAACGAACGTATACAAAGAGATGCATTGGAAGTCGACCATTTCAACTTTCTTGATACCAAAGATGAGATTTTATTTATGCTGTTGTCTACATGGCCATGGCAGAAACTTTTTATACCCGTTGTTAAAGATATAATACAATATCATGATGATAATAGTGATATGCAATGTGAGTTCTTGGATGCAATTACAGATAGAATGCTTGAAGATCACTACTTGGGTTATCCCCTAAATATGAGCAAATATCGAGATTTACTGCATGAAGTCTGGTTGATGATTCCAGAATCTGTTAAAAGGACGATGGAACCTGTAACCTTTGGTTATGATTTTGTTAGTAATTTAATAAATATGTGGGATTTAAATAGCCTTAAATTAATACTCAATGATCCAGCTACTGCAGTTTGCAGAAATGAGTTGATAGAACTCGGAATGCATTCATATGATGAATTAATAATGAAAAATCAATTCGAACAATTAGATGAGTTTGCAGATGAAATGTTTCAAACTGAAGAAGAAAAGCAAATATTTAAGAAAAAAAGAGACGCTCTGATGAAACTTATTAGTACAGGTCAATTTGATTTGATTGATAAATTTCTAGACTGGCAAGGTAGCACACTCGAAGAAAAGCAGTTCGTAAAAAAAAATCTAAATGACATAAACATTTGTGAATTTTTTATCAGAAAACAAGATTATAATTCGTTCGATAAATTTTTAGATTGGAAATTCGACACCGATGAGGAAAAAAAAAAATGCAAGGATTATTTTAAAAATCTCAAATTTCCAATTAGCCAAATGTATAGAATACGGCACAAATGGGCACAAGACATAGTTCGAATGAAGTATGAATGTTCCAAATTTTTATACTGGTTATGGGAGTCAGAGGAGGAGGTAGAAAAATTTAAGCAAGCAATAATATTCAACTTGGGGTGTAATGAATTATTTATAAGTGCTCTCCTGGATTTGCGAAATGATGATGTAATAGATAATTGTATATCTTGATGTCTGTTAGATGATGAACACTTCCTGTGATTTCATCGAATAAAACAAACTGAGCCGCAGTCAAATTGATTATTATACTGAAATTCAATTAACGATTATTGTAATATGCGATATAATTTCATTTTTTGGTTATTATAATCATTCAAATAATTTTTTTCATAGTTATGGTGACGATAATTATCTTATTGATTTTTATTTACACAGTATTATAAAAAACCAATATCATGAAGCTTAACAAGTTCTTTCATAAAAAAAAACATTATTTCATGTTTTTATAAATATATTTTGCATCAATGATAATGTATTCAATAGTAATTTTCTCAACTGGTCTTAAAAATTTGATAAAGATGTCTAAAGTGAATGTGTTAAAAGACAATACTCTTGATGTAAGTTTAGAGCTCCAATACAAAACTTGAAAGATTAAATGGCTAAAGAGTAAAGAAATCTGTTGATAGAAATACCTATGCGTTTGTTTTAATGTCGGAAATATATTTTGGCGCAAATATGATTTACTTATGCAAGAAAGAATGCTATGTATGTGTCCCTTGACGAATATATCTTTTAAATAATTGAACAAAAATTGTCCGAAAGATGTTAAATGTGTTTCTACTAAAATTATGAGCTGTCTTTATTTTATTCAATCATTGTTTATAATATTAAATCACATAATTTATATTGTAGTAAAAAGAAATTAAAATGTAAATGTCATTGAATTATATCAAATTGAAACACATTTCTTGTATTACATATTTATCAATGAATTATATTTTCATATTCAATTGATATATTTGAAGAATTATATCATTCATTATTACACCAATCTGACTTGTTTCTAATTATTTATTTAATTCAACAACTTTCATTTTTATGTTTTTTAATTCTTATAGTTAGATCGATAGATCTAACATACAACTGAACGTATGTGAAGAGAATACATAATGTATAAATTTGAAGAATAAGTGAAGCAGATTTGTTTCATTATATTTTGCAGTAAAATGCAATAATTTAGCTTTTATTATAGTATCATTCAATTTGTCATGCTAATGTAACAATAGCAACTAACACCAATGAAAAAATCATTCTATAATTATTTGTTTGTTAAATGCTTTACAATATGTTTTTTAATGAATAATTTATTCTATTTTAAATGAGTATTTTTTGTTGAAACATACGGCACTTTTTTAGTGCAACATTTTTGCCTTCGCGCGTATATTTATATTCCAGGTCATGCGTAGAATACTTACCGGCATTTAGAAAATTTAAATGGCGATATCTTTCGGATTTTATACAAACTGAAGATAAAAAGAGTTAAAATTTTGATTAAATAGTTCTAAGAAATATAATAGATGACCTTGTTATATTATTTCACTATCGACATATAAAGTTACATATTCTGTACTTTATATTCACCGAGTTGTCATTTTCGACAATCAGAAGCTATTTTGCAAAGTAGAACAAATTTACAACGATGGCTGATTCAAAATATGCTAACCTTCCAGGAATTGTAAGTAATATGAAACTGTCCTTATATTACCTGTGATATAAATTATAAAAATTTTAATTACAAATGAATTTGTCATCTTTTCACTTCACAGGCCCATGATCAAGCTGATGTTTATGAAACCTCTGATTTACCAGAATCTGAACAATTTCCTAATTATAGTGAAGTAAGTAAATACAAATCCAATTATTTCTCTACTTTTGTAAATAATTTACTTTCATACAATTACTATAGGATGAATCAGATTCTATTGAGCGACTACACATCAGTGCAAGTGAAGCTTTTAATAAATTTAAAGGAAAGCATATTGTCACTAAAGGTGTAGACTTTTCTGATCGAATTTCAAGAAAACCAAGAACTGGATACAGTGAAGTGTAATTATTCATTAGATAACTAAATATAGATTAACTATTTTTTACTTTGGAATAAAACCCTAGATTTCGGTAAAATTTTTGGCATTTTTACAGATTTGGAGTCTGGGAACTTCCCGGCGAAGGAGAAAAAGAAACTCCGATACAAAAATATCAGAGACTGCAATGTGAAATTAAAGAGTTGTATGATGAAGTTAATGATCTGAAGGTTTGTTTCTACAATATGTATATTATTCAATCAATTTATGATATAAAATGAACTTCATGAAAGTAATAATTGTATTTTAGGAAAAAGCTAAAGAAGAAAAAGAAAGAAAATCTGCAGTAGATATTATTGCGCAAGTAGAAGAAGCTGGAAAACAACTGAATATTTTAAAATTAGATGAAACACTTGGTACAGATCTGGTTGCTACTTTAACTGATCCTCAAGGAACAAGACTCAAGTATTTATATTTGTCATCATTTTTTGTTAATATTCAAATCATTGAAAATATCAGATATTTATTAATATTATCACTATCATACTAAACATTGTTATTGAACTCTTAAAAAATTATTTACCATTTTATTTGCAGACAATTAGTACATCAAATAGAAGAATTTAAAAGTATTGGATCAGCCGAGAAATCAAGCGACAAACCTGAAAATCTACCTGAAGAAAAGGCTACAGGATTTTTAAAATACGAAATGATGTTTTATCCGGAAAAAGCTAAAATGCAAGAAGCTGCAAGAGTAGCACAATTAGAACAGCGATTAGCAAGATTAGAACATGTTATCGGAACGAACGATGATAAATTTGCCAAGTTTTCACAAAATCTTAAATCTCAAGGAGTGATTGAAGCTGTACAACAACTTGCTGCTAAATCTGCATTATTGGATAGCTCTCAAGTTGAAATAATGGAAGGTAGAATAGCAACACTAAGTCACAGGATGGACACTGTAGCCCAGAAAAAGTCTTCTTTACCAGTGGATACAGAAAGGGAACAAAAAATCAATGAAATGTATGAAATTTTCAAAAAAACTGAACCTTTAGCTCAAGTTTTACCACAAACTGTAGATCGAATGATTGCTTTGAATTCAATCCATCGTCGAGGTATAATAAATGTTTGCAATATTTATATGATTGAAACATAATGAAAACTAATCCAATTACAATTTTAACTATTTCAGCTGCAGATTTCAATAAATCATTGACTCAACTTGAAGAACTGCATTCGCAAATTAAAAATAGTTTAGAAAACAATAAATCATTATTAGAAGGAATTCAAGATAGTTTTGCGACCAATATGCAAGTCATCCATAAAAATATTTCTGGTTTAGAGGAACGTATACAGAAATTGAATAAATAATCAATTAATTCTCTATAACTATCTAACAAATTACATATTTATCATTTTTTACGAAAATAATGCTTCAAGTATTAAATTTAACCATGTTACTGCACTCTGTAAATATTTGACATATTAAACATTACTATTATGCTTAATTGAATGCAAAATAATTATTTCGATTTATAAATTTTGTATTCAATATACACAAGGATAATTAATACAAATAATAACTCATTAAAATCATTCTGATTTTAAAGTAATGTTTTATTTAAATCAATTAGAATCGCAGCTTTTGGAAAAACCATTTATTTTTGCCCATTTTGTACCTGAAACAAAGAAAAAATGAAATTTTTAATCATTTTAAGGTATTTTCTAAAGTAAAATTTTAACATACATTTCTTCAAATATTTATAGATACATAAAATTTTTTTTTCAATCATTCATGAGATTCATTTATCTATAATATTGATAAGTATCATAACCGATCAATTTTATGCTGAAATTTGAAGTGATTTTATTCTATTTGTTGTTGAGAAAATAAACTTTAAATAATAGCACGGATGTTTTATTTTATGAAACTTTCTAAAATTTACTTGACTATTAAAAAGTAGAGTTTCGGCAAAGTTTGTCTATATAGAGGAACTTATCATTTAGCAGGTACTTTTATCACGATAACTTTAATAAATAAAGTTGTTAACTTTTGATTTAGATGAAATTGGATTAGATTTAAAATTAATTTTACTTATTTACGTTGATATATTTCAATTATTATAATTCGTTCATTTTAGTTTTTTAATATTTGGCACATCTAATTTAAGAATCAACTTTATGCATAAGATTAGTAAACAAAAAAATTCACTTGTAGGTAACGAACACAATTATGAAATACTCGTAAACACCACTTATAGCATTACTGAATTGTTTGGACTTCTAAAAGCAATAAAATTCCCTACAGTATTTTAAATAATTCTACTTAAGTGAAATATTTCAATATTATTCGTATAGTTGTAATTACTTCAAGAAATAAATATTTATTTGATCTCGAAAATTAATTAATTTATTGAAAAATTCACCTTTCTTCAAACTTGACTCGAGTCTGGAATCTGACCTTCTTCCTTTTTAATGGGTCTTTTAGGTCTTTAGGTGTAACTTTATCAAGAGGAAGATCAACGGTGTATCTCGTAGGCATTAGATGATTGTAATTGACAACCTGAAAACAAATTGTGGATAATAATAGACGAAATAAGGAAAACTAAAAGTTTTACGGTACATTAATCATTATCACTTACTCTAATAAAGGGCTTGATCTTAGATCTTTTGTGGATCTTTCCTTTACCCATACGTTTGTGTACTTTACGTGGGTAACGGTCAATTCCTGCTACAAGAGCATGACCATACTGTCTTTCTGTAGTGCCATCATCGTAATTCCTGATGACAATAGCTTTACGTCCAGCGTACCGGCCACTCAGGACCAGTACGACTTTCCCTGACTTCATAATTTTCACCATCTTGGCGAACTATAAACAAAAATGTTGATTAATTTTAATTAATTAATTTTCAGTACACACGATTAATCAACACATCCAATTGATAAATTAAAATGAATAGGCAATACTTTCAACTCTTATGAAATAATAAAAAAAAATTATTTGAAGTATACCACTTCGTTACAAGAGAAAATAAACAGGTAAGAACTTAAGTATAACCTCGACTTGTCACTTAACAATTATAACACTTAATTTGGCTTTCTAATCAACTTGAATTTTTAAAAAATATCAATTTTTCACTTGATACTATTTACTTAATAAAAAAAAATGTTAGAGATTTATTGCAATAAACAAAGAATAGTAACATGTTGACGGATCGTTGGAAAGTGACTTTGTAATTGCATTTTCATTTATACTGAGGACAATGGAGATTAAATTTTTATAAAAATATATTCCGAAAGGATCATGGAATGTTATGAATACAATACTTATAATAATTTATCACAAAATAGTTGGATGTTAGTTGATTACTTTCAATTATCCATAAAAACAACGCACCTCACGGCTATACAAACCGGAAAAAGAACTTAACCTCACTTTGCTCCGAACACCAGCTCAAAAATTACCTCCGGAAACCAAAAGTGGCGCTCAAATCGTTTTTCCATGTTTTTAAATTTTAGCGCTACATTTGAAATTTTCTAGTTTGAATCAACTGGTTTTATTAATTGACTATTATTCAATTTTCGATTAATCTGTTAAGGAAATCAGAATATTTTTATTTCGTTCGGATTTAAATATAAATCTAGATAACATTTAAAAAAGTATTAAAAATTATTTTGTAAACAAAATGAATCATTCTTATTTAACAAAAAAGACAATAAAAATTTATTTTCTAGGTCATTGGTAAATTATATTCCCTGACTTAAATAAATAAAGGAATACAAAGCAAAGAAAATATAAACACGGCTGCAGGTATTTATAGAATAGAAGGAAGTAAATAAAACAACAGCAACTTGTGATTATGCGTATACGTCGCAACAAGTGTCTCCACCCTCTCAAAAATCGATAGGATAATCCCAGCCAGCACGTCGACTATGCAATACACTTTCCTCCTCTTCTCCCAGCTCATTTTTTATTTTCTTTAGCTTTATTAAGATCGAACAGCTCTTCGAGACGGGCATGAGTAGTTGCCACGCCCCACAACATGTTACCCTCTAATCGCATTTGTTTTGTTTCACCTACCCTTTTAGTATTTATATAGGTTGATTATGGAGGTTCTTGCTGTTTTCATGAAACACAGTCAATACAATACTTGAGTAACATCAATTGCTGTAATAAATGAAGTATAAAAACAGTAAAAAAAAAAATCCATGAGCACTTTAGACTCTTTTATCACGATTTTTAATTTTTACAATGCGCAGAGGGCATAGCGTCCGTGTTATTTAACCCTCTTTATGTGTCCTCCTCAATGTATTTTTTCATTTGTCCTCTTCACTCCTACCAGCTGTTCAGTCCAGTAGTTGTGTAAAGCGACGCCAAAATCGATTCGAAATCCATCGCGCACTCTCTGGTATCTCCTTCATTCCGCTATACTCATCAGTTGTCGACACACCGCGGCGCGAGTAGTGTTAGCTCACTAACTTCGCACATTTAACCCATTAAAGAATGGAATAAATTATTGTTTCATTGTTTTTCAGCGTATTTGACAACGAAAACAAAGGATTATGAAAAATTAAGAATAACTTAGGTAAGATTTTTTCACTTTATAATTCCTTTTTTTTCCATCTCATTCAATATACATTTTTTTTTTTAGGTTGTAAGAAAAAATTTTTATCTTGATTTTTTAAATTTAAATTAACAAAATAATTATATCTTAATGAGTAATGTAATAAAGTTATATTTATTTATTAAATTGAAGTTTTGTCACATGTGAGTAAGGATAAAATGTGACTACAACCTGATGCTTCGAAGCCGGCGTGAACATCATGATGCACACACCCTGATATTTGTTCCAATCATCATCTGCTTATGTTATTCGTGATATAATAGTACTAATAATAATAATAAAACATAGTGGCAAATGTCAATGATAGTAATGCACAGATAGTGATATTAACAGGTGCTTTTAAAACATCTCATCACTTTATCGCAAGTGTCGATTGGGTAGTCTCGAGAGTATTACGAAGAAAATATTGATTTTCTTGGCTCACGGCAATTTTCACAGTTATCTACGCTTTCTCTAGCTGTATTTAGCTGTATAATAGTAATTATTATAGTTAATGTTTCATGAAAAAACTATTATGTTTTATTTTTAGCTTTAGCTAGTTTCCTATAGAAAATACAATAATTGTCCTAAAAAAAATAGGTTAAAAACAGCATATATATATATACTAGTGGAAGTAAAAAAATAAATTAAATGCAAGTAAATGCTGAGGACTTTACTTTAAGTGTAATAGTGATATCATTACCAGTGTTTTATGCTACTAATTTTTATGGGCACTACAAACTTCCAGAAAAGCATTCATGGGTCGTAAAGGAGGGTGGAAAGGAGGCAGCAGCCTTTTATTACTGACTGTCGTCCTCATTCACAAGCAGGTGGTCCAGGGTGACGGTGAGGTTGGTGAGTGCATTACTATTCCATCAATAAAAATTTATTATGTACCTTTTTTTATTTATTTATTTAATAAACTATTAATAACGATTTATTTATTCAGGTTTCTTATGTTATTTTTTTTTTTGTTTTCATTTTATTATTTATGTTATTTACCTATTTTTTTATTTTATTGAGCTTCATCCCTATTTGCTGTTCCTTACGGGCATGATATGCATACGAAATCATCTCAAAACTTCGCTTACGTCAACGCTGAAATTCTAGAGGATGAGAGAGGGCTTGATATCCACCACCCGTGTGACGTTATCGAGCTAGCTTCCCACGCATACTTGATTTGTTATCGAATATATATATATATATATATATATATGTATATATTTTATACAGAAATGAGAAGTATTTGTTAGTAGATATGAGATTGAACTGAGTGAAGACAGGAATACGCTTCACTGCAGGGATTTAATTGTCTCTCATTAATGAGGACTTAGTATTTGCAATTATATTATAATTATTTCAACCATAGTTCACATAAAAAATAATAAATTGGATTAGTGTTATCAAGATTTGAAAATATTATTTTATTCATATTCAGAAGAGTACTTTCACTGGCTGACTATATATCTGACTTTTACTACTTAAAAATGAGAAATTAACTTTGAAGGTAATTTAAAAAATTTCTAACAGGAAAATCCTTCTGGGAATTAATACCGTTTTTATGTTGCAGGAAAACAGAATAGATATTTATTATTGAATATCTTTTTTTAAAGAAAAAAAAATTTATGCGAATTTTAATTTTATATTTGAAATTAATTTAATATATTTTTGAAGAAAATTTGAATCTTTTTCAACTAAATTAAAAAAAAATTTCGTTTATATATATATATATTTATTACGTTTTTGAACGTTTTTTTTATTTTATAGCTGAAGCAGAAGTTATTTTCTAATTAATGATATGATATCATTATAACAGCCTATGATAATTGTTTATGATAATTTTATCCTGAATTGTGTGACTTTCATTGCTATTTTAATGTTCATTTAATTTTTGTGAACTTTGGATGTTTAATCAATGAGTCAGTAGGGATATTTTTTCATGTGCACGCAATTTTTTCAAATGCACGCAAGTCAATAAATAACAACATGCAAGAAAAAGGAAAGTGAACAGTAAGAAAATATATCCATTGGATAAAGTAATGTGACAAATGACAATTGAAGGAAAATAATCATAATAAATGAATGCATATAAATTTATTGATAGTTTTTAAAAGTTCTATTATTTACTGAATGACGTAGAGCGTTTTTATTGAATGTAGATCAAGCAACGATCAATGGAATAAAAATAAATTATCGAATCTTTCAAGCTCAATATTAGTTTATATGCTGTAAAACTTATACCAACTTTTACACATACCTAATAGCATCTAAAGGTCAACGATATGTTTGCTCTAAGTCAAATACTCATTACACTCATCTATCGCTCCAACAGTTTCTTTTCCCTTCTCCTGCTTCTTTGCACTTCCCTTCTCCAACATGTCCCGTCTGCAGTTTACCATAAGCTCATTTGCACAACCACATGACAGTAAAATCTCCCAGCTTGCATAACATCTTCATTCTCCGCCTATTTTTCCTCAGATTTTTCGCTTTTATCCCTCTCTAACCTACATACTCGCAACAAACAAAACATCGTTTTCGACTCACCCACCTCAAATCGCAACTGATATCTATGCTCTCGTCGCTTCTCGCTCACTCGATCTTTGCCGATGTAATTTTATTATCTACTCTCTCACTTGTGTATGTAACTTACACGAAATTATTCCTCACTGACCTTCACTTTGCACTCACAACTTTTTACTTTGACGTACTCTTCTTCCCCGTATCCCATATTTGACTTTGTTGCAATCGAGAGAGAGTCGCGATAGACATTTCGTCCGATGGTGTGACACAGTCCATCACTTTAGTGTTGTCAGTCTTTGCAGTATAACTGTGCATCATAGGGAGATAGGTCGTGCGTTGAGAGACTAGTCTCTACCCTCCTTCCTCCTCGAAAGGAGTAAATATCACACAAACATCGACGTACTAATCTAAATATTCACCTTCATTACTAAAGTAAATACAAATATTAATTAAAGCTTGAAGACATTCGGTGAATATTCAATCTCTAAAGAACTTTTTTTATTGTAGTTTATAATATTCCATAAATTGAGTTGTATTGATCAAATTAAGAAAACAATAAAAAATTCTCTTAATTGAATTATTCAGAGACATTAATTTATTCTCTTGTAGTTTGGGAATAACTTTATTATTTCTATATTGGCTTGAAACATAGTAATTAACTATTAAATGTTTCTTATCATAACATTATATTTAAATAAATGATAAGAATTTTTATTGTATGATATGTCTATCAACTTAGAGGATTTTAAACGTTGTATTCAACGATAAAAAGGAATAAGATTATTACTACAGATAATATTCATTAAAAATAATAATTTTTCATTTTTACATGCTATTTTAAAAGTACTTAAAACATCAAGAAATTTTATTTTGTATTTCTATTCATTTTAAATTCAATTTTTGTTGCAGGATGCTTATTCGATCGAAGTGTTTGCTCATCACCTAAAGAAACCTGTTTTGATGGTAAAATCAAACTCTTATGAATTATTCATGATTTACTTCCGTGATATATATTTCATAGATTATTCCACATTTCAAGAAATATTTATCATGGTGTTTATAAGGTAATAAATTATAGTTAAAAATAATGTATGTGACTGTTTAATTATAGATGCAGCATTTGGAAAATGTATACATTCACTTGATGCTAATGATGATGATGTCTATCAATATGATTTGGAACCAGGAGAGTTGGAATTATTGCGTACGCAGATGGAGAAATTGGTGGCTGAAAAATATGAATGGGCTCACCCATATACTCAATGTATCATGCAAAATATCTTGTACAGCATTAGATACCGGATAAAACATAATTCTAAAGTATGTCGTACTTTAGAAAATGTTGATTCTGAATCATCCGATGAATTGATTGATGAAAAAAATTCTGAAGAATCGTCAGATGATCAGGTACACAATTTTATTTGCGCAATTGGTTTTAAAAATATTACTAGAGTAGATTAATTTCATTATAAAAATATTTTTGAAAATCAGTTAAAAGTTTATTTTTTTTTCAAATTTAAACTGAATTTTGAATATCAAAAATACAAAAGAAAATGAAATTTTTATCTTAGAATATTTAAAATGAAAATAATATTTCGATATTTACAGGGTTTATTACCTTTAGCCGTAGTAAATTTTATGCCTACTCGCGGTCACGGTTACGGAGATTTTGCAAATGAAATGTACTATCCTCCATCATCATTCAAAGACCATTCTTTATCTGATATTGAAGACTACACTTACAATCCTTACATAATAGTAGAACAAAAACCTGAACGCCACCCTACGCTACGTTTTGATAATAATAACAAAAAAATCAATATTAATAACAATAACAATGATAATGACGAAGAACAAGAAACATTGATTTTTGCGCCTGAAGAAATAAGTAAGCATGATGATGAGCTTTTTGACATATCGAGAAAGCTTCAAAAACAACAGAGACAAATGGAAGCAGAAAAGAAGACAGTATTTCGATCTCGACGACAGCCGAGAGAAAAAAATTCCAGAAGCTTAGGAACAAAATTAAATGACTACTTAGAGTTTTTAAAAGAATCTGAAGATATCACTGATGAAGCTGATTATAAAAAAGACGAAAATTTGAGAGCTGACATCAATAACTATCAGTCAAGAAAAGTAGATAATAATTTCGAGAATCTTGATAAATCCTCGTTGGATACTTTAGCGGAGATGGAATTTTTAAAAGATGATGAAGAGTGGGATGGACTTGAAGATGACGGAAATAATGATGATAGTAATGAGAAAGAACAAGAAGAGCAGAAGCTAGAGAAATCTATGGAAAATGCAGGTGAAATTCTGGCTTCATTAAAGAGTAATTTAATGCCAAGGAAAATGAGAAATGAGATTTTTACTGAGGGAGGTATCATCGAGCCTTCTAACTTGGATAATATTTATGAAGAAGGTATTGAAGTACTAAGAATAAATATTATTGTTCAAAGTTTTACTAACCCATTAGATTATCGTTAAGGGTTGTAATAAACCTTTTGAGCTTATTTTTAGAGTTTTTTGAAATATTTTGTTCTAGTATAATTTTTGTAATATTACATTATTAATTTTGAAAGTAATTAAAGTTAGTAACTATTAAAAATAGAGAATTAAAAAATTTATTAATAATTTGATCATTTTAATTATTGAATTTAGTACAATATTTTTATTTAAAGAACATATTATTCATCATTGTAAAAAATAACGCTATTAATATTTTTTTTTAATATTAGCTTTTTCATGGAACAGAGACTTATCAGGATTTAAAAGACCTGAAAGATTAGACGTCAAAAAACCAGGGCCACCGTTCTCAACTAATAATTACGCTTTCAGGGTTCAGAATTCAATATGTAAGTAAAATAATACAACATCTATTGTAAAATATTTTTATTAATAAAATTTTTTAATGGATTTAAAGCTGATGAAGATAATGGAGATCAACTAAATAACAAGGTAAATTGAATTTAAATTTATTTCAAAAGTTATTTAATAAAAAAACTTACTAAATATAATTTAAACATTAACTTTTAAGCATTAGTTTTTAACAGTTAAATAGTATATAGTATGCTTTTTCAGGAAGAAATACGAGCTCCTTATGTGAAAAAAGAATTAATAGCTGGCAAAGACATAACTCAACTTTCTTTGGATAAAAGTCCTTCACAGAATTATAAAAATGTCGATTTAGATCACGTTTATATTCAATTCAAAGAAGAGTTTCATAAGTGGTCTGATGGAAAAGCCGTTGTTGAAAAGGTATAAAGAAAATAAAGTTAACTTTTTGTCATTAAATCATATTTACACTAGCACTCTTGAAGAAAAACATCTTTATCATTAATTCCAATTCGATTTCATTTTTGTTTTTTTTTCTTTAAGTAGAACAAATACATTAAAGTAAGCGATATTTTCTAATAGGTAGAAGAACTTCTTGGATTAGCTCCTGGAGATTTTTCAAATATAAGAGTTGGAAGAGCAGAAGTAACTTTCAAGGTGCATAAAAATTCTCGAGATATGACTGCTGAAGACGTTGTAACACAACTCGGTAAGTTTTAGTTATTTAATAAATAGATTGAAATTAAATTCAATGTTCAGTTTTAGTTATTAAATTGTTGAATTTTAGTCAATAACTTTTCTTATTGTGTTTGAAATATTTTAGATAATATCAGGGGTAAACTACAAGAAACTATGCATGTCAATATAATACAAGCAGGCATTGGAGACAAGGTATATTGAAACGTAGAAATATTCTTTTTCATTAAATTCTGTAAGAAGGAAAATTTAATACTCACAAACACATTCATTTCAAAGTTAACCAAAATAAAATATAATTTATATTATTATTTATTTTTAAACATAAAAGTCGTTTGATTTAATAACTAGAATAATTAATTGTACATTTGAAAAAGTCATTAAAATATTCTTCATGAAAAAATTCCTACGAAATATTTTTAGCATATTTCTTTATGGAATAAAATTCCAACAATTTTAATAATCCATCCTTATTTATATACTCTAGATAAAACTCCCACCAGTATTGAAAGTTGTGAATGACGAGTATTCAATGAGTTCAACAGTTTTTGGAGCAGTAGTTGCAGCAGGAGTGACTGCAGCCGCTGCAACAGCTGTAATGACATTAGTGATAGCTCGTAAATATGCCAAATCACGAGCTAAACTTGCTGGACTTGCAACCCCCGATCCTGAAGCTTCTAAGGATTATCAAGAACTTTGTCGAGCCAGAATGCACGCAAAACAACAATGTGAAAAGCCTGAAGTAGCACGAGTTATCAGTCTTTCGAAGGAAAGTGAATCAAATAGATCAAGTACTTCATCATGGGGTGGAGAAGAAGCTGCTTCACTATCTAATATGGATATTGCAACTGGGCACATGGTTTTGGTATAACGTTTTTTACATAATATTTATCATGTCATAATAAATTTAACTTTTTTATTTTGCTTCAATCTTTAATTAATATTTTATAAATATTAATTAATTTCAATTTAAGATCATTTTTTGGATAATTTATAAAAAAAGAAATACTTGTAAAGCTAAACAATAATTGAATGCATTCAAATTTCTTTTTAATTAAATATTTTAAGATGACTTGCATAACTTAATAAAAATACTTTTTACAGTCTTACATGGAAGATCATTTGAAGAATAAAGACAGATTAGACCAAGAATGGGCAGCAATATGTGCTTACGAAGCAGATCCATGCGCAACAACAGCAGCACTACAAAAAAATAATGCGGAACGTAATCGCTCTGGTTCTATTCTTCCTTATGACCACTCAAGAGTAGTTCTAAATGACTTGAGAAACATCAATAATGTGGATTATATCAATGCTTCAACAATTGTAAGTAAAACTTATAAATTAAGTTTTTCATCAATGTTCGATTGTTGAGCCTTAAACAGTCATGGCTAATGTAATAAATATTTAAAATTATCATTCTGATAATTCTAAAAATCTGTGTTTTATAGCTTTCTTCTTTAAAATTTAATAAAATTGTTATATATAACAACACGACGAATAGTTCGATTTCATAAGATACACATGACTGTTTAAATGTAAATTACATTTTCATGAATTTAATGTTACAATGGATTTCAAAATATATTTTAGTTAGTTTAATATTTTTAACAACGTATGGAAAATATTTTTCTATTTATTTATGCGTTGCTTTTGCTATTGATTAAAGCTATCTGCAAGCTTCATTAAAATTTATTAATAAAAATCGCTTTAAGATAAATATTATTTTATATTAATTCGACTAAAAAATACGAACGATTATTGATTATTGTCCCTGGATGCCGCAATGAATTTTTCAGATACCGGTAAGTCGATTGTCAAGTGTCAAATAAATTTACCTAAAAATAATTAACCGCTACGGCAAACATGACTAATCGAGTATACTAACTTTTATTATTATGATCTAATTAAAAACATATCGGACACTAATTATTGATCCTAGAATTAGTTGAGTCGATTAATTATTCGTATTTTTAATTTTTCGAACTAAATTAAAACAATATGTTTGTTAACATCTTTAGATACAAATTAATTTTAAAATATTTCTTTAATCTTTCGATTTTAATCATTAGTTTGATTATTTTAAAATATCACAGTTTATTGTTTTAAACAATTCAAGATATCAATATCAATGTTATTCTTAATCATTTTCTTCTATTATTATTACAGTACCTCTTTTGTGATATATTGCTTTAATTGTTAATTCACCAACAAATAAATCACACAATGCTTAGCAAATCATTAGATAATGAATAATCGATTGAAAATGATTTGTAAATTAGTTAAATATTTATGAATTATTTTTTAGACGGATCATGATCCAAGAAACCCAGCATACATAGCAACGCAAGGTCCACTACCACAAACTGCAGCTGACTTTTGGCAGCTTGTCTGGGAGCAAGGAAGTGTCGTTATTGTAATGTTAACTCGTTTAACGGAGGAAGGACGAGCTATGTGTCATAGATATTGGCCTGAAGAAGGTTCTGAATTATATCATATCTATGAAGTCCACCTGGTTTCTGAGCACATCTGGTGTGATGATTATTTAGTACGTTCATTCTACTTGAAGAACTCGACCACTGGCGAAACTCGCACTGTTACTCAATTTCACTTCCTTTCGTGGCCTGAAAATAGAATACCCCAATCTACTAAAGCACTTCTAGAGTTCCGTCGAAAAGTTAATAAATCTTACCGAGGAAGATCTTGCCCAATTGTTGTTCATTGCAGGTAAATATTTTTATTATTTATTAAATTTATTAATCATTCAAAGAATAGATTTTCATTAATGAATACCAAAAGAATTGCTCTTTTAAAAGTTAATAACGTTGTGTCTTTAGAAAGCTTTATTTCTTTGAAACTCCTATAAAAATTTAAAAGTGACTTTGTTGATCAATTTAATTGAGTATTTATGTTAAATACCTCGTATGATTGACAAAAAAAGGATTTTAATTTTATCGCTATTATTTAATTTATTAAACCTCTTAGATATTCCTTTGTGCTTGCAGAATTTTTAGTCTTTCATAACAACTTTTAACCTATTAACTTCGATTATAGTTATAATATTAAAAATTTCTCGTTAAAAAGATTATGGGCGATATTAAAAATCTTTGCTTCATAAGATAAGGCTATTTTTCCAACGAATACATTGAATATTTTTACGGTAAAAAATTTTATATTCGTGTAAATTTAGCTTACAATATTTAATAATCAAAGGTCAAAAGTTAGCAAATAAATATATATATATATTAGAGTCCATAAAAATTGGAGTACAACAGTAATAAATTTTACAATGGATCATATTTTCCTTTTCAATATAATTATTTCAGTTACAATATTTTAAATTCGTATTTCTCGAAATAGCTCATTGAAATATAAAAGAAATTTTCAATCATAATAAAAAAGACATTTCTTGTGGGTAGAACTTCAAAAGGTTGAGTTCAAACAAGAATACAACCTCGGATCTTTGCTTCATCAATATCCTGGTAAAGAATATTAAAAAAATATCGCACAATCGAATAACTAAAATAGATGCATTCCATTAAAAATAGAATTATAATTTTATTTTTCTTCTTATAAATAAAAAACAGCTGTGTAAAGTTTACTTTACATATAGATAATAACAGTAAAAAATTAATATATAACAATGTGCGTGTTTTTGTTAACAGCTGATTCAATAAATAGACATATCTAAATAAAAATTTCCCATAAAAACATTTATTTATTCAAGCTAAAAATATTTTCAAAGTTCAACCTATTTTTCCATTATTAATTTCATCGTAGGAGTTATCAATTATAATAAATAATAAGTATTAATAAGAACTTTCACTGAAATTATTGGAACTAAAAAAAGTAATTTAGAAACTAAAAAACTTTATTTCTAAATAATATTATATATTTTGAATTCTAAGTTAATGAATTGTTAAATATTTACGAATGTTTTAACAAAACATAAATAATGTGTTAATTACATAGATGAAAATAAATCAATTAAATAATTTTTCAGTGATGGCGCAGGTAGAACTGGAACATATTGTCTCATCGATATGGTGTTGAATCGAATGGCTAAAGGAGCCAAGGAAATAGATATTGCCGCAGCATTGGAGCATATCAGAGATCAGAGACCTGGTATGGTAGCAACGAAACAACAGTTTGAATTCGTCCTTGTAGCTGTCACTGAAGAAGTTCATGCTATTTTAAAAGCTTTACCAGTTCCTCCACCTGAGAAAACGTCAACAACAACTGTATCAACGACAACTGCAAGTACTGTAACCACCTCAGGAGCAGGACAATGAGAAAACAAAACAACAAAATAATGTTACAAAATTGACGATAAATGATGATATTTAATTGATGAAAATACGGAAGGATATTTACATCAGAATTGACTCGTAATTTCTACAAGTGTTGACAGATGACATAACTGATGATCAAAGTAGCTAAGAAATGTTAACTAAATCATTGTATTTATTTTATCAAGGAGAAATATTTTTTTTTATCTCATAAAAAAGTCAATTCTATCAAGTATTAAATCAGAATCGTGTGTCGATACTGAAAGTTATGTTTTATATAGACAAAAGTCCATGTTTGTAATCTTTATACACGGCCTATTGAAAGAAATCTTTTTTGACATTCCTAAAAATTTTCTGACAATTTTTCAATGTCTGGATTAAAATCGAAGCGATTTTTAACTAAAAAATGACACTTCTAATATAAAATTCTTCAACAACGATAGCTTTAAATTTGGCGTAAATTCCCAGTAACAGCTAGAAAACGATACGGAAATAAATGAATAAAGTTTCTTCGCAAAAAAAATATTAAACAGTCAGAATTTATAAATGTCTCCATTATCTTGTACGACTTGCATTATGTAACTCATTGATCTTTTTTTCGTGCTCTTCCTTTTCATAATGATATGTCAATATATAAAAAATAATTAAATTCTTACCTTGGGCATGGAGTTTTCACAGAAATGACAACAAAAAAAAGCTTTTTGCTTACCTGATAAAAAAAAAATTCTATGAAACCAGCCTCTCATGGAATTATTTTTTCCTTAAAATAAAATATGACGATAATTACTACAACTCCCTGTCCTTTTTACAATACATTTGTTGTATGATTTGAAGAAACTTTCAACATCATAAGTTTGCGAAGCTATTCAGACATATAAATATATCAATAAAATATACCTCAAATAAAGTTTGCTTGCTAATGTGTTTGCCAAAAAATCATAAAATTAAAAAAAAAAAGATAAAATAAGAAACCATGTGTTAAATTATTTAATATATGCATTCTTTGGCATCAACTAAAATTACCTATAGATTCTATATTTTTATGTAAGACGAGTAACGATGTACCTATATATCAAGAAATTCTTATGTAAGCATATTAATACCTTATTTATTTATAATTTATAGTTACTAAAAATGTATGACTATCAATAATCATTATTATTATAACTAATATTATTGCTGACTATTATGTTCATTATTATGATTATTATTGTTATTATTATCATTATTATAAAATGATGAAATTACGTATACATATAAGTCTATACCATGTTAATGGAGTATATATATATATTAATATATATGTTGTGAAAAAATATAAATCATTCTATGTTCGAGCTGCAGGTAGTTGTAAAATTTCCGGTATCCCCATTTATTGTATTTCATTTCAACTTTTAATTTGATTATTTAAATAAATTGAAAATGAAAATACTTTTTTATTATTTTAAATAATTTTTTAGTTTAATGTTCAAGTACAATTTCATTTTTAAATATAAATGAAAACCGCGACAAATAAAATATAATTTAAGAAAATCTTCAGGGAATATTGTTTTTATTAAATAATTTATATACAATGGAGCCAAATGAAGGGTTAAAATGAAATAAAGACATCAAGTGAAAAACTGCAAAAAAATGGAAGATCATTTAAAAAAAAATATACTTATGTAAACAGCAACCAATAATTTATTAGTAGAAAGTAACTTAAGAAAGTTAACAAAAAAGTTTATCACTTGATCAGTAATAATATCATTTAAATCATAATTTCATTATCAGAAAGAAAAATTTTTAAAATATCTTACATAATGTGAATACGTTTATGCACGTATTTATAAATTAATAATGACAATAATTATATGCATCTGCATCTTTTGTTTAATAGTTGCCAGTAATTCTGTTCTATTTGTATATTTATCGCTAGTTTTTATTTCATTATTTTCATTCATGTCAATATTCTTAACTTAGTATTTAATGTTTAGATCCAACATTAACAGATAACACTATATACAATAACCACACTCGGTTGTCTTTATTGTCGGGACATTTTTTAATTATTTATTAATATCCACACCATTTTTTGTAATATCAATTGTTTGATGATTATTAGTCAAAGTCCCTTAATAAATTTTTGAAAAAAGTCATAAATGCTGTGCTCTAATATTAACTAGAATAATGATTATGAAGTCAAGTAAATCTCTAAATTCACAGACAAAAGACACAGCATAAATATGGTAAAATATAGTATAATATATTTATATGGCTAAAATATACGGTAAAAGTTCAAAGAAAAATTCATCAAACGATTGAATTATCACTTTGAAACTCAAAATATAATGAACACGATCAATAACATAATACTTCTAATATTGCACCATTTGTGTGAACAAACTCTCATATTATGTTCTCAATCCATTATTCACAAACTAAAATAAATTCACATATTCATTAATTATTTAATTAAATAGCTTACTTGGTGTGGATTTCAAATGAACACGTCTAATAAAATTGACTTAACGTGTATTTAACTTTAATATCATTAAAAATTGAATTTTTTTTATTAACCCATTGCTGATGGCACTCGTGATCCTACCGTAAAATCCTTGTATTGGGAAAACACACAAATCTATAATAATAACATTTTATTAATATAACAGAATAATAGACAAATATATTTTTAAATGGAGAAATTTTATCATTAACTTTTTTCTTACCTTATCTTTTAATCTTTGGCATAGTTGTAAAGCGATAGTGAGAAATATGAGGGCATCGTTTAGCCATGGTACACTACATTCTGCTTGATGAGACTCATATTTAACACTTCCATGTGTACTTTCTAATTGATATACAGCCAAAACGAGTTTATAGCTTTGAATATAAAAGCTAATTACTAAATTTTCTGGTAAATTTGGATTAAGTGATTTCTAAAAAAAAACATCTTCATTAAATATTTATTCATCTGTTCAAGAATAGTTGGAATGGTGTATTTTAATTGATAAAAAATAGTTGATAGAATTAAACTAAAAATCGTTAATGATTTCAAAATTTGAATAAATCTTACCATATTACGACTTTTAATTAAATCATCTATGGTTTTTTTCTTAGGCACAATAAGACTAGTTCGACTTCTCTGAAGGCACCCGAGAATATTGCCAAGAACATGCATTACTTCATCTGAAGTTTTAAATAAGTAATGACGATCAACATTATCAATGTGAGCTATAGCTTGTTGAAGATGATTCGCGGCATCTTGAATTTGTTGTAATTTCCATGGATGGTCATTTTGAATGCTTGTTTTTATCAAAACATTTTGCTGGCGCTGAACTTTAAATGTTACTTCCTGAAAAAATAATTGTTAATGAAATTAATAAATGTAAAAAAATTATACATTTACAGTATTAGTAGCATTAATCTTTTAACTTACAGCATTTGTAATGCTATCCCCCGTAAGAACAACAACAGATTTTACTTGATCATGTGGCGATGCAAACACAAATCTATCAACTTTAAATTGCTGATCATTACCAAAAAGTGCCATAGGGAACCTTTGTGCACATTCCTGTATATTTAAAAATTTACTATTAGTGAAAACACTATTATGAGTATTACTTCATAAAACATACTTCAAAAAAGCATTTTATAAATTAAATTACCAGTAAAATAGCTCGGAGTTGGAGCAAACATGGATGAACCTCGTCATGGAGTACCCATTCAAATTCCATTTGCTAAAAATTTCATAGAATAAAATAAAATATGTATAAACTATAACAAAAGCATTTTGTGACATCAAAAAATACTCATGTCTAAACTGATTTAATCACCCATTCACAATTGAAACAAAAAAATAATAAATCTTAACTGCTATTGATAGATTCATCTGATCAGACATTTGAGAGAACTTGGTGAGAGAAAATTGAACGAATTCATAAAATTTAACCAAAAAGTAGAATAATCCTTAGATTAGAATATAAAATATTGAGGAGCAAAAATTAAAAATAATACTAAACATAACCTCGCTAAACGACTCAGAAATTTTGATACAAATACAATTTTAGATCAAGTTATGTTCAATTATTTGCCTTGAGGAATCTGATAATATTTATCTTTAGTCTCAGAACGTGATCACGACAAGGTCATTTTGATTAGATAAACGTTAGGTAAAGGTGAAATGCTTACAAGATTACGAGCTTCTTCCTTTTCGATGTCCGCCATGTTTACTGAACACAAATTGTTGTATGTAAGAGTCAAGTGAATAAATTTGCTTTTCAAAAATAATCAATTTATTGAATATTTTGATAATTATTCCAAACAATAATCAATAATATTAATTTTCCAACACTTTTAAATAATATATTAATGAACATGGAAACAGTACCGAAAGATTTACGGAGTTTAAGGGCTTGTTTAGTTTGTTCTCTTGTCAAAGTAAATACCTAACCTTAAAACTTTTTAATTAATAAATAAATAATATTGTTAATAATCCATTAAATTTATTTTAGACGATTGATCAATTTGAATATGACGGATGTGACAATTGCGATGAGTTTTTACGGATGAAAAACAATAAAGATAACGTTTTCGATTGTACTAGTGCTAATTTCGATGGGTAAAGTATTAAAATTATCATACAAAAGGTTAAGCAATACTGAACAGCGTTGATAAAATTTTATTAATGATTAAATTGTTTTAGAATGATTGCTGCTATGAGCCCTGAGGACAGTTGGGTTTGTAAATGGCAGAGAATAAGTAATTGTTTACTCATAAATTTATTACTATGCCTATGTATTTTTTATGTATTCATTTTATTCAATGTTTTCAGATCGATTCACTAAAGGGGTTTATGCAATTTCGGTGTCAGGAAGATTGCCAGCAGGAGTGATTCGTGAAATGAAAAGTCGAGGAATTGTATACAGAGCTCGAGATACAAGTCAACGATAATTTTTTTAATCAAGATTTCATCAACTATATATATTAACAATACTTTATTAGATACATAAAACAAGTATTAACAATTTCAAGATTCTCAAAGTGACATTTAATGATTATTACTATATCATTTACATCTAATAAATAAATAAATAAAACATTGTGCGTAGAGAACATGTCAAAATAATGATAACATAAAAACGAATCAAGTCTGGAGGGAATCAAGTGCTTATTAACTATTAAAAAAGACTAGATTCATACAATCTCTTTTTATCAGATCTGACTACTTGCTGCAGTTACTGCAGTATGTCCATGAGAAGAAACATGACGTAGTGCTGGCAAATTATTATTAATACAGTTTAGCCATAAATTTGCACAAGTAACATGATAACTGTTATCGTTATGAACAACTTTGCCACTAGTTATGACAGTCAAACACAGAGCACAAGCTGAACTATCTCCTTGATGTTGTGGCCAAGTTGGTAATTCTGTAACGATCTGTAAACAAAATTTATTTTAATAACAATTTTTTGATCATTTTTTTCTTTTCAAGTAAAATAATTAAAATCACCGGAATGTTAACGTAGAAAGGTTCCATTTCCGCCCAAATTTTATCAATATCCATCAATAAATCATCGAAACCCATAATATTTATATCCATCTCTTTGTGAGAAAAATTAACTCGTCTACAAACAGCTGCCACCTCTGCTAAATCTTGAAAATAAATTTTTTTTAAACTTATTCTGAACATTATTTGTATTGTGTATTAATTTTGATAACTTACTACAAAGGAAATTATAACCTTGAGCTGAATTTAATACTTCATGAAGAACAACTTCTGATGTAATAGATGTAAAAATGCTGGCTGATACTTGAAGAAGTTGTACACAGGTTTCCATATATTGTTTCCATTCCCAATAAATTGACTGAAAATGATATAGAAACGAAAAAAAATTATTTGGGTCAAAAATGATACTTATCGTTAGAAAGTACTTATAAGTATTGATTATTACTTGGTTCATAGTTTCTACATCCTTATCTTCATCTCCGACTGATGGAAGAAAACACTTGAGATCTAAACTAGGTACTGAATTGGACCGAGTCATAATTGTGTTATTTCCTAACTCAAGACTATTTTCCGAAATAGTATCTTCTTTTGCGATAACTTTTTCTGCAAAAAAAATAATCAGATGAATTTTGTAAATGATATATTATTTAAATAATTAATATATCAATACTTACCTGGGTCTATTGTCATTTCATATTTTTCCTCAAGGAAGTTAATTGATTTTTCGGGACTAGCAGTTATTTCCAATTGTGCAAAAGCCTCAATAGTTTCTTGAGCAAAAGATATTTGTGATTTATCATTGCTATTGCTTGGTAAAAATTGTTCAAAGTCAGAGAATAAATCTAATGAAGTATCAACACTGGATTGGACTGTATTGAATGTTGGTTCAATATGTTCTGCTGATACAAAATCTCCAAAATCATCAACAGCTGTTGAATTTGAATCTACTACAGAAGTAGTAGAAGTTTCTATTGTAGACTCATCAATTAAATTTCTCAATGCACTGTATTTGTCTTCGACTTGCTGAAGACTCATGAGATCTTGTGCTGAAGCTTCAGATGATCTAGGCGGTGGTACTTTTGGTAAAGGTAAAGGCTCTGGAATTTTATCAGAAAATTCTCTCGAATCTGTAGACACTTGCTGAACTGTTTCACCATTTCGAATAATTGTGTCTTTCAGAATGACAGTTTTTGACTGATTTTTGATCGTACACTTTGGAAATGCTGCTGGAGTACGATCTGGAGATTTTTCCCTGACCAATCCCGAAGAATTAAGTGAGTTTATTCGAACTGGACTGTTTTCTTGATTACTTAATTTTCCGTTAGGTTTTTTCTTATCAACAAATTTTCCTCCGCTTAAATTATGGTTAGCCAGTCTACTACCTATTGCCGAACCTTGTTTCGAGTCCCACATTGGAATACTTGGAGTTGGAGCAATCGGAGCACTTTGAAAGTCGGAGAAATCATCAAAATCTGAGGTGGATGAAATTTGTGTATTGTTTCCATGATTCAAACCACTCAGCTTTTCATCTAAAAGTCTTTTTGTTGATCCAGATGAAATTTTGTTGTCTATTTTTGGTTCATTAATGCAAGATGTATTGATAATAGACGACGAAAGAGCAGGTGATGAAAAAGAGTCATGATTTTTAATACTAGATTTGTATTGATTTTCATTTGGGAAGGAATCTCGAATGATTGTAGCTTCTGATTTAGGTATATTAGAATACAAAATATTTAGATTCAATCGCGGGATTGGTGGTCCAGGTAACATATGAAGTACATCAAGATTTGTAAATGCATAAGAAGTTTGAGCGATGGCGATTAAAGCTAAAACGATGTATAATTCTTGTTCTGTTAGCTGTCCAGCATATTTTTGATTAGCTAAACTCCAGATATATCCAAGAACTTCCGTAGGTAATTGACTGGTTAATAAGAGAGGAAATACTTTGTTTGTGTCTACTAAAAGCTCACCATGTACTGCTCCAAGAGTAGGTCGATCTTCTTTAACAAATTCCCAAATTCGTTTATACACGGGAGGTAGAGCATTTGAAGTAGGCCAAAGCCAGCCAGGTAGTTGACTGTGTTTTTTATCCATTCCAGTCCGAGATTTATTCATTTTTAGTTAAACCACTTCTTTTACATTCATTAGAGTAAATTAACACCTTATTTAACAGTTTAAAATTTATAGAAATAAAAACGTATGTTGCTTCTCATGATGTATTTATTTTTTAAAGAAATTTGACACTTTTAAAGTTTGTGTTTGAAGTTTCGTCTTTATTTCTTTACTAGAGTTATGTTTTTTGAACAAAAAAAACAACTGCCATGGAAAGTTGATTGGAAAACAATAGAATTATTTTAAAAATTGATAATAGGTGTCACTTTCTCCAATTATCGACTGATGATGTTATGTCATCATATGCGCAATGTTGCGTACAGTACCGGACATAAATGTTGTTCAATTTTTTGAAGGTTATGCATGCAATTTCCCTATACTGTCTTATAGAAAATAACACAGCATTTATGTCCGGTACTGTACAATCAGTCAGAGAAGAGACACCAGTATAGAAGTTCATTCCTAATCAATTTCGTCACTAAGTGGCGCTGAATCATCGACTCAAAAATGCGGGAAATATTAGAAAGGTTTAAATTGAAAGGTATCAATTATTTACACACTGTAAATGTGAGTGTTTTATTTTAAAACATTAAAAGTGTTTTAAAATCGAGACAATGTTAATCAAATGGGTGACATCATATTAAAACACTTTTAATGTTTTAAAATAAAACACTCACATTTACAGTGCAAGGTATCAGGTATTTTAGCTTGAAGTGTTGACTGAAAAATACAATTTTGACTTAAGCTAAACAAATTGGTTAATCATTTATTTAAACTTTGGTTTATTGATTACACATTCTCTAATTTTATCTTAATTAATTTCTCGGGTGACCATTTATAATAAGTATATTTTTTTTCTTTTGTTTTGCATATTAAATATAAAATTAATTTATTTTAAATATTTAACCTTATAATTAATTAACTTGAGTAGAGAGCAGCAGTGTGATATCATAAGACATTACACTACCTCAAGGTTTCAAATTTTGACCACCAGGGTAGCGTTATGGTTCCAGTTCCGATCCCAATACTGGACAACTTTATTGCAAGTGGCGCCAAAATCGTTGTTCTTTACCGCCTTTACACAGCATCTATGCCTTATACTGGCTTGCAGTTATATGTAATTTCGTCAGTAGTTTGTTTTCTTTATCATAAAAAATGGTTTTACTTGCGGGATAAGTGAACTCAAGGTTACACAAACATATATTTAGTGAATAATTATAAACTTAAATAATAATTGTGATGCTGAAATATTGGTTGTTGCAATAATTATTCTCTGATTCTCGAGAAGACTCTTAGGACGCTTAGGATACTTTTTACCGGGAAAATCTCTGTTGTAAGCAACTATAACTTATTTACTTTCTGTTATATACTATAAAAGGTATTTTTGATTTTATTTTTACTTTCAAGTAAAATTTGGGATGAATGATTAATTAGGCTTATTGAATGAGTATAATTTACTAAAAGCCAATATAAAATTAGCAATAGTTTGGCTAAGCCAATGATTGTTTTGTCTCGACGGTTGATTCAAAATTTTTTTGGGTAAATACACATTGATAAATGATAAATAAATAAAAAGAAACAAGAGATTAAAATTTAATTTTTGACTGTTTCAAAAATTATTAAATCAAAAATAAATTCATTTTTTATTTTTTAATTACATTGATCTTGATTATTCATTATCAACTTATAATCTGATTATTAAAGATATCATAAGTAATTCTTCTATTTTGTTTTAGAGTGATAAAAAACATTGCCAAGATGAGTGATAAAAAGACAATCGAAGGTATTTACCAAAAGAAGTCACAGTTGGAGCACATTCTGCTCCGACCAGATACTTACATTGGTTCTGTTGAACCTGTAACGGAGCAAATGTGGATTTACGATAAGGAAAAGGAGATGATGATTCAAAAGGAAATAAAATATGTACCTGGTCTCTACAAAATCTTTGATGAAATTCTAGTTAATGCTGCTGACAATAAACAAAGAGATCCCAAAATGGACATGATTAAGATAGATATTGATTCTGAAAATAATACAATATCAGTTTGGAATAATGGTAAAGGTATTCCAGTTGTTATTCACAAGGAAGAAAATATGTATGTTCCTACAATGATCTTTGGTCATCTTTTAACTTCATCCAACTACGACGATGATGAAGAAAAAGTCACTGGTGGAAGAAATGGTTATGGAGCTAAACTTTGTAATATCTTCAGTCATAGATTTACTGTTGAAACAGCTTCGAAAGAATACAAACGTTGTTTAAAACAAACTTGGGGCAATAATATGGGAAAAGCAAGTGAACCAAGAATTAAAGATTTTAATGGTGAAGATTTTACTAAAGTAACATTTTCTCCAGATTTGTCAAAATTCAAAATGGAAAAACTAGATGATGATATCGTTGCTCTTATGTCTCGTCGTGCTTATGATGTAGCAGCATCAGCACGAGGAGTAAAAGTTTTTCTAAATGGTAGCAGAGTTCCTGTTAAAACTTTCAAAGACTATGTTGATCTATATATCAGAGGAAAAGAAGATGACGCTGGAAATCCACTAAAAGTAGCTTATGAAAGTTGTGGACCACGTTGGGAAATTGCTGTAACTCTTTCAGATAAAGGATTCCAACAAATGTCATTTGTGAATAGTATTGCTACCACTAAAGGAGGCCGTCATGTAGATCATGTTACAGATTTACTCGTAAAAAATCTTACTGAGTTATTAAAAAAGAAAAATAAAGGTGGTGTTACCATCAAACCATTCCAAATCAAAAATCACATGTGGGTTTTTATTAATTGTTTAATCAACAATCCTACATTTGATTCTCAAACTAAAGAGCACATGACTCTCCAACAAAAATCTTTTGGTTCTAAATGTACAATAAGTGAAAAATTTATTAGTACAGTTACTAAAATTGGTATTGTCGAGTCTGTGTTAACTTGGGCCAAGTTCAAAGCTGATACTCAACTCCAAAAACTTGGACCAAAATCGAAACAACGTAAATTACAAGGAATCCCCAAGCTAGAAGATGCTAATGATGCTGGTACTGGTAAATCAATGGACTGTACGTTAATTTTAACCGAAGGAGATTCTGCCAAAACTATGGTAGTTTCAGGATTGGGAATAATTGGTAGAGATAAATATGGAGTCTTTCCTTTAAGAGGTAAACTTTTAAATGTTCGTGAAGCAACTCATAAACAAATTTTAGAAAATGCTGAGATCAACAATATTATTAAAATACTTGGTCTTCAATATAAGAAAAAATATGAAACTCGAGAAGATATGAAAACATTAAGATATGGTAAAGTAATGATAATGACTGATCAAGATCAAGACGGTTCACATATCAAAGGATTATTAATTAATTTTATTCACCATAACTGGCCATCTTTATTACGTATGGGCTTTGTTGAAGAATTTATCACACCTATTGTGAAAGTAAAAAAAGGTTCCCAATCAATTTCATTCTTTTCTTTACCAGAATTTGAAGAATGGAAAAGAGACACAGAAAATTCACATCTATGGAAACCAAAGTACTACAAAGGTTTGGGTACTTCGACATCAGCCGAATGTAAAGAATATTTTCAAAATATGGCAAGACATAGAATTAAATTTCGTTATGATGGAGATCAAGATGATGAAAATATTATTATGGCATTCAGTAAAAAATGTGCAGATCAACGTAAAGAATGGCTAACTAATTACATGGAAGAAACAAAACGACGTAAAGAAGTTGGACTTGGAGAAAAATTTTTATATCAAAAAGACACTCGTGCAGTATCATATTCAGATTTTATCAACAGTGAATTAGTTCTTTTCAGTAATTATGATAATGTCAGATCAATTCCCAGTATGATTGATGGTTTTAAGCCTGGTCAGAGAAAAGTAATCTATACTTGTTTAAAAAGAAATGACAAAAATGAAGTAAAAGTAGCTCAATTAGCAGGATCTGTTGGTGAAAAAACAGCTTATCATCATGGAGAAGTATCTTTAATGACCACAATTATAAATTTGGCGCAAAATTTCGTGGGATCTAATAACATTAATCTTTTACTGCCTATTGGTCAGTTTGGATCTCGATTAAGTGGAGGAAAAGATGCTGCAAGTCCTCGTTATATTTTCACTATGCTCAATCCCCTAACTAGGTTTATTTTTCACAAGCATGATGATGCTTTATTAAGACACGAATATGATGATAATAAGAAGATTGAACCTGTTTTTTACGTTCCTATTATACCAATGGTACTAGTAAATGGAGCTGATGGTATTGGAACTGGTTGGATGACAAAAATTCCTAATTATAATCCGCGAGATATCGTTGAAAATCTTTATAGAATGATGGATGGTGGAGAGCCAAAACCTATGAAGCCTTTCTACAAAAATTTCAAGGGAACGATCGATCCTTGTGGTGATTATCGTTATGTCATTTCAGGTGAAATATCAATCATTGGACCAGAAAAAATAGAAATTACTGAATTGCCAATAGGAACTTGGACCCAAACTTATAAAGAAACTGTCCTAGAACCTATGCTCCATGGAAGTGATAAAACACCCGCAGTGATTACAGATTACAAAGAATATCATACTGATACAGAAGTTCGTTTTATTGTTAGTATTAATCGAGATAAATTACAAGAATTAGAACGTGATGGCCTTCATAAGGCTTTTAAACTGCAAACCACCATGTCCACAACATCAATGTGTGCTTTTGATGATAATCAATGTTTGAGAAAATATGATACTGTCATGCAAATTTTCCGAGAATTTTACAAAGTCAGACTTTCAACTTATGCCAAGAGAAGAGATTATCTATTAGGAATGCTTGAAGCAGAAGCTTCCAAATTATCTAATCAGGCAAGATTTATCTGCGAAAAATGTGATGGTGATCTTGTAGTTGAAAATAAAAAGAAGAAGGAAATGATTAGTGAATTAGTCAGGCGTAAATATGATTCTGATCCTGTCGTCAATTGGAAACTTACACAAAATCGAGAAGAAGTTTTGGTAAGTTTTTTTCTATTTTCATTTAACATAATTAATTTTAGAACAATGATTAATGTATAATATATTTTGCTAATCAAGGAAGAACAAGTAAGTTTAAAATGAAAAAATGTAATTATCCAGTTTACTTATTTATGTAAATTTGTTTGTAGGAGGAAATAGCTGAGGAGAATGCGAATGAAGATTCAGCATCAGTAGCTGCTATTGAAAAAGAAAATTACGATTATTTGTTGGGAATGACTATGTGGTCATTAACAAAAGAAAAGAAAGATGAATTATTGAAGCAAAGAGATGATAAATTGACTGAACTTAGAATATTGAAAGAAAAAACTCCAATGAATTTATGGAGAGAAGATTTAGATGCCTTAATGGCAGAAATGGAAAAACAAGAAGCTAAAGAAGCTAAGGAAGAAGGCAAAAATGCAAAGACTTCTAAAAAACCACCAGCAAAATTATATAAAGCTGAAGAAGTCCGTAAAATTGAGCCTATAATAGATAGTGATTTGAAAAAACGTATTGAAAAAGCAGATATTGTTTCAAAAGATAAAAAAGAAGGTATTAAAAAAGCACCAAGAGCCAAAAAAGATTCTAAATCAGATAAGGAAGAAAAAGATGAGTTTGATGCATTAGTAGAATCAAATGCTAAACCATTAGATGAACGTCTTGGTAATTCTCCGGAGAGAATAGATAAAAAAGGAAAGAAAGGCAGTGGAAAACAAACAACTTTACCGTTTAAACCAATAAAAAAAGAGAAAAAGAAAAGAAGTAAAGGTGGTAGTGATTCTGAAGATGAAGTGCCAGATATTGATTTTGATAGTTTATCACCAGTTCCTCCTCCAGCGCGTGCACGTAGAGCTGCTGCAGCTAAAAAGAAATACAATTTGGATAGCGATGCATCAGGAGATGATAATATCGTACCCTCTTCAGATGATGAGAAAAAGAGAAAATCGTCAGATAAAAATACGTCACTTCAAAGTTCAGTTGATAGTGATTTTGATTGTATTATGCCCGAAAAGAAAGCAAATAAAGCTGGATCACATCCAGCATTAAACAGTGATGATTCTGATGATGAAGATTTTAAAATGGATAAAAAACCAGCACCTCGACCTACTTCTGAACAACTTTTCGATTCTCTTATAGCAAGTTCACCTAGTAAATCTGAAAAAGCCGGTTGTATTTCCTTATCATCTTCTGATATTTCTCCAATTAAATCTGACTCTCCAGCAAAAAAATCACGAGCTCCAGGAAAGAAAAAGACCGAAAACGGAGGCGCTAAAGCAACTAAAAGGCGTGCAAAGAAATCACAATCATCGGGTTCAGACTCTGATGATATTTTTTCAAAGAAAACAGTCACGGTAAGTAATTTTATAACTGATATTATATTATTAAAAAATCATATGAGTGAATAATTAAAAATATTTTCATTTCTTTAGAGTAAGAAAAAAGCTAAAAAATCGAATACATCGACAACTGAAGAAAGTCTAGTTGAAGATACGCCACCTCCAAGAAAAACTGGTGGACGAGCAAGACAACCAATTTCTTACGCTGATTCTGATGAAGATTCAAATTAAATATTAAAACAAGTATACAATATATTCAATCACAAAACGTAAGATAGTTAATAATATAATTAATTATATTTCTCCTTCCTCAGTATCATTGAGATTATTATAAAACAGTTAAAAAGTTTATACGTAGAGTTGAAAAATTTTGTAACAGAAAACGTTTTATAATAAGTTAAATCAACCATGACTGGAGGAAGTATTTCTCATATGTACAGAATATTTTTAGATCATTTGTTAGACACAATTAGTTTAATTGAATTGATAAATTTTGCTCTTATATAATTATAATAAATGATACATTTGCATATGTAAGCTACTGCACACCACCAACACAAATTTTTATTTTCTTATGATATTCAACTCATACTGATTTTCGATCAATTGAAATAAGACGATAAAATAACAATAATCAATCAATTTTTTAATACTATTGAAAAAAGAAAGATAGGAATTATTTTTTCATGACTTTAAAAAAGAATTAATAAGAAATTATTTTTACTTACCTCAAGATTCATTCCAATATTCTTCATTATTATGATACTTCATTTTGTTCATTTACAAAAATAATCATTCATTAGGACCTAACTTTTTAATTAATGATAACTCTATATCAATTTAACTATTATTTTTTCATGTTTCTGTTTAGATAAAAAGATGATTGTAAATGTATATGATGTATGAATGTGATTATTTCTTGTATCATTATTAATAAAATGGTATATAATTTATAAATTTTAATTTTTTTCATCTTTTAAATAAGAAATTATTATGGACATTATATTTTAAAAAATTTTCAACAATTTTGATAGAAATTGGAAATAAACGTACAAGTTGAAATGCATGCTTTTCAAAATTTGTAACAAAGAAAAAATTATTTTTTTTTGAATTAAGGAAAAGGATAAAATGACTAGGATTTTTAGTAGAATCGATGAACGTAATAGTGCAGACACTGTTCAGACTTGCAATGTATTCTCCTTTCTGACCACACTTTTAGCCAAATTAATTTTTGGTTTTTTTTCAAGTTTTCCTTTTCTTAATATCCTTGCTTTTAGCATTCTTTCATCTTCATTATACCGAATTTATCTAAACGCTGTGCCCACAAAATTCGTATACCAACAAAAACACAACATTTCGCTCATCTTTTTGTTTTACTTTTAAGATTTTAGTTATCATTCAACAAGCGCTTACTATTTTTTTTTTTAATTTTTATTTTATGCTTAAAATGGATTTTCACCGCATTTTTTCTCTCTTTTATTATTAATTTTTTCGTTTTTAAATGTACTCCCAAAAAAGCTGCGTGTCGACAATGGCGCGACTATAATACAAAGCAAGGGCACTTGATAAAATAACTTAGTCTTCTATTTCCATAATTATTATATCTATATAACGTACATATATAAAACAAATTGAGTAAAGAAACTAATAATGATCAGGTCCGTACAATATTATGATACTTATTTTTAAAAAATGTTTTTTTTTTCTTTATTATTATTATTAATATTATTGTTATTGTTATTTTTTATTATTTTCCCCTTGTCACTGTCATTGTCATAATCATTTTATCGGCATTATCTTCTCCCCATCTTCCATTTAAAATTTTTCTTCACGCATCTTCATTTTATCTAACATCTTTATCTGCATAATATCATTAACTAATTATTGATTTAATTTATTTGTTTATTTTGCTTTGCATTCTCATAACATTATTTATGACTATAATATCAAGAATTTCCTTGCGAGCTTTCTGAAAAAGGTGGAAAAATTCACAGGAAGATGAGAAGAAGAATTGAAAAAGAGAAAGAGAGAGAAAAAGTTAAAAGAATATTTTCATTTTTTTAAAGAAAAAATGAAAAAGTTCGAGAGGTCTTTGGGAGTTTTGCTAATAAGTATATCAAAATATTGGTGTTTCATTAAAAAAAAAAAATAACTTATTGAGTTATTTTAATGATACTGAAAAGTAATAACAATTAAGGGAAGATGATTGCAGACAAATATTCATAGAATACTTGCATAAAAACACTGTAATAATATTTTTTGTTTTAAAATGATTAAAAGAAAAGAAAAATAATTTTTACTACGAAAAATAAAGAAATCGCCGGGCCTGCTTTTCGTCACTTTCTTTTACACCATATATATAATTCGATTTTATTAGTATATATATATATGTATATATATATATAGTATAAATATGTACACGCATGCTAGTTATAACAATCTTTCGTTTTTTGTTTTATTTTCGCATATAACATACACACGCATTCATACTCACGGGAGAGTCAAAAAGAGGATATCCTCCAAAAATTCCCGTGTATTTTATCAAATTACTGTTTTTATTCAGTTCTTTTTTATTACTTGCGTCGAAGTGAACGCTTTTAATATTTTGTTTTTATTTATATTAATTATAATATTATTTCACTAAATTCAACTCACAAGCATTAAAAACACGACGCAAAATCCTTTTTTTTGCGCTTCTTTAACAGTCCATTTCTTTTCTTTTAATTTAACCGCTCTTTCTTCTCACACACTTTCTCACATTTCGTTCACTCTCTCTCGTTTATTCTTTATTTTTAATATCTAGTCATTCGACTCTTACTCATTATACTTAAAAAAAAAACTCCACTTGAAATATTTTAATTATTATTTTGTAGCTGGTTTTTTTTTAATTCACAATGACTTATCACATGTTTATCTCGATTCCTTCTTAATCATCTCAACCTTTTTTTTAATTATTATATCATTATTTTGCAATTAACTTTATACTCATTTTTTTAAACACTATTTTTATCAGTCAGCCCACTGTTTTCGATATAAGGAACGATAATACAATTGAATATTTACGAACACAACATTTTATTTGTTGCCAAGCTGAAAGAATGGAGTAATGTGTACGTGTTTTTTTATTTTTCAGTGAAAAATGTGTTTTTCTTTTAACTGTCCATGTGAATTAAATTGCTTTTTATATTTTTTGGAGAAAGAAAAACAATTTTTAAACCATCTTTCACTCTTTCTCTCTTCCTTATTTTTTTTTATCTGAATAAATAGTCAAGATATCTCGCATTTTCCAATCAAAATATTTATCGGTTAAAAGCGAGTGACCTTATTTTTTTATATTTTATTTATATAATAGACTGGTTGAATTCTCCCCTTCGTCGAAGGTGACTTGTCCTGTTGATGGCGGTGGGTGTAGAGGTGGCTGGTGACACGGTGACATTAGTATTTTTAAATTAAATTCTTGTTAATTTAACTCTCCTATTCTTCATCACCATCATATTTACACAATGAATTATTATCGCGATCTTATTCATTTAATAATTATTTTTAATTTAATCCACAGTTAAAAGTTTTATCTTTAACAGATGAATTACAGGTGCGAGACTGAGTGTTTTTTTTTAAAGATTTGGCATATATCAGTTTATCAATCGATCATTTCGACTGCACTACTATTTTTAAAAATGTTCATTATTCATTATTATTAATCCAATTTGACATCATTAACATACACATATTCACTACGAACTGCTCGAAGCATTCATTCCGCTAAACATCCCAGTTGTGAATGACGTTTGCTGTTGTTGCTGTTGTTGTTGCTGCTGAATTTGTTGATGTTGAGCCTGTTGTTGCTGTTGGCTATTTGCTTGACGACCGTGCTTTGGCACTGGAGGCTGTAAATATTCGTGTCGTGCTAAAGTTAATACATCGATCCTCTCTTCTTTTCGATATGCCAGGCAGCTTCTTATAAAGCTCTAAAAAAAAATTCAACCGCAAATTTTTCATTAGTATTTGGCGACGTTACAAAAAATGTTTACAATGTATGAATTGGAGAATTTTTTATTATTTACTTACTTTTGCTTCATTACTAACAGTCGGTTTATTGGCAAATTGAACCTCCGTAGCTTTTAATATTGTATTTTCTTCTAAAATTGTCGCTTGAGATTGATTATGTCCAAATGGCTGAAAACATTTAAAAAAATTAGTTTAAATGACCAGTATGTGTCATCTCTCATTGCTTATATTATTCGAAAATAACCTGTACTTTTATTTATCTGTCTACAATATTTCACAACTCCTCAATTTTCAGTGTAATATGTGAAAATAAACAATATATAAAAGCTTTACTTGGATTGAGTGAGAATATTTACAAATATGTCAAGTAACAGGTTACAAAATCTATTACTTAAGCATGATTTTAACGAATTTTGAAAGTAAAAACTAATTTATAAATATTCTAAACTATCGTAATTGATTGAAAATATTCATTCTATCACATAACTACTTAAATTTAATCAATTAAAATAGTTGACTTTGTTATCATACCTTTTTGCCATAAAGACATTGATAAAATATAACTCCTACACTCCAAACATCAACCTTTGATGATATTTTTGGAGGATTTTTGCCAACAACAAAACACTCCGGTGGTAGGTACCTAGAAATCGATCGAAATTTGTATGGTATTATTTTCTATATCAATAAAAAAAATATAAGAATAAAAAACTAAATAAATCTTTACCAATATGTGCCAGCTCCTTGTGATGTAAGATCCATCCCATGATCTGGATTATAATTTTCTTCATCCATGACTTTACTTAAACCGAAGTCAGTAATTTTAATTTCACCACAGACATTGCCTTCCGTCAACAGAATATTGCCTGATAACATAAAAGCAATAACATTAAATAACATAAAAGCCAATAGACATATAAGAAAATAAAATAAGAATATTACTCACCAGGTTTTAAATCATAATGTATAACTGGAGGTTTTATTTCATTAAGGTACTTTAACGCAGACACAACTTGCATCACTATTGACCTTGCTTCTCTCTCCGGAATCATTTTGTGCTACAAATCATAAAAGTATAAATGGTTACATCCATCTGTGATAATCACTCATTCAATTTAATCATAATAATTTTATTTCTTATTTTAATTGTAATGTTTAATCAATGAAGATGCTCAACCTGTTTCAAATAGAAGTCTAGGTCATGGCCATCACAATATTCCAAAACAGTACAAAATGAATTGGCGTCTATTTCAAACACATCGTAAAGCTTTACAACTCGTGGATGATCTAGGGCTTTGTGTATATTATATTCCCTTAAGGCATGCCTAGAAATTAAAGGAAAAAAATAATCAATAACAATAATTAATCGTATTATAAGAAAACCTATAATGTAATATTTATCAACACAAGTATACTAATGCTTTTTCTACTAAATAACAAAGAATAATATTGATCTAAAATATATGTTCAAAAAGTATAAATTACGTATTATAACAAAGCTGTATACGGTTAATTATGAGCTGTAATAGATTAGAAACGAAAGTTTAATTACTTTATATAATTGGCTTTTTTGTCCTCTTTCCAGTCTTTATTCAATTGATGTACTTTACAAGCCACGTATCGTTGCTCTTTTAAATCAAACGCCTAAAAGAAAAAAAAATAATCAATAACATCTTACATAATTAAATATTGAAACAATTTTTTATTTCAAAGAAATTTACCTTATGAACTTCACTAAATCCTCCTTTTCCTAATAACATTAGTAAAAGGTAACGCTCATTGAGTACCGGGTGAGAATTAAACCTAGATTGATCCTCGTTGTGAATACGTTTCAGTTCTCTAATATGTAGATTTCGTTCTCTCTCAAGTTTTTCCATTTCTAGTTGAAGATCAGCATCTTCTTTCTTCAACGCACTTTGTCTCAACTATAATTAAGAATAATATTCATTAAAATACATAAATAAATAATAATAATAATAATTATCAACTGTAACATTAAAAAAAAAGATTAAAATTTACTTTGAGTATTTCGTCAGCTTCGTAATACTCTTGCCAGGTATAAGATCCAGGTACGGCGTCTGGTTTTAAAAAAGTCGCCTCGGTGCCATTCTGCAGAGAAGGCTGTGGTTGACTTCGTTTCCTACCAGTTTCGCTATTAGACGGCCTCTTTTTTAATAATAATTTTTTTTGCCTATCAATCTCTTCACGTTCAGTCGTTATTTCTTCCTGCCGTCTTGCTAGCTCTTGAAACGCATAACCATCCGTCCAGTTCTCTTGAAATGTAGCTCCTACCCTTTGCGTTACAAACTGGCCAAGCCTCAGTCTATTTTGCATACACTTTTGTCTAGCTTCTTTCTTTTCTATGTTTGATTTTTCTTTTAATAACTTCTTTACAACATCTATACACTTATTTATATGTGATTTGTGCTGCTCAATTAATTTTTGTTGATTTGCCAATTGATGCCTATACTCCTCCGTCGTCTAGAATGAACAAAAAAAAATATATATATTTTACACTCAATTGAGCTTTTATTGTGGAAAAATTTTTGCATAAAATAAATGTATTTATTTGTCAATTGATACTTACTCTATTAAGTTCATCAATTTTATTATTACGTAATTCCAGGTCGGACGATGCTTGTGATTCAAACTCTTGTATCCTCTGGCAAGTAAGCTCCGTCTTGAAAATAAAACCAGTATATTATTAATAATGATAGAAAATAGCTTATTAGAACTGTACATCAATGATATACATTTGTCATGATTAATATCAAAGATACCTTGAGGGCACCAGAAATGTAAAATTTTGTATTGCACTTGATAAAAGAACCCGAAAATTGATTAAAGATATGAATAAAAATACAGGCAGGAAAGCGAACACACAAAAATGTATGCACGAAAAAATATTTGCTAATCTTAAAAAAAAATATAATGTAACAAGAAGTATGTAATATAAAAGAAAATATTACAATAAAAAACTGAAGGAAATAAAATTAAAAAAAAAATAGTAAATAAACGAGATTCAGGTGCCACAACAAAGTAGCCCTGGATCTTCAATAACAAATGAATACAATGCTACAGTCTGGCTGTAAATTTTTCACGACTTATATTCTTCAAGCATTTGACAAGAAAGATATTCTATGATTAATATAATGATATATTTCAATTTTCTATTATATATTAAAATACATATTGAATTGATTTTCTTATCAAATGCTTTGAGTCGATGACCAAAGTATTACGGTGCTTACATTTGGCGTGTTAGTCTTCGCTTGCCTGATCTGACTTGTCCGAGGTAGGTTGGTTGGCCTTACCTGCACCTGCTTGCTGACCATAGAGCCAGCAGGTTGCGTCGATGAAGGAGGTGGTGGAGGAGGTTGAGGAAGAGGCCTAGGTGGTTGCATCAGCGACGAAAATTCCGCAGACGAGGAATTAGTTGTCGTCGCCTGAGGCGCGACCAGAGGTTGAGCTGATGGTGGATACTAGAATAAAAATATTAATCAATAAATAAATGAATACAACTTGGAGATGAAAGTATGGAAGTATAAAAATTACCATTGGGTATCCTTGTTGAGGCGATGGGCTTTTAGCACCTCCATGTCTAATTGGACTATTTCCTAAATGATGCTTAGGAAAGTAATCATTAATTTTTTTATTATCCAAGGAGGACAGAGACCTAGCACCTTTACTTCCAATAGGTCCACCAAGTCCGCCTCCACCCGAATCATCCACTTTACGTTTTCTTTTTCTTTCGGACGTGGTTCTAGGCAACTTCTCAGGAGTATTTGGATCTACCTCTTTGTCACTATGAGATGAGCCTGAAGATATTAGAAAAAATATAAAGTGTGAGTATTGCGACATAACATAATTGATAACCTAGCTTATCTTGTACTCACCAGTACTCATATTTGAGTCTTGACTATGAACTGCCTGACCAGAGTTTACGGTTGATTGAGGTGCCATCTGAATTTGTGATCCAGCAGACATCTGTAACAATGATATTGAAAACATTTTATGTTTATTCTTCAACATTAAACATGAAACAAGAATAAATGATCAAGTATTAATCACACATATATACTAATAAGGTAATTATTGTAAGTAATAATGTAAAAATAGCCTGCCTAAATGTGTTAACCTTTCCACAAATTGAATCCCATGGAAAACAACCTTTATCTTGCAACAGTAGAAAGAGAAATGAAGAGGTTACACATCGCTTGCCTACCTAAAAATCAGTATGTATCGATGAAAAAAATGGTTAAATGTCTTCTGATAAATTACACTAAATGTAAACGTCTGCCGTACTCGTCATCCAGGTGCCGGCGTTGTTGTAGTTGTCACTTTTCACCGGCTTGGCCTTACGGCCAGGTTTTAAACTTTCAGGGTGACGATAAATACCAACGATTAAATGGAATACACAACGTTCGAGCGTACAAACGCAATGGATGAAAACTCTCGAGGCGACACACACGGGCCTAGCCGTTGCAAAAAGGCTGGCAAGCCCAGGGCCCCCGTGTGTATTAACCGAAAGGCCTGAGAGAAAGATGGAGGCAATGGTTGACAAAGATGGAGTCAGGTGGAAGTGGAAGTGAGACGAAATGATAGTGACATCGGCCGACCAAGTAGAAATACAAATGTGATGGAGACTGTGCCACCATTTGTGCAACAGAGAACAACTGAAGCACAGACACAAATGAAAGAGTAACAAATTAAACAAACTGAGATGAAGATACTTTTTTTAGCGCACCTTCCAGGACGGCCTATGGTGGAGCCCCATAGTCGTGCTTACTAGTGCTAGTTGTTAGTGTGTCAACCATTGAGCCACCAGGTTCGCGCACTGCAGACTGTCGAGTTGAACCTTACGGGATCTCGGTATTCACAACGAGGTGGAGACGATGGAGAAGAGAGGAGAGAAGGAGGAGGAAGAGGAAAGGGAGAGGGGGGAAAGGACGGTAGAGAATGAGACGAAGGAGAACACGAGTGCGTTGATGCACTTAGAGTTAGAGGAATCACGACAAAATGGAGGAACTTAGGGGAAGGGCAGAGAGAGGGGAGAATTCGCGCGGATTATTTGGCGATTTGAAAGGGACGTTTCACGAGGCTTGTTTTCTTACGTCACGCTCCTACATTCATATATGAGTAAACACTGGTAAACTGTCATTATTATTGTCAGCATTATCTATTTTATCCACGCTTTTGAGGATTATTTCTTAATCACATTTATCATTAAACCCACTTATGTATTTTTCATTTGTACCAATGTATACATTTTTTCTTTTAGATATAATAAAATCACGACAATTATCGTGAGTCATCAGTGCATTTTTTATAGTGAAAATGCACTCTATTCTATAAAAAGTTTCTAGCTAGAAATGTAGATTTTTCCAGAGAACGAGTTGAAAATGTGCGAAGGCTAGTAAAATCAATGTGGGCAAGTATAGGGTTTATTTCTTTCTCTCTTTCTCGTTTTACTTCTCTTTTTTTGTATGCACTGGGTGCTTCATTTTCACTTCCTCCCTGAATTCAAATCCTGCATTACCACATGAAATGCTTTAAATAATCCAAGTGAAATTTAGTCTGTGTCAAGCTGATTCATGGTATCTATTTTTTGATTATCTAGTGACGAAGTTTGAGTTGAAAAATAATTTTTAAGAAGTTGTTGGTAAAGGTCGAGGTAGGGTACTTAAAGTACCCAGTGAATGTACAGCACTGCAAATACGTCTGTTGTCGTCATTGCCGTCGTCGTTGTTGGTATTATGTGTGTAAAGTGGAGTGAACTGAGTACGGCGGGGGCAGATGACAAGGACGCCCGGTGGGGGATCTTGGAGTTCGCCGCTACTACACTCTCTAGCCAGTAAGTCGAGCCTCTGCACTCCTGCTTGATACATCGTATTCAGCGTCTGCTCATATATTAGCTGTCTCTTTTATAGTTTTTACATTAGTTTTTTTTTTACCTTATATTTATTTTTTAGCTTTCATATCAAGTAGTGCGCAAGTGCATCTTCCGGGTGCAATTGTAGTGTTCAATAAATAGTGATAACTTGATTAAAGGATTAATTTTATCAGCATTAGTGTCAACACGTTTTTAAACTTTCTTTTTCTACCAATCAACATCGGAATGTATTATTAAAACCAGTTTAATATAAATTAATGTTACTTTAAAAATAATTTTTTTCTTTTTAACGTGTTAATGAAATGAAACAAACAATTTCTTCAAGTGTGAAATCCGATAGATATTTTTATAAATATTGCATCAACAAAAATGTTTAAATTGTTAAATCACGTTGATTACCAGTTGAGCCCTCTTCAGGGCATGTTATCCAACGAATGTATATCTAGACCTTGCAATGCCATTCGGGCAATGTTCTCTCTCTCCTTTCCCTTGAACCAGTGCGCGGCATCGGCAGGAAGCCGAAGAAGAGGTAGTGGTCGTCGGTGAGGTAGTTTAATGTCACATGACGCGATTTTATTTCCCTACCATCAGGAATGGTTAGTTCAGTATATATCTATATCCCTTCTAGGGATTCTCTATCAGCAACGGGAGTAACCACCTCCATAGTACTGTGGTCGATGCGCACTCACGCGCGGTCATAGTGGAGTGGTAGAACTAGTGGCCGGCGCGTCTCGTCGTCGTGCCAATAGGTCGCACACTCATTAGCCCAGTCGCGCGCGCGATCTCCCCCACTATACCAACCGATCAGCTGGTCGACGGCCACGCGGCTTTGCCAAGCAGCAGGCAGCGACCTCGGCGCAACGATGGTTGTCTCGTTTTTATTCTTCCCTTGCTCTCTCTTTCTTTCTTGCTACAACTTCACGAGCCGGCACCACGCGGAGCATTTCTACCCACTTGTTTCCACGCTCTTCAGGGTCGTCTTCAGGGTCTTATCGTATTACTCTTTTCTTTTTATCATTTAATCCTCTTTGTTTATTTCATCTTTTTAAAATAATTGTTATTTCTTCCCTCCGTCAGAGTTGACATTGAAAATCTTTAACTACAATGACCATTTTAAAGGCTAAATAAAAGTTTTCAAGTCTATTGACTTCACTTTTTATAGTATTATGTATATGTCTAAAGTTGGAAGTGAAAGTACAGCGAGTCTATTGATTGTTTATTTATCTGCAATGACGGAGGTTTGCATATCTAAATGACCTTAGACTTTTAATCAAATAATAAGTAAATTTAGTATCATAATATTCATTCTTACAATGAAACAAAATTTTATCATTTCAATAATAACTTTATACTCCTTGAACCTATGACGTTATACTTTATTTATCATTTAAAATCAATATTTTTATATCGGAATTTTTTTGTTGCGTATTAATTTTTAGTCAATGAATGGAAACTATTCTAGATAATTATATGCATACATTAAGGTAAATAATTGATCTAAATTACGATAATGATTATCATGATGATAGTTGAACTTGATAAGTAAGAAATAATCTGTATAAAAATAGATCTTACCTACATAAATAAAGGAGTTAATAAGAAACGTTAGCGATAAAACTCTTTGATGTATACAGGAATATAATAGAAGAATAGTTCACACATATTAAGACACTTTTAGAATAAATAAAGTCGACAGGTGGAGCTGGGTCCTTCTTACATGGTTAGTTTATGCATCAAAGCGTTCGGCGGCGCCACTTAGGCCACACCACCAACCCGATGTTATCCGCTACGTCACACTATCATTCTTCCTCGAGTTACAAAAGCGCCGTGGATCGAATCCGAGCTATTGACATGGCTCTTTCCCCTTCTCAACGACCTCCAGCCAGTTGGAAAGCACCCAGTCATCGGGCGTATTTTGATAACGTCACGAGAACTCGTACGCACCGACCCTTAAGACTATTGAAAACCTTACTGAAGAGCAACAGAAATGGCGCTTGTTGAAGAACTAAAATCGATAAGTTTCCCTTACTATTATTACATGAGTAACAACAGACAAGCTTATTTTCCATCGGCTTTATACTACTCTTTACGTGCCATTTTTTTGTAAACCAACTTTTTTATGGTTACTTATAAGCCAAATACACCAAAGGGGATGTTCATTGACGTTGAAACGTCATATGTAACCTTGAAACCAACCCCTAAGGGCATATAAGAAGATAATGCTATTGAAGAAAAACAATTTTAACACATCAGATTGTTTTTCTAAATATGTACATACTGATGACGATCAAAGAGACACAAACCCAATCTCAGTGATAAAAATAACTCAAGACAACTGAAGAAAAAGAATGTGACTGAATAATGTTACGGAAAGATACATTGATGATGATGATGATGATGATGATGATGAATAATTATAAAATGTGTGATTTATACTGAAGAAACATTATCGAGAATAATATAAATAAAAGATAATAAAGTAATGATGATATCATGGGTATGATTCATAAAATCTACGGTTAAATTTAGAACAAGAAGATGAAATACCATCAAGTACCTGAGAAATTTGGCCCTGAGTTGTTGAGCTGGACGATGAATTTCGTTGATCTCGCGAGGGTGGAGCATTGTCACGCCTCGTCCAGTCTATTCCCGGGGTAGTCGGTTGCCCGCACTTAACAGCATTGGGTATCGACGACGACTGCGCGCTGTCGACGGCATTTTTATTTGGCCCGTTGTTCCGACCACCCTGCAATCAACAACATTCTGTTTATAATCGCAATTTCCATTCCGAAGATCCGACTTTGATTCGTCTGATTAAGTAGTACATTGAGAGAGTGACGAAAATTCAATGAGAGAAAGCTATGTTCATGTAATGTACAAACTCCCACAGTAATATTGACGATTAAATATTATTCAAGTTTTATTCGTATAAGTTATTAAAGTAAAACTGATCAATGTTTATCGGATTCACGTTTCAATAGAGGTCTCAAGTTAAACTATCAGGCCAATTTCTTATCTCTATTACCTTGAAAACATCTTCTTTCTCACTAATGTATATTATATTAATGAGTTCGATTAGATAAGGAAAAAATGTATTTCATTAGAAATTCTAACATAAAAACTTTTTAAATCAGCACACATTGTGAATAACTAAAAATTATTAGGAATATTAATCCTTAGAATTTGAAGAATACAAATTTAGATGATGTTAATTAATCATCTGATTTCCGATCCTTTTTTATATAAATTCCACATGAATAGAATTCTTTTCAAAGAATTTACTTTGAAATTAAAAAAGATACCTTTTTGAAAAATTATAAGAATACTAAAACTGCTCATAAATTAAATGGTGCCGACACATTTTTAAAATAAATTTGTCATCAGATTAAGATCTCAATACGACATTTCCTCAATTATATTTATTCTAACAAATGAAATGTGTACAGTAATTTTTATTGATACTTTATATTTTATTTGATTCAACAAAAATAATAATTACTACAAGTAATTAGCCTCAAAATGAAATAAATATTTAAACATTTTCCAAACAAAATATTACGTTGAAACTTTTTCTCAAATAAACACATCCACTAAACCAATAATAACTTTTTCATTCAAGAAATAAAGAAGTATCCAAATGTCAGAAGATTAATTTGATCTAAAAATATTTCCATGTACAAACAAGTATTTACAATAAAAAACATACCAACACGTTGAATCAATAATATTCAATGATTGTAAAGAACATGAAGAAGAAATCAATGTTCGGAATTCTTGAACTTAAAGCACTGAACGTTTGAAATTCCTAATCTGTCGGTAGAGAAGGCTATAAAATCATAAAATATAACTTTCACCTTACGAAATGGATCACAAGTATATTTGAATATTCAACTAAAAATCCTATATGATCTCAAGTTGTCCTACTGGTAAATACTATTTTTATCAATGTATATATATCACCGAGTTAAATGAAATATTGCACCATCAGATTATCTACAAATCCAGAAGAATGCAGTCGTCGATATCGCAGAAGTGACAACGCGGAAAAATTTCAACAGAAAGATTCCTCCCACGGGTAAAAGCTGATGGTAATGCAGACCACAAGGTCTCCGCTCTATGCATCCCACAGTGGGAACACACAGACCTCACGGAGTATCTTCACTTTAGCTCCCCATATTTCCGGTTTCCTCTTCCATTCTATACTTTAGATTCTTTCTAACACGAATTCACTGTTTTCGTTCTATACTACCTGATTTGCTTTAGCATATTATGTATAAAGTTGAATCAATTCATTCAACACAACTGTCAAGAATATTTTCATAATAATTAAATGCAAATGTTAAAAAATAATAATTTTCTATAAAATTGAAAGTGGTTTCAAATAAATTCATTTCATAAGAACTAGAATTTTTTATATGATTTTTTTAGAACTAAACCTTAGCAGGTCACTAATTCAAATACCATATTGCCATGAATTATTAGACAGTGAATGTATTAAAAGATTGATTTATTTGATATTAAAAAAATTCTCGAAGATAGCAGCTAATTTATTTCCAAAGTAAAGACACAACAGTTAAAGAAGAAACACGACAATGAGGTAGTGGGAATTTGTTTCATCTACTAAAGTAGAAATGCTCATCTCCAATATGACCTTATATAAAATTTAAGCAGATGAATTACTACTTGAAAATTTTCAAGAAGATGAATTTGATAATTTAAAGAAAAAAACCATGCTTCATGCTTTAAGAATTTATAGTGAAATTTTTGGAAAAAAAAATTTTTTTTAAAAGCTGAAATTGAAATCAATAAACTAAAAATGATAACAAAAAGTAATTAAAAAGCATTGATTATGTGTTGAAGCGACACCAGCGACAGACGATTCACTTAGCACGTTCAGATCGATTCTCAAACACCCGTGGTTGCTCTCTACGGTCGTTGAGTCGGGTGTTCTATTTGGTGGGACTCCCTTTCGCGACGCTAAGCCAATCTTATTCTGGCACGAGCCACTAAAAAGAACCTGCTTCTCTCTATCTCACTCCTACATTTAGATTTTTCTCTATATATTCTCTTTCAATAGAACCTCTGCGTATGTCTCTGCAAGGAAAAATCGATAAACCCGCGGATTCGCGGCACCCGCCTGCCATCATTTGCCCTTAGAGTGGCTCCAAAGTGCATCCCTCATTCCACCTTAAGTCAATTGCTTCTCAAATGTACTTCATAGCTTCATTTTTCTCCGTGCATATTTGCTAACATCTCTTTGATAGTTTGTAACACAAAAACGGGACAATTAAAAATGTAATTTAAGAAAAGTTGATAAATGAAATGTTGATATTAATGTATTTGAACTAAAGATGACGCTAGGATATAAAAGAAATGCATAGTGAACGTTACATGTGTTGTATATACATTGTGGAAAAATATGTAACGATCACAAATCGAGCTTGGATAGCATAGTTGGTATATAATATACTACATATATAATGATGTAAGCGACGTGGCAGCAAGAGAACGCAATAGACGGATATACTGATAGAAAATTACGTCGACTCCGGGCATCGTTCGCTATATAATCAGACAACTCCGGTCTTTGCTACATTTTCTATGCCTCTATCAAACTAAGCCGTATACTTGCTTACTCTTTTGCCTGTCTATATATAAACCAGTGCAAAAATACACAGATAAACCTACGTCTTTCAAGACACATTGTACAGTTCTTCAATCTAGACATACATATTTCCTCACAATATACACTTCTGTTGCTCATAACTTGCCAATTGGTGTGATATTTCCGTAACCACAATTATTTTCTAAATGGAATGTCCACGAAAGGCTAAAACCACCGCAAGATAACGCATATTGGAGAGACTTTGGTTTGCGTAACCGGGCATCCAAGGAGAGAAAAAGAGAGAGAGAGCAACGTGTCAGGCCCGATCGATCGTTGTTGCTGCCGCGACCAAGTGAGGGAGACAGGGAGTATGAGGAAGAAGGGGATGAGAGGAGAATAAAGAGGCGCGAAGAGAGGGGGAGGTACTAACATGTTAGGTTGGCTATATGATCTGGGCTACAGAATCCGGCGCTTTTGGTCACAATATGTTTACTCTCAACAGTAACTGATTATATATATTCAGGTGTCTGGAATTGACTTTAAGTATGACCTAGAGATGATCACACACGCATCAATTGGTATATAACGACTGTATTTGTTTTTCCTGTTAATTCTACCTTTTTGCTTGGAGTATCATCAGGTTATCTTTGAAGAATTTTTCGATGCTTAATGCAAGAACTGGCATGCGCCCCATCAAATCCAGCAGCAGCAGCCCAATGCAGACTCTCTCTCACTCCATCTCACTCTTCACGTCCTCTATCCCTAGTATTCTCGATCGATCGTCCCAGCTCTCGCAAGAGAGCTTATTCACTCCCTCTCCCTTTTATCCTCTATCTCTTTCTCTTGGTATCTCGATATCCGCGGAGCGTCGAAATTAGCCGGCCACTGAGAATTTCAAGAGATCCCCAGACCGTTGCAACGTTGCCATGTAGGTCACTGTCGAGCCCAAGTGAATAATCTCCTTCAAATTGTCTTTCTGTCTTAGGTATATGCTTTGATACTTTTATAATCTTCCGCATCATCATCCAAACAAAAAAACTTTATCTAAACCTCAAGTATATCATGTTGGGTATCTTCTTTATTCCGTCAACAACAGCATAACAATCATCTTTTTTTTTGTTGTTGTCATAATACTCCAGCTTTATTTTTTGTTTGCGTATCAATGAATTGTCCAGGGACGTACCGAGGTGGTAACATCAAGGTGTAACGAATAGAGAAGGAGGACCAGGATCGATACGTTGTTCCTCGGCACGCGACTTCATGCCGCGTCACGCATCAAAAAGTCACTGGTTACCCCCTCAAAGTAGGTTTATTCTCTCTATTTGCCTTGAACGATTCTTCTACATACAATAATGTTTGGTAATAGAAAAAATATTTCGTTAGACATTATAATGATGTATACTATCCAATATATACAACCGGCGATTCGCTCGATGGATCTGCTTCGACCTCGTTAAGAAGATAGTTGCCGCACCTTTAACTCTTCCTTACAATCATCATCTAGCGGTTTTCAAGTTTCTTGAGATACTACTTCATTTTAACATTTATATTCTTTTAAAGAATTCTTATTTTAACAAAAATATTAGACATTTTTAAGTAAATTTAAACTAGGAAGTGATATGTTAATGATGAATACAATGTCAATTTATCTCCTCATTACAGGAATACAATGAGAGTTTTTATGATAAATTTTTGTCCATATAGGATTAGTGTTTTATAAGAGATCTAGTAGATTGAATTTCCGGAAACTTCCGGTCAATACGAGGTTGGAGAAAGTGGTAGAGAGGAATCGTCACACATTGGCAGTCAATGAGGATAGGTTTTAAATCATCATCAACTTGACCAATGTGAAAAGAAGTAGCAATAGCAAAAGGAGTCATAAAGAAGATAATGAAGACCATGATTCTTCAAATTGGCAATAATTATACGGATAGATAGAGACTAGATAAAATTTGATAAAAGAAAAACCAATTCACGAATGAGTATCTCACCCTCGCTCCGAGAAAGCGGGCCTCCAGTAATTCCTGCTTCCTAGGGTCCAGGGTGGCCTGAAAGTGCTCCATCTTGACGCCAGCGCCTGTAACACACACACAACGAGACTTCAGGCTCCATCCTAAATCCCACCTAATGTTCAAAATCCTTTCTAAATGACTACATGAGAGACAGAAGAGACAGATGAGTGGTAAAGTGGATGAGAAATAATATGAAGACAAGAATATGTTAAGAAACATTTTTTTTTCGAGATTGCATTATTTTCTCGAGCTTTTAGTTCTTCAGTGATGCAAGGTAGAGATAGACAAGGATAGAATGAACCTCGGCTCGAAAATCGATACCATGGAACTCGGAAAATTTTCGGCCACTATCGGGTTCACGCCAAATCTGAGGACTCGCCCAACATCCTCATGCACTCAATGTCAATTCCATCATGCAATTAAATCTTCAGCATCTCTAACTATTTTCAAGAACTTAACTAAACCTATATTACTTACAATAGACTTGATTTGTCCAGAAGAGACAATCATAACTGATTATTATTTTTAAGTTCTAATTTAAATTAACCTTTCAACCTTCATGTATGTTTTTAACTTCAATCAATAGCCTAGAAATAGTTCAATAAGATGATAAATAAATATTTTTTACAGGGGCGTGGCAAATCTGTGACGGTAAATTTCGTGTTTAGATCTCAAGTGATTGACTAAGTCTTTAAGTTAATGATATACTAAACCATCCAATTGATATTGTTGAGCCCAACTGATCGTAGTTTTAGAACATGGAGATTGTTGTTGATAGTTTTAAGTATTACAGTAACAATAATATGACAATGGCGGCCTTAATCGATGAAACTGTAGCATTTGAAAGTTTAATACGCCCACGAGGTTGTCCGAACGGTGTTCGTTTCTCCCGTCTTCCTCTCCTCCTCCTCCTCCTCCTCGTCCTCTTCCTTCTCTCTACTCTCCGCGGTAGTATAACTGCGCCGTTCCCAATTCCCTTTCGGCAGCGCCATGATCGCGATTTTGTCGCACGCGCGTTTCGCAAAATATTATAGCCAACAACATTATCATTGTCATCATCATCGTCATTTATATTGTTATCATTATGATGATGAAAATCATCATCATCATTCATGTCATCGTCATCATTACTTAATTATTATCAATATTATGAATTCATTTTTAACTTAGATGATCTTGCTTATTCCTGGCTCTTTAATTATTATTTAGTTTGTTTGTCTGAATGAATATTTTTTTTATTGTTAATTATATTATTAGCTGACCAACTGTTGAATTTTTTTACTCATAATATTTTCATAGATTTCACAGTTCTTTACTGTTAATTGCAATGATAAAAAAATTATTAAGAGTATTCCACGTACTTGAAAAACTTATCAAGTTTTTTTTTTTCTTTTAAAGATGAAAACTTCTTTTCGTTCATTCTGGCGCCATCTTCAGGGTCAATGTGAATGATTCCGATCCGCAGTAACGTGCCAAAAATCTACAAGAATCGATTGATTCTTGTAGAAAACTGTTTTAATTTGACTAAACTTGAGTCATTAAATTCAATGCTAGTTATTTTCATGTACTGAGTCAAAAGAAATATAAGTCAATAAAAAATGTTATTAATAGCTAAATGAAAGTACCACTAAAATCCTGAATGACGACAATTCTTATTGAAAAAAAACTTTAATGAAAATGATTTTTTTTTTAATTTTATTCAAACGATAATTATTACTTTCCTTCAAAGCTATTTAACAGTAGAAGACTCCACCCAAAAAGAGAATAGTACGATAAATCAGATAAAAAGCAACAAAATTTTCTACTGGACCATGTACTTATGTTTCCAGATAAAAGTTTTGAAACAAAAGTTGTCTCTCCTGTCTCTCGTCTTCAACAAAACACCTCTCTAACATGCATATTACTATTTAAATCTAATAAATAAATGAATAAATAAAAAAAAATAGACAATAGAAAAAAACACTCACCACCACCAGAATTCCAGCAATTATCAGTCATCCCTGTGTATCCATCTGCAATGTTGGCACTATTTTACAATTTATTACGTTAATCCTTTTTTATTGTTACAAGTCTTCTTGTTTTGTTTATATAATTTATTGTATCACTGCTAGGAATTTTTTATTCCTAAATGAATACATCACTGATGCACTTGAGAGTAACTCAATGCACATGGTATTCATGTTCAAAATTAAATTAATTCTGCAATACTGCAATTATAGGACACTTAATCACTTTGGCTAACACTTTCAGCACAACACTTGCCTAGAATTTTAAAAAAGTTAGTTATGAAAAAGAACTTTGAGGTTAAACATTGATAAGTGATGCTAGGAGAAATCAACTATCAAATAACCTCAAATTCAATAAAAAACTGTTTCATTTCGATATTTATAATTGAAACAATGTACGTAATAATGGCGAGAACAATTTTTCTTTAATCCAATTACATAAATCCAATTGAAACTTTCATAAAAGACAGGTTATCTTTCACTTAAAATTTAACTCTTTTCATAATTAAATGATAAAATAATTTTCAGAATCGCACCAAATAATTTGATTAAGAACTAGAATACTAGTATAGTAGACTGAAATATTTGGTTAGGTGTCAAGGAGAATGAAAAACGTAAAAATTTCAATACGAAATATTGAAAAAAGTACCTTATCAAACGATTATTTCAAATAAACTTCACTGTTTAATGATTCAAAATGATGAGCATAAATAAAAAATAACGCACTTTTGTTAAATATTAACACTTTTACACTGTGTTCGAAACTTTATTTCTCCACCCTTTTTCTTCTTACTTTAACTCAGCACAATCAATTGCTTCCCTTACGTTCGCGAAAGGAATTGACGAATCTGTGACTGACTCGACGCGTTTTTTGAGGTTACAATTGGACGAATAGAAAGATATTTGTACGATTAGTCGGTGGTTTTTAGACGAAACGACGTCGATTGGGCGAACACAAATGCCGGATAAGCCAGAAGTAGTGAAGAGGAGACGAGGAAACAAGTCCTGACATGTCGTCGTTGTTGGTCCTCTGATGCTCCTTGTGACTCTCACGGTTATCTCTCTTCGTCTCTCTCTTTTTCTTTTTCTCTTTTGTTCGACTGTTCGTTTTGTTACTTGTTTCTAACCACCATGGCGTTTAAGACGAAGAGAATAGAATTTAAAATGAAGAAGAAATAGTAGCAGGTTATGGGAAATAAAAAAGAAAAAAGAGGTCGAATTGATGTTCTCTCGAGAGAAGGAAAAGTTAAATGTCGTGAAGAAATCTCAGTTGGAAAATACACACAATCACACTCACGGATGTTCTCGTTTTCTCGTTAGATCGGACACACGCACGTTAAATTTTCTGTCTTATGTTTTGTGTCTTGTGTCTCTTATCGTCAGTAACAGCAGCAGCAAAGAAAAGGGGAAAAAGTGCTCTCATCTAGAAGATGGCCGCCACCGCCCGCCAGTCGGCGATTTATCCCTTTCTTGCATGGCCACCGCACTCTTGGCCCTCGACACACTGGTACTTCTTGTCTCTTTCCTTGTCTCTCTCTTCTTCTTTCTCTCTCTTTTCTCTCGTCCCCTCGTACGGCCGTTTTATAAACAATGTGCGTTGAAACGACGAAGGAGGCGCGCGCGTGCCAACTCTCTTCTCTTTCTCTTTCTCCCACACGATCACTTGCGAATTTCCGATTTATCTTCTTTCCCACTCACACGGATGCTCTGAAGTTGCTCTTGGTCGTCCTGCTGCTGCAACGCCTCTCTCTTTCTCTCTCTCAAAGTGTTCAACAACGCCAGTCAACAGCTTTTCCAGCCGCTCTTTTCATGGCCAACGACCGATTCGTTTAAATTCTACGTTACTCTATCTACCGTTCATCTTCTTATCTCTTGTGTTTAGAAAATCACGTTCATCTTCACTATTTGTTTTTATTAATTCATAATATCAGTTTTTTCTAAAAACAATATCAACACCAATCGACTACGTACGGTTATTCAGTGTACATGACAGGGTTCACACCCACACGTAAAAGAATGGCCGACACCAGACCAGACCAACTTAAAGCCGATCCAATTTTGTTTTGCGTGCAATAGGTGACGACGGTTACGTCCCAAGCATCATACTACGGCTCTCTTCGTACTCTGCGCGGGGAGGGGACAGTGCAGTCAGAGGGGAAAGACGAAGGGAAAGCAACTTCCATGGATTTCTCAGTCTCTCTTCTCTCCATCAGTTCTCTCTTCTCCTCTCCTGATCTATCCTCTTTACTCACGGATTTTTTTTTCGGCTCACTTTTCCACGTCTGCGTCTCTCGTTATTTTTCCCCTCTCCTGGTATTTCGCTTTTTCTTTTTTATTTTCTCCCTTCTAGTCCCTTGTCTTTTTTTCTTTGTAACTCTCGTCAGAATACGTATACTCCTTACGTCTCTCTTCGACTATTATCGGTAAAGCACGATGTTTATTCGGCAAATCAAACCGACCTTCTATATACCCATTTGCTATGTTCTCCTGGGACAACGTGTTTGATTCGTTGATTCGTCACAACTTACGTTCTCTGATGTAAATTACTGGACATCATTCTTCCTGGGAAATGCTTATTTCTAGGTCACTAAATGTCTTTTTACTTTAACAGTTATTTTTTTCCTCAATCGGCTCATTAAAACATCACCTTTAATATTCCTATTACATTAGCCATTTCAATTTATCTTTTTTAATTCATATTTTATTACCCCTTGATCAATTTTTAACTAAATGGGATTGTTTTTTTTTTCATTTTTCCCTCGACGTGATGATTAAAATTTTGATCAACCATAAAACATAAATATTATAGATATTACTTACTTTGAAAAAATGAATAAAATTATCAATATATTGTCATCAATGAATATTGAAATAAATGACATTTGTATTAATAAGAATAATCAGTATAAATAAATAATTTATTGATAATAATAAAAATGATAATAATAAACAATAAATTTAAGTATAATAATGACTCACAATTATTTAATATAATTTTAATTTAAACATTCATAAAACAATAGAATTCTAAATTTCATCTAAAGTTCGATACTACTTATTACTAAAATATTAAATAACTGCAAGAAATAACATTTTTCTACAACATGAAACATTTACATCTTTCTTTTTTCGTTTGACATATTTATATAATAATTACAAAATAATCTACAAAGAATATGAGATGATCATATTTAATCCATAGCACTCAGAATATGATACAGATTCGCATCATAAAGAGTCACAGACTAACACAACATTATCTCATTGTGTTACGTCTTTTAGTAACATTGGTTTTCATTGTCATGGCATCATATGGAGTTTTACTACTCTATTGCTTTTGTATACAATAATTGATCACTTAATCGATTATTCAACTAATCTTTATAATAGTATAATCAGTAAACAAAAATTTAATTGCTTGTGCTAAGTATAATTAAATAAGAAATCTCTTCAAGTCATATTAAACATACAGATTAAAAAAGTGTCACATTCATACGATCTACGTTTAAATTTGTCAATATTATATATTTCTGCTGCAGCTCTTAAATATTTAATTTAGAAAATCATTATTAGATTGGTACTTTCAATCTAAATTCCATATTGTTTCAACACATTAATTCAACAGTACCCTTTTTTGCATTTAACATAAATTAAATTGGTAAAATATTTTAATGCTTATTTGTTGGTTTATCAATAATTGATTGTTATTCTTGCTGCTATTCAGTTCTTTAAATAAATAATAATTATTAATCCGCCAATACAGTAGTACCTGTACTATCTGTTGGAGTTTCCAGCTCCTTTGAAATAGTTTTTTTATCATTCTCATCTTTCATCTGATCGTCTTCTTCATTCTCATTCGAACTATGACTTTGGTTACTTGCATTGTCATTATTACGTATATCTACTTCTCCTGGTTGTACTGTTGTTAATGTACTCCACCATGTCGCAAAAGCTCCTTTAGCTTGTGAAATAGCTCCACCTATCAAAATATCATTACTGAATAAATATTCGAAATATATTTAAATTAAAAATAAATAATAAGTTATGATCAAAAAATAATCATCATTTACCGACTGCTTTTCCAGTTGTAGCTACTGCTCTACCTGTAGTAGCCATGGCTTGGTTTATTTTCCTTCCTGATTCAGTATTTTGCATTGTGCTGGAAAAACAAAAAATTACGGTCAATTTTTGCCAATTCCTCAGTAATAAATTGAATCAATGAAATTTACTGTGAAAATCGCAGCTTCATGTCTTGAACGGAAAGCTGTCCAGCGAAAGGATGTCCAGGCTCAACATTATTTATCTCCGGTTTCGTGACATTGCTCCATGCTTTATAATTATTGGTCATCTTCCAGGCAGTTACAAAGGCTGCATTAAAATGGTCTGACTGTCGAGAATCCTGTTGCATAGCTGTTCTCAATAGACTAAGAAGATAAACACGAAACTGCGTTCTAATCCATTCATCACCTCCTTCCCAACCTACGCCATCCAGAAAAACATCTCGTCGAGGTTCAGCTACATGTCTCACAACATAATCTGCAAATCTGAGATCTTCGGTCGTTAAATGGAGTTGACGACGTAATTCTGGATCTGTTGCTTCAATTCGTGCACTTTCAACCTTAAAAAATTAATGAATTGATGAGTTAATTACCCTTTCAAAAATAACTTGGATAATTCATTCATTCAATGTTTTTTATACCTCTATTAAAACATCGATGAGCTGTTTTTTTTGTTTGAATAAAACATTTGTTGCTCCCACAATATATCCTCGTACATTTATATCTCCCAGTAGGTCTAGATAAGGCAGAGATAAGTACGGCAAGCAAAGATATCCCTTAAAAATATGTATGTTGATTAGAAAAAGTATTTTTAGTTATGAGATATAAAAATAATATAGTATTCTATAGTATATTCTGTTTCAGAATATATTTATCAAAAATTGTCTTAAACTGATTAATTTAAATACATCAAGAATTATTATTATATTATATAAAAATAATCTGGAAAAATTAATAAAAATAGATAAAATATTCATTTACCTTATTAAATAAATTAAGTGGCAATCCACAAAGTTCTGGATTAACATGAGCTATTTGTGTAATATTCGAAGTAACACGAGCTTCTGATAAAGCATCATTACTACTATCACGAGGTAATACACCATCATTTTCATTCATGGTCAAATTAATAGTGTTTGTACTTTGAACTCGGTGAACATTTTCTGCTACTTTTAATGCATTCTTTTCTTGATTTATCTTTTCTGAATCATAAGAATCTATACAATCTTTCGTTGAATTAGCAGAATTTAATTCTATAATATTCTTGTTATCATTATCAGTTCCATTGTTATTTTTTACCGAAATAGAATCAATACACTTTCCTTCCATTGTTTCGAATGTTTTGTTATCATTAATACATACTAAATTGTCATTAGTTCGATCACTCTGATTAATTGAATGTTGTAAATTGCACTTTTCGGTATCATTAATTTCAATAGGCGTATTGGAATCTGTCCAGGATTCTTCTTCGTCATCATCGAAATTTGGAATGGGCGACATTGGTCTAGATGGTCTGAAGTTAATTATTATAAGTCAAGTTTTTTTTTGCGAATAGATGAGAGAAATTAAAAATTGATTTAATTAATTTACCTAACACATGCAGCTTTTCGTAGGCCACTTTCTATCATTCCTGGATGTAAAGATAATAAAGTAAGTATCGCAGCACAAAGTGGTTGAACAGGAGACTGATAAAATACAACTTTTTTTTCGAGTAAGAGAAGTTTAAACAGCAACAAAGCTTTATGGCGGAATTGTAAAATGAAATCTCTTGCTGAAAGTCCTAAAAATTTATATGTATATCATTAATTAATAAATTGATATTAATGAATTGCAATATAAACATTTATAATAAAGCTAAAATGTCTTTACCAACAAATACTTGAGGTGGTATTTGACTATCAGCACTCATGCAAGCATTTAAATGTCTAAAAGTGTCCTCTAATAATGAAACTTTACTAAAATCTCCTTCTTCAAAATAAGCATGAGTTATTAGAGCCATTTTCACTTGAATATGGCCGTAAAGAGGTAAAGTACTTAACACACATACTGATTTTTGTACAGTTCCTCGAGTCATATCAGAAGTTCGATTTTTTAATTTCTAAAAAATAAATTTTTTTATTACTAATCAATTATAAAAAAAATTATCATCATAATATGAAAGTATCTTTAAGATAATTATATGGTGATTCACCTCGACAGGAATTTGTCTGAAACAGGAAACTCCGTAGACAGTTTTTTTTGAATCGGTGATACTCGGTAAATGAAAATAAACAGTATCTTCATCATAATTATGAGATCCATCGGGTAATGCTAATGTAGGAAGATATTTCCAACCAAGTGGACACTCATTTGGAGCACCCGGAACTAAAGGAGGAAATGAATATTCAACCTGTAAATATAATTTTTATTTTTAAAATAACTATTTAGTATTTCACTCAAATAAATCAATGTTATATTATTCAATTAAGGGATGAACCTACCTGACAGCCTTTTTTATGGTGAAAACCCACGACAATGACATGAAGAATCGGTCCAGTAGATTCAGCCATTGTTATGATTATCAATTATTTATTGGTTATAATTGATAGTATACATCAACGAATCAATAATACATTTAAAAACACCATTTTGATTACGAAATTGATAGGAATAATGACATCTCACTATCAACGGAACTTGTGTCTTTTCTGATGGCTGAGAAGTTGACATGCGCCATGATCAACTTGTATACTAATACTGTGGCCTTCTGTCAAGCGCCTACACATGGATTAAGCTTAATGCTCTTATTGTGAGGTTATCTTTTGATAAAAATAAATTTTACTATCGAAATCCTATTGAAAATGATATAAAATTAATAAAAATAACCAATACTATATATAATTTTACGAGAAACAAATAAAACTAAATATTTCTTTAAAAATTTTAAAATTAATACTTTAGTGCGCTCTGTTTTACTGTAGATGGCACTTAAGGTAATATTTTTCGCGGAAAAATTTGACAGTTTATTATTAAAATTATTAACTGGTGTGTAAATTGTTTCATAGCAATGTTTTATAAATTATAAAATAAATGTTAAAATATAATTGTAGAAACTATAAATAAAATGTACAATAAAATACTGTTATAACGAAAAAAATATTATTTATTATTTTAGCCAAGAAAACGAAATATTTACAATGAAATGATTTTTGCATGAATTTACAAAATTGTTAATGAATTGAATATTTCCAATACATAATTTGCATAGTCTGATTATCCTGTATCACAGTAGTCGGGGTCAATTAAGAGAGTTTACATAATTGTATAACAATCATCATATTAATTATTAATATCAATAGTTTTCAATTTTTAGCTTGTGATAATTTAAATAATGAGTTCACTTAAAAATTATAAATTGCAATGAACAGAACTTAAGCCAAGATTCTAGTTTGGCTGAATTACATTTTCTCTAAGAAGAGAATCCATTCTCTTATTTTTTTATAATTTAAATTGTGTAACTCAACGCCTCTCTTCAATGTGACATCTTCAAGATTACACATTTAATAAGGACTTAAAGTCCTGAGCCGGTTGATCGGGATCGTCCAAGATTAACTGCTCACTGTTGAAGACCTCATAGTCATTTCTCCCCGCACCAGTGACGGATAATTATCGAGGAGATTATGTGAAAGATACATTGAAATGTTGATGGAAATATAATTTTAACCTTGCTACCTCCGTACATTAAATCCTCGAGTTCCGTCCGGTCCCAAAGGCATTCGAAGAACTCGATTTTGACTATTATTACTTTGAGTTGGACTACTGGAAGCACTTTGATCATTAATAAATTTTTGGTGAATTTTGTTTATCTCATGAGATGATTTCTCTTCCGGACTCTTTTCCTCTCCTAAAATCCTTTTTCGAGCTTCAGCATATTCTTGCTCCCTCTAAAAATAAAAACGATCTAAAGGTGTTTAACTGTTTCTGACGTTAAATATTATATTAACATTGAATCGTTCTTAATAGTAGATCAGTATGAAAGCTGATAATTTTATCGATTACAATCAAATTTTATAGACCAATTACCTGTTTCAACGATTTAATAGGCTGTTTTGGTTTATCACCATTGGTTATTTGACCATCACCATTACCTCGAGATTCTCCTTGAGGCCTTTTTAGTATTTTCACTGTCGGTTTAGGTGGTACATATTGAGATCTTACAGAATCTTCTCCCAATATTATCATTCTTCCGTTCGTATTTGAATTTCCAATTACCCTGAACATCAAAATTTCATAACACTTACATTTAATTTTTTTCTATCTAAAGAGTACAATGATACATTCTTAAATAATAAATGATTTTTATTTCACAAAGAAAGTTAAAGGAAATTAATAGTAAATACTTCGATGATAAATGAATCAATTAGTATAAATAAAATGGAAGCATAAATGAAAGTTCCATTTAAAGGTTAATATTTAAAAACTCACTTAGTGGTTGGTCTTTCTTCTAAACTATCTAAAGCATTTAATTGCAGAGCATTGAGGTTCCTGTCAAGTATCTGAAAAAAATTATAAGGTCGCTTATTATTACCTTGAAATTGGGATAAAATTAACTTGACACAAATGTTACAAATAAATCTAACCAATAAAGTGAGTCACTTAAGAAATCAACATAAGGTTAGAAAAAAATATAAATAATTTTCAATACTATCGATAGAAGAGGAATAATATTATATAATTTCGATGATAAAAAATAAAAAATTTTGTTAAAAGAAATTTCTAATTTAAGAACTCACTCCAGATGCCTCCATCTCCTCCCAAGTCTCAAAAACTTCGTCGGCAGTCGACATTGTGGAAATATTCTCTCGAACAACAGTTTTGCCCTTCAGTCTTATTACTGAGATTGCGTGATTATAAATTACTTTCAATCAGTTAAATAAACTTTGAACGTTTTATATATATTTAACCAATTAATTGTTTTTTCAACAATGAAAAATGAGCAGTTTTATAGCAAAATATAGGATAGCCTCTCTTTCTCTAACTTTCTTCGTGGCCTGAATTCATCTACATACATTCATTCTTATATACGTGTATCCATGTGTATATATATTTCATGACGATCTAACTCCTCTATACATATAGATACATGTATATACAGTCGTGTCGAGTTATTCAAATGCACGCATGCGTCACGCAGCTTCTAATCTATTTCCCTTATTTCTTTACAATTTCTAAACATTAATAATAAAAAATTATCAATATATGTCGTAGTTGGGTTGAAATGTATCAAGACCCTCGAAATCTATAATAGTTGCAACTTTTTCTTTACTTACAACGTTAAAATCTTTACAGTTTTAATCATTACTCCAAAATTTTTAGGCATATTATTTTAATGAATGATTTCACTTAAAATTTTGATACTTTATAGTTTGATTACAGCAAATTTTTGGAAAATTAACACGAAAATTATACTAGTCTATTTTAATGTTCAATCTATAATAATATTCACTAATAAAATGTTCATACATTAAATAATCATGGTTTTTTATTAATAAATAACTCACTCAATTGTCATCTGTTAAAGCAAATGATTTCCCAAAAGGTTTTTAAATGCATGTTCATGACGTAAATATATAATTGTTTTATCCGCAAATCAACATTTGTAATTAATTTTTCGTCCTTTTTGTTATTTAAATGAAATTATTTTTCAATAATCTTGGGTGGAATTTTATTCAATAAAAAATTGGGTTAAGTTTTAAATATTTTCAATAAGTTTTTTTAAAAATAAGTTAACACCAGCTGTAATTAATAATGATGACGAATTTTCACTCTATTATTATTAACTTATTGCACCTCAATATTATTAATATTATTATTGATTTATAATTCTATTTTACTTTATTATTTTTTTATCACTTTGTCGAAAATAGTACATAAAACAAATATTTGCTGTGATATCCAATGATACAGATTACAGTAGAAATAGTTTTGCAATTTATCACAGATGCCCTCAGTAAAAATTGTCGATTTGTCGAACTACCTTTTTATCTTGCGCACAAGTACTGAACTTCTATCTCAACGTCTGTCTTCTAGAGTTTTGTCGATCATTGTAACATTTCAGATAGTCATTTACACTGTTAAAAATATTAATTACTAGTAATCTTAATAATATCATAATATAAATACATATTCTAAAAAATAGATAAGAAATGACCACTTTGGAGGATAAATCAATATGGGAAGATCGCGAGGTAAGAAAACATTTTCTTTTTCTTTATTAATAATGATTAGGTTATGAACTGTAAGTGACAAGTCATTTTTTATACTTCTTATAAAATATATGTTTTTTATTTTTGTCTTTTTACTAAATGCTTGTTTTTGACTTTCTAGGAAACTCTTGGAGATGAAGTTTTAAGAATGTCAACTGAAGAAATAGTATCTCGTACTCGTTTATTAGACAATGAAATAAAAATAATGAAAAGTGAAGTAATGCGTATCTCTCATGAACTTCAGGCACAAAATGATAAAATAAAAGAAAATACAGAAAAAATAAAAGTAAATAAAACACTTCCTTACTTAGTTTCCAATGTAATTGAACTATTAGACGTTGATCCTCAAGATATGGGTGAAGAAGATGGGGCAGTTGTTGATTTAGATGCACAAAGAAAAGGAAAATGTGCTGTTATTAAAACCTCAACTCGTCAAACATATTTTCTACCAGCTATTGGCTTAGTTGATGCTGATTCATTGAAACCAGGTGATTTGGTAGGAGTAAATAAAGATAGCTATTTAGTTTTAGAGACCTTACCGGCTGAATATGATGCAAGAGTCAAAGCGATGGAAGTTGATGAGCGTCCAACTGAACAATATTCAGATATTGGAGGTCTTGATAAACAGATTCAGGAGTTGATCGAAGCAGTTGTATTACCCATGACTCACAAGGAGAAATTCGAAAATCTTGGTATCCAACCACCGAAAGGTGTTTTGTTATATGGACCTCCTGGAACGGGAAAAACATTACTAGCAAGAGCTTGTGCAGCTCAAACAAAATCAACATTTTTGAAATTAGCCGGACCCCAACTAGTTCAAATGTTTATTGGAGATGGTGCTAAATTGGTTAGAGATGCATTCTCTCTAGCTAAAGAAAAAGCACCAGCAATTATTTTCATTGATGAATTGGATGCAATTGGTACGAAACGTTTTGACTCTGAAAAAGCCGGTGATCGAGAGGTTCAACGTACTATGTTGGAGCTATTAAATCAATTAGATGGTTTTAGTTCAACTGCTGATATCAAAGTTATTGCTGCAACAAATCGAGTAGATATTCTAGATCCTGCATTGTTGAGATCTGGACGTTTAGATCGTAAAATTGAATTTCCACATCCTAATGAAGAAGCCCGAGCTCGCATCATGCAAATTCATTCACGAAAAATGAATATGTCACCTGATGTTAATTTTGAAGAATTATCACGATCAACTGATGACTTTAATGGTGCGCAATGTAAAGCAGTGTGTGTAGAAGCTGTAAGTAATTTGTAATTCATTTATTTAATCACTGCATTGATTTTTTCTTCATAATGTTTATTATTTTATATAGGGCATGATTGCATTGAGGCGTAACGCTACTGCAGTAACTCATGAAGATCTAATGGAGGCAATTAATGAAGTGCAGGCGAAGAAAAAGGCTAATCTTAATTACTATGCATAAATTTACTTTTATTATCATTTATTAAGTATTTTTTTCATACAAATAACAAAAAATGTATTAAGATTGTCATCAATATTGACAAATACGAAATATACCATTACTCATGAAAATTATTATTGATCATTTAATTATGAATTCATATATATATATATAAATACTCAGCCAATTGTTTATTGAAAGTAAGGTAGGGTTTGATTATTGACAAAAAAAAAATGTATATTCCCAATTAATTTTTAGTTAATTTCATCGTCTTCTATGACTCCTTTTCTTGACTCTGAAAAAAGTAATTGCAAATTTTGAAAATATTGAAATTATCCTTCTTTTTTATGCAATAAGTAATTAGCTGTCTTACTTTTTTGGTCCTTTCACGAAACACCAGTCAACTGATATAGGTTGTCCTAATATTTCGGTACCATTTAAAGCATCTTTAGCAGCCTGAGCCTCTTTAAAAGTTTCATATTCTACTAGAGCGTATCCTTTCAGAAATCCTGTTCTTCTGTCCAAGTTTAGATGTAAATTTTTTATTTGACCAAACTCTGAAAACTTATCTTGAATATCATCTTCCTGTGCTTCTTCGTGAACTGAGTTTATAAACAAAATCCATCCTTCAACGGCTACAGAAAAGAAAAAAAATGATTATAATCCAAGAAAAATTATAAATTGTTTTGGCGTAATTTTTTCACGGATTATAATTTACTTACATCGTTGTGGACCTGGTTCGGCATCATCTTCAACAACATTCATTGACTCATAATGACCAACATCTTCGCGTGTGGAAACTAATTCTGCTCCATGTCCTCGCCCTTTTCTTTTCTTTGCTTTTTCTTTTAGCCGTGCAATTCCCTCTAGAATATATCAGATAATTAAAATTGTTCATAACTTATTGATATTGATGTTGTTGAACATTATTGTCGAATATAGGTTAAGTATTAAAAAATAAAAATTTATATTCGCATGTGTGAATAGTAATTGAATATACATACGATCTCCTTCATCATCTACTTCAAATTCCTCTGCATTATCAATATCCAGCACATCAGCCATTTTCAACGATAAATAATTATTTATTTGATTACACCAAAAACAAATCTGACAAATAAAAATATGCGTCTAATGAAATGGGCGCTTGCATCCTTTTTTCTAGATGTTGATAAAGTAAAATCCTACGTAATTCATTCTGTTATATCCAACTTCCCATCTTGTTTTGCTTCTGACAGAGTTGGGTGAACAAACAATGCTGAAACATGGCTGGTCGATGTAAACTTATAGGAAATTTTTAATTTTAGTGAAACATGGCTTCAATACGCCAGAATCTGTCTTCAATGCCCACTGATTTTCGCGACACCTATAACTTAAATGAGTCACTTTTTTACAGTTAAATAGGTGTCGCATTGATCACTATTGGCGAAAAGTTTGATGTAAATGGAATAATTTTTTAATTGTTTACTGCAATATTAAAAAAAAAGGATTTTTGTTAATATATATTCCTACATGAGTTTTATACCAAACAAATTTTTACATTAGAAAAAATAAGTACTGAACTTATTCTCTAGATGCATACGCTCATGAAAATAAAATGTAATTACAAGCCATACGATTGGTTGAATCATTGAGTTTGCGGAAATTTTCAAAATACATTTCAAGCGATGCAGCCCTTTTTCTCTATGAATACCTATAAATGCGCCTTACCGCTAGTCCTTAACACATGGTAGATACACCTATGTGTACAATTTTATGGTCTTTATTGACTTTAGTATAATTCATGTTAAAATAAAATAAAATTCATCAACTCTACAGAAACAGAGTTCAATAACTGTTACTTATAAAAGATAAATAATACGCAGTTGTTTTAAATAGCGATGTGATTACTGAAATAAAGTAAAATTCATAAGTTTTATTACTCAATTAAGTGTAAATAATTACTTTATTTCTGATATAAAAATTTGTTCACTGGTATATACATTGAAAAAAAGTTGAAAAAATGGTCAAATTCATTTGTATAAAACCAGCCGAATATAAATTAGCCACCTCTCAATTTACCATCCTTTATGGTCAACATGAATGTCCATTTGGAAAATGTTTAATTGCAGTTACATCATCTGAAAAAGCTGTATGCCATCTAAGATTTGTTGATAATGATTTAAAAGAACGTATTGAAACTCTCAAATCAGAATGGCCAGGTGCTAAATTTATTGAAGAAACTAAAGAATCGGAAAAAGCTGTAAAAAGAGTGTTTTCATATAAAGACATGGAAAATGTAACAGTTTACTTGAAAGGAACTGATTTTCAGTTGCAAGTATTAAAGGCTCTGGTGAAATTACCAAAAGGTAAAACTGTTGGATATGAGTATGTTGCTGAATTAATTAATAATCCAAAGGCTATTCGAGCAATTGCAAAAACTATAAATTCCAACCAAATTGCATTCATTATTCCTTGTCATCGTGTACTGTCTAAATCTGGACCTCCAAAGACTTGCTGGCGTACTGATAAACGTGATATTATGTTGGAGTATGAAAGAAAGCTATATGGCATTGATGACAAAGAAAAAGATTAGTATTAATTATTTATGTTTATAACAAAAGAAATACTGTAAAAGTTCATTGATATTTTTCTAAGAAAAAGATGACTGTCAGTTTTTATCAACGAAGCTATTAAAAATACTCATATAATTTTCATGCTATAATTTATATATTAATCATAATATTACGAATTAATATTAAACAATTTTAAATATAAGAAAAACATCATAGGAAACAAATTCATATATAATATTGTAGCAAAAGCAATGTTCATTCATGTGTTTATATTTTTATTGTACATTTATATTATACAATTTTTTTAATTTTATAATCTTTATAAATGGCATTAAAAATTTCTCATAAATAATAACAATAAAAAATTCAATGTTATTAAATGTTATAATAATAGTAACAATAAATAACCTGAAAATGGCGGGAAATATGACTCATTCATTGTTATTCTTAAAATTCCCATGAGAGGGCAACCTTGAAAATCTCTCAACAATTGAGGTTATGTTGCGTTAATGTTTATTTGAGAAACAAATATCAACTCAGAATAATAATAATGATTTTTAACTTTCGCCTTTAAGTAACTTAAATTACATATATCATTCATCAAATTTAAAAATTAAATCGATAATTATCATATGGAGTTTTACGATTTATCAGGTAAGTAATCTTATATACAATAATACAGTTGTTATGTTTATCAATATCAAAGTATCTTTTATTTTGAATGATTCACAGGAATAATTACAAATAAGAGGTATTTCAAACGAAATTTATAATATGGATAAGAAAAATACATTAATTCAAAAAGAACAATTTAATACTCTGAAATCAAAAATTACCATCAAATTAATTGGGGATGCTAATGATTTATCAGAACTAGTAAGTGATATAAATTCAGAATATCACCTTAATGCCGAATTCAATAAACAAGCACCGGTAAAAACAAAAAGTGAATTGAATTTTGAACCATCGAAAAAAAAATTAAAAATGAAAGAAGAAATTTTAGCACAACGTGTAGTTTTAGTTGTGCCAAAAAATTCATCTTTGAATTATCCAAGTCCTAAACATGAAAATAAATTGACTTCTATTGAAAATCAAAAAAGAAATTTTGAAACCAGTTTGCAACTTCAAGATCCAAAAATAAAAAATTATCAGCAAAATAATAATTCATGTACCCAAAATACAGTTGAAGATGACAGTAAAAAAAATCTATCCATGAATGGTGATAAAGACACAAATTCAGACAGAAAAAAATTGCTAGATTTAACTGTAAATTTTAGAGAAGGAATGAAAAAGTATAAAAATGAGCATAAAAAACTTAATCATAATATTGACAATGTAAATTTGAAACAGGTGACTGACTCTCAACCCTTATCCAAGCAACTGAATGAAGAAACAAATCGAAGTTTTGAATCTGTCTGTGACATAAATAAAGTACAAACAATCGAAAAGCCTTTCCAATCAGAGGATTCTTTAACAAAACCTTTAAAGAGAAAATTTAGTGTAGCACAAAATATTATACATTCCAACATATCAACACAAAAGTTGAAAAATACCTTGCAACCAGTACCAAAAAGAAATCCAACTCAAGATACGTTCATTTTGAATCGTTTAACTCCATTGAAAATATTACATTCACCAATCGTGTTAAGAAAGAGTCATCCAACAAACTATTTTAAACAAAATAAACTTTCAAAGGAAGAAAAAAAAGCTACTACGAATACTGATTCTGTACATGCTAAAACTATGGAAGATAACACATCATCCTCTTCATTATTTAACAGTCACATAGAAACAACGGATTCTTCTACAGAAAGCAAACTCGCTAATATTGCGACCGAGAATCAATCATCTAAAGATATAAAAACGAATAATTCCCTGCTTCATAAAACGAATTTCGATTCAAGTCTTAATCCACTTGAAACAAGCAAAACAACTACAGAGTTATCTTTACCAGAAAAAAACAGTATTACTACTAAAGATCAAAAACAACCACCGAAGAACACGAAAGTCGATATTTCATTGCATACGTATTCTCTAAATTCAAAGTTATCAGAGTCAAATGCAGAAGTGGAATCTAAAATCCAACAAACAATTGTTCCTTCGGAAGCCATAAATAGTAAAACAATTCAACCTATACTTGATAAAAAGGAGGAAAGTTTATCGCAGAAGTTGAACAATCATGAGTGCACAAATAACTTGAAAACCCCTGAAAATAAAAAATATTGTGTATCAATAAGCCCGAACAAAATACTTCATGAAACTTGCAACAAAAAACAGCTTATCAAATCGCCGCAGGTTAAGGTAAATGGTCTCATGATTCGAGCACCAGATCGGAATTTATTAAATAATCCAGCATTGAAAGAAAAAATTCAAGAATTTCGACTATCCAATAAACCTTTCGAAAAAGTGTCTTCTATACTCATTAAAAATACACAACATGAATCGAAAGAACAGAAAAATAACTCTGTAACATTACCAGAAGTATCAGAAAGTTTGGTATCTACAACAACAGTAGAATCTGGCCAGTCTGATAAAAACATAAAAGATTGTCAATGTGAACAACTTCGTCAAGAAGTCAATGAGCAATGGAAAATAATAACAAGTTTAAGATCACGTATAAATAAATCACTAAATACGAGTCAAAAGGAATGCGACTCGTTTATTGAAGAAAAAAGTCAAACAATAAATGATGAACATATATTGGAAATGTTAGTAAAAGAATTAGAAGAAACAAATAGAAAAATAACGGAAAATTTAAGAAGGGAACAAATACGTAACAAGAAATTAAAATTAACTTTAAAACATAAAAATATCCGTATAAAGCAACTTGAAAGTAAACTAAAAACAGTGTCAAAAATTTTTGAGGAAACCGAAAAAAGTGTAGTTTGTTTAAGAAATCTAATGCAATCATCAAATGGAATAACACATTCAATTTTATCACAAAACAATATTTATAAAAGATAGATTTAAAGATATATAGTGTATATGATTTAAAATGAAATTATTATAAATAATTCTTTCAAAAGTTAATTCAGTTTATTCAGAAAATAAATATATACTTATTATATTTTATGAGCTAATTTAGAATAAGAATGATAAAATTGAACGAATGTTTTAAAATATTACAATGATGACAACCATGTTAATATTAAATATTTAATTTTAATAAGGTGTTATTTGATAATTTTTTACATAAACAATAAAGAAATTAAATGTTTTTGTACAAAAGTTTTTAATTGAAGTATTGTTTCTAATTCTTTTGTGTTAAATTAGTTCTATTACTAATGCATTCACACCAAGGCGTCAATGATTTATCACAAATGAGTGCAATATTTAATAATGTCAAATGAGTATTGGAGATAGTCATATTTACTACTTCATCAATTTTATAAGAGACATTATTCAATCCTGTTTGTCTATCACGTTTCCTTGTCGCATCTCGTTGATTGAAGCATTTCGCCATATCTCTCTTTCTATGATTTTTATCGTGAATATGTCTAGAACATAGAAATGGAATGTTAAATTATTTAATGTTTTTATATTTTCATGTATCATTCAATATATTTATTTTCTATAGATTACCGTTCATTATTCAACTATAAATATTTTTAAAAATCTTACTTGAATGTATTATGAATTCCAGTTGATATATTTTTAGGCCTGTAAACTTTCAAATTAGCTTCTTTCAGTCTTACATAAAATTCATCGTCTTCCAAACCCCATCCCCAATATTTGTTAGACATGCCATTAACAATTATGAAATGATCTCTATAAAATAGGAAAAAATTTAAATACATACATAAGAGATAAGTTTTGAACAATTTATCAAGTGATATGAACCTCTTTATGAGTAGAATTCCACCTATAAATGTTGGGTAGTGATATCGAGGGTGTAAATCTGGAGAAGATATGTGAAAAGGCCCAGTATCCGGATATTCATAAGATAAATTATCGTTGATTGGCAGTAAATCTACGTCGTGCATGGCAACATAGTCAAAATTTTTGTTAACATAAATGAAGCCTACGTTAATAAGTGATGCTCTATTAAATCTAAACTTATCTGTCTGAAGAAATAAAAGAAGAATATAATTATTAGTAACACTTTCAATTATTTTCAATTTATTGTATTCATATATATATATTGTTTATAAATTGTTACCTGGTGTAATATAAATATATGATAATTTATATTTTGTTTATCGAGAAATTTTTTCATGTGAGGTGCAAATGTTAGAAGTTCTTCAAACCTATCCCGGAATGGCACTAAAATAGCAAGTTTATGTTCTGATTTTTTCCAAATGCTCGATTCAGTATTGGGTAGATTTTTTGAGTTATTATCTTTTGCATTACATACACATTCATCTAAAAATATTTTATTATGAATTAATATAAATATTTAATAACTGACAATAAATTTCGTTCATATTTATTACCTGTACTAATAGGTAGAATACTTATGATACAAGTGAAAAAGAAAGAAACAAAAATACTAATCAATAAACATTTTATTACAATTTTTTGCCAATAATTGTGCATGATTAAAATTTCAAAATTGTTGTTTTATTATTTAAAATGCCAAAATTATCATAGTGACTTAGTTGAAATATTTTTCAAGGTTTTTTGACGATGATTAATCAATTATTTTTAACTTATAACTTCAATTTAAACATTAAATAAGCTTATATATTGTGCTTATCAATTTAAAATTTTAGATGCCATTATTATAGCTACTACTAAATTTTTTTTCTAATGTCATTACGTATTGTCAATTTTTTGTCAAAAATAAATAACTGATTATCCACATAATTTTGTTAAAAATAAATATTTTCATCTAAATTACACAACATAACCTCTTAAAAGTATTACTTTATTTTCGTAATTTAGATAATTAAATTCACTAAAAGACACTTAATTATAACTAATACTCATTTTTTGATAAATAATATCACAAAATTTATATTATCCTTTTATCAAGTTATAATAAAACCGAAACTACAACTGTGTATGAATGTTTGTCGTTAAGTAATGTGCCATTGTTCCGATAACATCGACATAAATTTTGTCGGTGGTCAGTATTATTTTCGGCCACTGCCATACCCAGGAAATAAATAATCAAGTATTGATGCAAGAGGTTTGTTAATCTCCATCAAAAAATTCTCTCCTAAAGGATGACGACAAATCGGACAACAATAAACACTAGCTTTAAAGCTCCTTTTCAAACACGTTTGACAGATGTTATGAGAACATGGAGTCGTTGTAGGTTTCCAAACAATTTCTTGACAACAAACACACGTGAATCTGGACATAAGTACAAAAAGAAATTGTTTATTAATAAAATAAAATTTATTAAAGAAAATTCGTTAATTTTAAATTTTACCTGTCAGCAATATTTTCAATAAAAGTAATTTTTCCTTTTGTAACAAAAGAACAACAATCTTTCCAAAGTTTATTATTTAATTTATCCATTTTTATTAACTCCACTAATTCCTTTTCCAATTCATAAATTGTTGATTTGTTGCGTTTAGTTGATTGTTCGCTTATTTCTTTATTCTCTTCATCATCATCTGTTCTTTTACGCTTTGAAATATTAATTTTATTTACTTGTGGATGTTTTTTATTTATTTTTTCATTTATATCTTTCATTGGAGATATTTTGTTAGGTGAATTATAATCGATCATTTTCAATCCTAATGATTCAATTCTTAATTTACCTTCTGGAGTCCAAGGAGCAGGAATTGGATCATCTCTTCTCAAGAGATATCTCCAAATTTTAAAACCACTTTTTCCTTTTTCTGGAAAATATTTTACAACCTTATATATACCATCATATCTAAATCCCTGTTCAGGTGCATATTTTGCTGCTTGCTTATGTTTCCTCATTTTTGCAGCTCTTATTACTCGAACTGGAAATCCTTCACGCCAATTAGTTGCACTTGCACCTTCAATATCATTAAATTCAGCGTTACAATTTAGTGCAAGAGCTTTATTCATTTTTGTTAATGTTTGATCGCTACTTTGAGCAGCAGTTCGTTTGTTGCCTGAAAGAATCATTTTAATATATTAAAAGCCAAGTTCTAAATATATAAAATATATTTTAATTAAAAATATTGGAATATTTACCTGACAGATTTCTACCACCTGAGCCAGTATAAATAAATTCATTACCATTGTCTACATCATCTTCATATCCACCTGATAACACCAATGAATATGCACATTCACTTTCACGTCCATGAATACCAGCCACATGAGGACGATGTACTCCAGCTTCTGAAACCTGGTACTTATTATTGTAGTAATCTTACAATTAAAATGTTTAAACCATTATTAATAGTACAAATACCTGCAATCGATATTTCCAACTCATTCCAACTTCGATTCCAGGCACTGGACCTTTATGAGTTATTGGTACTATTGTACATTCTTTTATTCGCCCCATACATGTCATTCCTCGACCCCAATCTTTTTGACCTTTTTTAAGTTCAGTCTTTATCTTTATTTTACTAGGTCTTAGTTTTTCTCCAGCCTAAAAAAGAAAAAATCTCTGAGTAATTAATTCTTTTTATTACTTTCACTTTCTTTACTTACTTTAATGACAAGATTTTCATCAATTTTACATTTAGGACAATACCAATCGTCTTGCGGAATTTTTTCAAGAGAAGGAACTAAACATGAAATATGATAAGCTTTATCGCATTCATCACATAAAATTATTTTCCGGGGATTTTGTTTCCCGGAACAAATATTACAACCACATTCTCGACATAATTTAGTATTGTCATCCATGCAAATTTTGCATGTTATAAATAATCGTCTGGGATTCGAATTAATTTGATTGTTTGATATATTCATGGGATTTTCGATTAGAAAAATTTCATTTTTTGGATTCACAGTGCAATTTTTTATTGTTGTAGCATTTACTCCACTGAGGAAGAGAAAAAAAAATAGAAAAAATATTTACTTTTACCAAATATTATCAAAAATTCAAATATAATTCATTCATATTAAATGATCAGTTCTTAGTACCTTCCAACGTGAAGAATTCCAGAAAGCTGAATCCCTGACTTATTTTTTCTTATTTTCTTCACAGTAAAGTCATACCAATATCCATCCTCACTTGGATTTTCTATATTATAATTAATCATTACTTTCATCCCAGATTTTACTTTATCAGCTGGAATAAGTCTTCTGGCCCGGGGCCTTATCATATTTTCGTGAACATCAAAAAGTTCATCATCTGCCAAAAATACCCATTGAACACGATAAACTAAACAACTGTTAGCTTTAGAATGAAAAATATTCTTGATTGTAGCTTCGAACCATGCACCGTTTGTTTCGTCAATACAATCAAGAGGATCTCCAATTTTATACAAACAACTTGTTGCTTCGTCTAGATCACTAGATAGTTTATCTTTAAATTCCGAACCACAGCTGTTGCTTTCTTGAGCAGCAATATTCATTTCTTCAGTATACAATGCATTATGAGTTTGAAGAGATGAATTAGTAGGTCTATTTTCACAGTTTTTTAATGGAATTAATAACTGTACAACATCTTGATAATTTAATTTGTAATCACAGATTCTATATCCATCTTCTAAACGTTTTCCTCGATAGTATAACTGAATTACAGATGTCTCAGTCCTGAATTTATTAGCTACATTAATCTAAAATTATTAAAAAATAAATTAATTAATTAAAATTTTAAATATTAATGTGAAAATTTAAAAAATACCTTGAAATCTTCAATAGTCATAAGTTTAGAGATCTCCAAATTCTTTTCTAATTTTCCATCAATAGTTCGAACCTTTATCAACATTTTGGTAGTTTTTTATTTATGCAAACAGGGAGGTAAACAATGATAAGTGAAACCTGAAATTTCTTATAAAAAAACTAACGTACAAATACAATGAAAATTTTCAAAACATAACCTTCTTTCTACCTTTATTCTAGTGAATTTCTATAAAAAATGAACTACTTTATTACTCATAGTAGATTAAAATAAATAATATTGCTAGAAATACTATTTAAACTATGATAAATATTTCTATAGATCAAGAGTAATTATAAATGCAATGATAAACCATCACTATTCAATTACATACGTTTGTTTGTAAACAACATTAACTTGATTCCCGCCAAATCATTAATAGAAGCTTGGGTAGTTTATTTGCTTCATTGACCAATTTCTCAAAAATAACTATTTATTTTACTATTAGTTAAACTTAATAAAATAATTATAATTTAAAGGTTAATAAAAAAATTAATACAATAACTTTTAATTACTAAACAGGTTTATTAGTAAAAAAAATGTTAAAATTAATAAAATTACATGAAAATCACCTTTTATTTATTTACAGGTGTTTTATCTTTACACTATAATATCGAATTTTAACTGACAATTATAAAAAAAGTAAATTAAACTAGTGGATCTATCAGTTGTTACTACTACATAACAATTCTAATAATTAAACAATTTAGTTATACACTTAAAAGATCAATTGTGTATAATTTGAATTTTCTTTTTACTTTCTTTTCTATATTCATTACACATATCAATAAAATAAAAATTATCTTCCACTTGAGACAAATTCAGTAAATGCTATCTGACATCTAATCATATAAAAAATGACAATATGAATTCTTAAATAATTATGTAAGCTCAAGATTATGAAGTGAAATAATATATTCACTTAGTAAATCGGAGATCAAAGTATTTTACTCCACAAGAAAAAAAAAATGATAAATGGGACAATGAAACTATTTAAATATGGGGAAGCATTATGAAGTTGATTCTTACAAATTTTCTCTTAAGTTTTAACATGAAATAGTATCTAGTCTCTCTAGAAAGTTGATTATCCAAAAATATTTATATTTAACGGACTTATTATAACTATTTTTTTTTAATATTTGTAATCATCATTGTTATTATTACAATATCATACTTAAACGATATTATTTCACATGATAATACACCATTTTTTTGGCTCTGTTGTTTCATTTATATTAATCGTGCTATCATCGATGTTAGTTTTGTTATCGAGATTCAGATTGAGTTCATTAGTATTTGATGCAGGGACTTGTTCAGGCCTTCGCCAATATTTTAAGTAGTTCCAAGAGAAGTTCAAAAAGTTGTACCCTTCATCAACTTTAACTTTTTTTGTCGATGGTTCAGTGTCAGCTACTCGTTTTCGTTTCCTTTCAAGGCGACTGCTGTTAAAGAGAGGTGAGTCGAAATGTTCTCCATAGATTGATCGTTCCTGAGAAACTGAAATCCGTGATGTGTTAACGAATAGGGAATCGTTTGGAGACATTCTACGTTCCCTCACTGTTATATTCCTTAAGCGACCTAACGATGTACGTCCAGATATTCCTCGTAATGTTCTTCCGAATGATTGATCCTTGAAGTTTTCTGTCATGCTGGCATTTGGATCTGTTGTATCAAATAATTTTGAATTGTCTTTTAAGCAGTCATTTAATTTAATTTGAACATCCTTTAACATGATATTTGAATCATATGAAATGAAGGACATGTCTTCATCTTTACCTTGTAAACCTTCTTGATTTTTTTGTGGTTCCAATTGCTGTTCTATAGTTGGTTCTGATGTTGTAGATTCAACAACATCTGACCCAGATAAACATTCTTCATTTTTTGATTTATTTGAACTGTCTTCTTCTTGAGAAACTGGTATTGATTGACGTTCGGATTCGATTTTTTCATTTAAATTCATTATTTCAATTTCAACTTTAGGTTCAACAAAAGTGATCGGTGAATTTTTTTCTTCTGGTTTATTTTCTTCTTCTTTTCCATTTGAATTTTTCGGATCAGCTACTATTACTACGTCTTCTTCATGTTTGACGTCTTTAGTAATCCGTACTTCTGTAGTTGTATCATTTTCACCTTTGTCTTTACTTTCTTTACTCATATTGTTTTCGGCATGATTTTGTTCTTCTAACTCAGATTCAGGAGCTTTTCCGTTAGTATTTGAGGCAATAGATTCATCAACTTGATTATTTTCAATCTTCTTCTCTCTATCCTTGTCTACAGTCTCTTCAGACTTATTTTTATTTTTAGGCATCTCTTTCTTTAACCCTTTTGAATGGCTTACTGCCGAATCGCCTCCATCTTGATGTTGTACCTTCATTGTACGTACTTTCAAATGATCAATTGACGATTGTTTTACTTTTAGTGTTTGTAAGTAAAGATGATTTGATACTTTATTTGATTTTAATGCTTTTTGTTTAATAGGACTTGTCAATTTACTCTGAAAAAATAAAAAATGAAAATTAAGAACTAATAATATATAATTAATAATGAATGAAAAGTAATTTCATTACCTTGAAATTTTTGCCCAAAGGTGCATTTGACCGTTGACTTGTTCCTACAATACTAGGCCTGCAAACAAACAAATTAAATCATTCAAAAACAAATTTTAATATTGATAGTTTATCAGTTAAAATCTTTGGTATGGTTCTAATGGGATCCAATTGAAATAAAGTCATAGGCGACGAGAGATTTGAAATAAAAAAGTTTAAAAAATAAAAAAAATTTATTTCATGAATATTTGCTTGATTTTAGTTGGAATTTACAAACCTGGTGGAATCCGATTGTTTTACGGTCAATCTATCATTCGGATCAGCATGTTTGAGAGGGGCATTTGTCGCCTTAAGCCTTCTTTGATATAAATTTCTCTCGTCGCCCTGACGGATTGATTTTGGAGATTTACTCATTTTGATCCCAATGTATAATTAGTTTTGGATTCAGGAAACAATTTGTTTTCTTTCCACGCCCTTTTTTACGCACAATCCACTCTTCGCGTCCCTATACTTTCAGAATTACTAAGCTTGTGAGACAATCGTGTTCACTTTGTATTTCTCTTTCTTATGAGATCGCTTTTCTCCTTCTACCTCACTTGTCCTAACCTTTAAAATAAGTGTAAATTTCGTACCTTGGTACAAACGAACCCGTCGTTTTGGTCCTTACGCTGGAATTTCAAAAAGCAACCTTCTGAACTGAATAAGATACACGCATATACAAAGATGAACACATATAAACCCGGTTTTGATCATGTAAATTGCACTCAGAGGTAGTAGAAGCCTCACAAGCATTCACAAGCCGACGACACTGCTCGATGAACGACAGAAGCGGCGTAATGCATCTAACGCGCGGTCAACGCCACCATCAGACGCCATTAGGAAGGTTAGAAGCTATGTATTACGACCGTTATTTTTCCCAGTAATTTTACTATGACCGTAATTAATTTAAAAGTTCATTCATCTGTGTAAGTATTTTCCAAATCAATGTGTGAAAACATAAAACTTTCACATTTACTAATCAAATTAAGGGAAACTTATTAAAAAAACTAAGTAAAAGATTATTATGAAAATTATTATATTTTAAAAATCTGTACAGAAGATGATTGATTTTACTAAACTATTTAAACATAAATATAAATATTTAAATGTTCATTCCAATGATTTATTAATAATATATAATATAAAACTTTTGCTTTAGTTTCTAAAATAAATTCAATTTTTGTAGACAATCTCACTGCCAATGGATTCACAGTTTTCATTTTGTTGCAATTTTAATTTATCACTATACATATTCATTGCAACAAGAATGCAATTATTATTCCTTAACAAATATAGATAATTGTTGAAAATACTTATCAATTTATTATATAAACGATTAATATTATTATTATTATTAAGAAAAATTGATTTAAATTGATTAAATTGAAATTTAAAAACTTCAACTAATGCGTGTAAAAGAATACTATTTTACTTGCAAAATAGTTGATGTGAAAATAGTCATTCATGATTAAAATATCCTTCCATTCAGAATCACATTTTTGGTAACATTTTTTTACACTTGATTCAATCTTTACTTTACATATCAACGATGAAAATCATCAATTTCCAATCAAAAATCCATGGTAAAATCTGTCAGCTCCAAAACATACATTGATTTTCATTGAGATGTATCTTTAAATATTGCACCAATTACTGGACCAGATTGATGAATAATACATTGTCTATGAAATTGTTTAATATAGTAGTGGAATAAATTTTTTTGTTAAAAAATACATAATGCAATCAATTACAATACCGTGAATTATTTTGAAGTGAAATAATAGGAGGATCTAATTCAGGATCGAGTTGGGCAGCTTGATTTGCTATGGCTGCAATTAATCCTGCACTATTTCCCGAAGCATTGCCTTTTACTAAACAAAAATAATGATAAGTAATAACTCAATACAACATAAATAATAAAAAGAAAACATGTAGCTGTCAAAACTTTACCACCAAGCGAGAGACCAGACTTATCTGTTAAAATACATCCTGATACATTTGGCAAGTTTACGCTGCAGAAAAAAATATGTGCTTTAATAAAGCTCTATTGAATGTAAACATTTATTTGACAGCATCGTCATTAATATATTCATTCTGAATAACAGCTATAAAGTAAATAAAGTAACCTAGACATTCTGAAACTTACATTGCTTCCATTTCTTTTTCAACATTACGTTCCATTTTATACACAATTGATGCTAAAGTATTATCCTTTTAGATTTAAAGATAATAAACTTCTATGTATTATATTTTATACTTTACAGTGAAATTTATATTTTTATCTATTAAATTTCTCCCAAAAAATAGATTATGGAGCAAAAAATTTTTTCATCAACTGATAATGAAGTGAATTGTCAGATACAATTATCGATTAAGTTGTCGCTACATGTAAACAATGCTTTTGTATAGTGCTGCCCTCTACTATTGGGAATAGAAATGTCTACATTCGGAGACCACAGAGGAACATTGGTCTCTTCTCAGTCGATGACGCATTAAAATCCTAGATGGTGGTTAAATGTTCCTAAGGAATTTTTATACACGTGCATTGAACGTTATTTGCTACTAACCAAGATAGTTGTCTTATTTTATATGTGTTTATTTATGAAGAATTTAAATTACTACTGTAAATAATGTCGTTTTTTATAAGAAATAATCAAGGGAAGAAGTCTCTTAAAAGAAAGGTATTATTACATAAACAACTAAATTATTTTTTTCATAATTTTTTCTTATTTATTGAAACTTTGAATTGTTTATACTCACGCATATTTTCATGAAATAATTTTTTTACAGATAAGTCAAAATGTACCAACACAAAATGGTATAAATAATGGTGTTAATAGTAAAAAAAAAAGTGCTAAAAAGACATCGAAATTCGATGATAATGAAAGCATTGCTAGCAGTGATGAAGAATTCATTGAACAAAATCGAAGGTAAAATAAGAAATACTTATGAATATGAATGGGTAAAGTATTTTTATAATAATTATTAATTAAATTTCTTTTTTGTTCAGAGAGGAAGATGGGAATTTCTCGAATGCATCTGAGGATGAGCACGAAACTGCTCAAGAGAAACGTTTGAGGTTAGCTAAGAAGTATTTAGCTGAAATAGAAGAAGAAGGTAAAGATATTTGAAAGAATTTAATGATCAATGTTTAAGTTATATTATTGAAAATTATCTATGAATATTTAAAATATTTTTTTTAATTAATTTATCTAGAGAAAGATAAGGCAGAGTTTGAAAAAAGTGCAGTATCTCGAAGACTACGAGAAGAATATTTAGAAGAAAAAGGACGATTAAGGAAAAGGATAGCTGATAATTATACAGGACATGAGAATATTATTGAATTGAAATGTAAAGATCATAAAGATTCTGTAACATGTATATGTCTATCGAATGACGGCGAAAATCTCTACAGTGGCTCTAAAGATGGCAGTTTAGTTAAATGTACGTATAAAATGAAATTTTTATTTTATTAATTTACAGAAACGGTTTTTATTAAAATTAATTAAATCAAATAATTTGGTTAAATGTTCCAGGGTCTTTGGTTAATAAAACCAAAGTGAACTCAATATGTGGGAAGAGAAAAACTCCGAACGGAATAAAATCAGTGCTTTGTATGGCTGTTAGTTCAGATAAAAAATTTTTAGTCGTTGGAGATAGTGGATCTAAAGACATCAAAGTGTTTAATGGTAATGATCTAAAGCATGTAAAAAATTTATCCGGCCATCGGGGTGCTGTAACTGGTTTGGCATTTCGTCGAGATACTCACATTTTATATTCAGCATCTGAAGATAGAAGTGTTAAAGTGTGGAATTTGGATGAAATGGCTTATGTTGAGTCACTGTAAGTTTTAGTTTACTACTTGAATTACTTTCATCATTTAAATGTTTTAGCACTTTAATATCTCATTTATTTGTACATAATATCATACTTGTAATCGTAGAATTTCATTTAAAATGTTACTTTATCTACGTATTTTAATCGAATTTTACATCAGAACTTAAAGTTGACTATAAAACTTTGATTTATGTTTTTACAGGTTCGGCCATCAAAGTGCTATTACATCAATAGATGCATTAACCCGTGAACGAGCGATAACAAGTGGCGGATTCGACAGATCTATTCGTCTTTGGAAAATCGTCGAAGAATCTCAACTGATATTTAATGGCCACGAAAATAGCATAGACGCCGTAAAATTCATAAATGAAGACACGTTTCTTAGTTGTGGTGATGATGGTCAATTATGTGTATGGAGTGTTATGAAGAAAAAACCATTATGTTCTGTTACACGTGCTCACGGTACAGATGAAACTAATGGACAAGCAATGTGGATTTCGAGTATTGCTACATTATTAAATACAGATTTAGTTGCCTCAGGTAAGGAATACAAATCTTAAAATCTAATATAAAATAAAGATTAAAATAAGAATTTTTCATAATTAATTATTTGAATAGACTATTTTTTATTCCGAAAGATATTAAAATGAGAAGCTCTATGCTAAATAATGACTGTATTTAATGCACGAATATGTAGATATAAGGACTTTTTTATACACTAATCGATTTATTAGTTAATTGTAATTGATAATCATCAAAACGTAGTATCGTTGAGAATTAAATGGCTATAATGATTATACAGTTTAATTATACGATGCTCTAAATTGGCTAGCTAACTGTCATACTAATTTAATGAATGTCGGAAAAATAACAATAATTAATATGATGTATATTTAAAATATTCAAATTAATATTACATGAATCTTTATGACAATTGCTCGATTAATTTATCGAAATGTTCACATCAATTTAAATTATTAATTGATTAACTAATATAAATTTTCGTTGATTGTCAGGTTCCAGAGATGGCAAAGTACGATTATGGAAGTGTGGTGATTCATTTAAATCATTGACATTATTATTTGAAGTAGAAATCGTGGGATTTGTTAATTCAATGGCGTTTACACAAGATGGTAAAAATCTTGTTGTTGGAATAGGTCAAGAGCATAAACTGGGTCGATGGTGGCGAATACCAGAAGCAAAAAATAAAATAATTGTTATATCACTTCTGCAGAAAAATGAGACTAAGTAAGTTAAATAATTGTAAAATATATTTTTTTTACATATACCAAATGTTTTTATTACTCCATCATGATTGAATGATTATAATGAGGATGATTGGATAATGAATGAAATGATAGAAATATCAAATGAAAAGATATATTGGTCCACAGTACAATTATTTATTTATTCTGTACAAAAGTTGAGTTATAAAATATTATGTCTCACGGCTGATCATTGTCTTTCGTGATGAAAATCATGCCGTCTGACGCTAGCTCGTATAACAATAATTATCGTCGTATAAAACGTGTGTACTTATAAAAAAAAAGCTTTCCGTAATCGAATGTGTGCATACGTCTGGACTTACACGACGGTTTATTCTTTTAAGTTATGATTTTCGTTTTATATTTTCTTCTATTTCTTATTAATTTATTGTAGAATTTTCTTCTTCTATAGGCCATTATTCTTAAACACGCGTAATTATTCTTTCATAAATACTTCCCGTTTTTTCTTATATGAGTACATTTTATTAGACACTCTATTAATATTATTATTATTCATTATTAATATTATTATCATTATTATTACCATTATTATTATTCTTTTAACCACGTTCAACAATGAATACATATGAATATTCTGAGTGCATTTAAATGAATTTAAGAAGCGTGTAAGCCTTCCGTTATGCAAAATTCAAACGGCCTTTATTTTTTTTAATACCAACAGTGATTGTGCTTTTTCAATGTACTTTGATAATTTTTAACTCATCTTATCACTCAAATACTTTCTCTTAACGAGACCATTTTTCATGAGAAAATTTTTTTTTAAATTAAAAATGTTAATTTTTTTTTCATATTCAAGTATGGTTTTAATTTAGTCATAAAAAAGATGATTTTTTAATTAATCTTATTTGATAATTTACAATTTAAAATTCGTTGCTATTGAGATAAGGATTATTTTCAACCATAAAAAATCGTGTATTGTATCCTGTATTACCGGAAAAAATAACTTTCCATTGAGCATGAATGTAGGCATGCGGATCGTTTCCTGAACTTACAATTTTTAACTTCTCTTTTTATTATATTTTTTTTTTTTCTTTTATTATATTTTCTTTCATTTCTACCAACCATTCATATGGGGGTTGACGTCCATGGCACTTTCAATACTATATTATGTACGCATGAGCTTGAAGACATGACGTGTTGAACATTTTCTACTTGTCCGCAATGCCAAGTAAAGTGTTTGGTTGAATATTTTTCATTCTTCATATCGAATATATGTACACTCTATGGACTAATTTAATGATCTTATCAATCAGAATTATATATCAATTAACATCATCCTTTACTTAATTTGATGAAAGTATAAGAAATGTATTAATGCCATGAAAATTTTTTCATTTTTATTTATTTAATAAAAGCACTTATTTCTGATCATTTTAGTCTTAATTAACGATAAGAAATTATTAAAATGTTTTATTCAACAATAAAATAAATTTAATTTATAGCCAAAAGTTGTATTAATAGTAATTAAACGAATGATATTCAAATTTATAATAAAATAAATAATGAATTGATTGAAATATCAGAAAAAGGTACTTTTATTATATTTATTTGTTAAATTTAAAAAATTATCATTTATATATAATCCCTTTAATCATCGACAAATTTCAATCCTTTTCCAAATACATGCATAATTTAATTTACTTTCTTTCCTATCGACACAAGTTTTTGTTAAATTTTATGATAGTATTTATTTTTGAAAAAATTCATTATATTTATGATAACGTATGTATTAATACATAATTGACAAAGAATTGTCTTTTCCTTACAAATTGATAAATTTTTATTACGACTCGCTGCATCTTTTACGCTTCAATGGTTCGGTAAATTTGTTGGTGCATTGTATACACGAAAGTTTTTTTATATACGACACATTTTACATTGAACTGTAATACTATTGTACGGTATTGTGATTTTCTGAGTAATGATTATGACTGTATTATTTTTTTTATTTTTTTTTTTTACTGTTTATTATGTTATGTTTTTTTTCTATTTTTTTTACTTTGATGCTTGATATACTATTGCGCTACTTGTGGACTACTACCTGATTTCTACTCTACTTTGTATTGAATGTATGTGTTTATCTGTTAGCTGAGCTGTAAATGTCAATTAATAATTATGATTATGAATAAATTGAAAGTAAAAATATGTATGAAAATTTCTTCTTGAATCTGATCAATGTTGAATGATAGTGGCATACAGAAGTAAATTGAAACCGTGCGCGAGATTTGAGTAACCACCGATAACGAGAGCACTTTGTTAATGAGGTTTGTTGAGTTTGGTTCGTTGTCGAGACCAATCGCTAATTAACGTGAATGAAAGAGTTAATGTTGTGCGTCGTCGGTGGTCACACGGTAAGTCGTATAACGAAAAAATGATTCCCACACACGTGTTGACGAGCGGTAATCAAGATATCTTATCACCAACGATGAATGACTAGAATTGATTTTATTTATTACAATGTGGGAGCGGAAATACAATATAAAGTGGAATGACCACGTGAAAAAGTAACGAAAGAAAATATTTTTCCATTACAATTATAGTAATAAATCAATAAATACTTATTCGTGTTTTTTGCTGGTCAAGTTTCATTGCTCAATACTTGATTAATAGTCTCGCGTTAATCTCCATTTAAATTGGATGTAATTGAAGAGCTCATAAATGCTCTGTTACTCTTATTTTTTATCCTTATTTTTATTTTTTATTATTATTATTTTATTTTTGTTCTTAAATTATAACCGTTGTGGTTAATAAAATCATGCAGCTGCGCGTAATCACTTTGTGTTTCCATCATTGTTAAAAATTTTAGACATCAACATACATCCATTTTTTTTTTAAATAATTAATCGTTATTAGAAACCTATACTTTATACTCGTTACATGTCTTATTATAAATTTTAAACTGTCTTTTTTTTGTTTTAATATATCTTCCTATGAATTACTAATTCGTTTTTTTATTTACAATACATCTACGAGTATTCCGTTTCTTCCCATTTCGATGATAAACTTAGGCAGTTATATTTATTTTATAACTACAACTATAATATCAATTGATATTGTGTCATAATGCCAAATAAAAAAGGTCAGGCTTATAGTGGAAAAAAAAAAATAAAGTGATGATAAGAAAATATTATGAATGAAATAAATATCAATTGATGTAGGTTTGAGCGAGGTAAAGCAGGATTTATTTTTGGAATGGATTGTTTAATGAAACCTCTTATTAATATTGAGTATTTAAATAATAAATGGAAAGGAAAAAATAAAATAAAAAAAATCAACTGAATGGAAGTGTGTCATTTTATCTATTTCTATCTATATCTTCAACCTGAATTATTAATATACCGATATTGATCTATCATTCGTATGAATGAAAATATATCATTCATATAATCTATAATACAATGTCACTGGAGCCTTGCTATTACGTTTACTTGGCAATTTTTTTCTTAATATTACATCCTATCATACCATTCAAATCAGCCTGTCATGGAATGTTTTGTGATAGATTTTTAATTATTTTAACTGCAATCAAAATTTATAGAGAGTAAATGCAATTAAAATTAACAACTATTCAGATTTTGTCAGTCTTCATTAAGATGGTATAAATACATACACCCAGACAGACCGATTGAATCGATATGATTTACATTTATTTAATATTTTTTTTTATATTCGGTTCTTATTCACGCTCAATCACAGTGAAAAATTGAAACAAGTTTTATGACAGACGAACGTGGATCAAAGGGCGGTATAATACTTAGGCTTACAATACTGTAATGTACAACGCAATAAGCGCGTTGTATACTTGACTTTTATTATTCACTTTTTTATTTTCCTTACGCTTATGATTGCAATTCAATTGGTATTGATATAATTGAACAAGACCATAAAAAAAGAAACATGCTTGATAATTACAAAATCATTTTCTATGTAAGAAATTATAATTTTAATTAGGGAAATAGATGTTAGATATTCGGTCATTATTCAAGTATAATATTTACATTACTTATTTTTTTGTTTATCTTTCGAATACAATGACATATATTTCATTGCTAAAGATTTTGCAATCACGTGCACAATAAAAATTTAGTCAATTTTCAATTTTTTTTTATTGTTCAATCAATACAGCTAATTTAAATGAGTTTTCAAGCTTTTTGTTTTTTATATAAAAAAAAAAATAAATAACCATGCTGCTTTGTCATTGGGTAATTAAATGTTTAGAGTCAATAATTTAAAACGGAATTTAAAATTAAAAAAAAATAGAACTGAAACTGAAACACCAATTGAGAATTGGTTTTAAATGCAACAAATGGAAAATAAAATAATGAAACTATATTAATTAGAATGATGATAATAATCGTAATAATAATTAGAAAATAGTTATAAATGTAAGAATAATATTAATAATGATAATAATAATAAACACAATAATATTAAGTATAATAATAATAATAATACAAGGGCAGAAACAAGAGAGGGAAATACTACACCTCCCTTAGTCACGTTCTTTCACACTTATTAAATTTGATAATTCACTAATTATGTTGAATATTAAACAGACATTCCTTGCATATCAATAGATAGACAATAAATATGATACAGACTTATATTAGACTTCGATATAATACAAATATATTACAAACTCTCGTCTCTCATTTGAAATCTTGACTTTTGACAATTTTTTATTACTCTATCTGTTTTTTTTTCATGCAGTCAAAGATAAGCATGATTATTTATCAATCACCATTCAATTGAAACATTCATGTTGCACGGAAAAAATGACTTTGCAATGATTTTTTGCAAAAATTGTCATATAATATTTTATATATAATATTTATATATTTATATAATCGTTATAAGTCTATTTACAATCGAATTATTTGCTCAATACGGGCTAAAATTTATATGCCATTAACAAAATCACGTAGGGTTGAGTCGAGATAAATCGATAACGGTATCTTTAGT